ATTAAAGTTATCGATAATTATCGACAGTTATCAATTAATGATTAATCGATAATTATCAGACTGAACAGACTTATCGATAAATCGATAACAATTTCATGTATCGCTCAGCTCTAGTAGGTATACGAATTCACGTAAACTGGGACCAATTTATTTGTGCACAATGCTGCATGGTTATAAAAAAAGCTGATTCGCGAAATTTAGTTATCAAATGTGAATGTGGAAATGATGTAGCTGCCTGCTTGCAACGGACAATATTTTGCCCTCAATTTTTTTTGATTTTTTTTTAATAACAAAATCTCCCGCTTTCAGTAACAATAAAAAAATGTCGAACCTGCCTATTGTACTGTCTGTGAATAGAATGTATGAAATTGCATTCCTTCAAGGACAGGGACTGCAACCTTCGTTCGTCTAAATGTATTATTATTTACATTACAAATTTACGCAACGCTTCTTAAGGGATCTATTTTTAGAACATTCCAATCCTATTTATAAAACCATTCCGATGATAACACAAAAAACATCCCGAGTTCCTGACATCTAACGATTAAAAAGGAAAATATTCGAATGGTCAAAATGAATGGTTTGTAATGCTGCCATCTAATGTCAATGTAACGCTCCACTTTCGATCGCCCACGGACTTTCAAACGATCGAACTGCCCCTAGCGGCGGAAAGTTCGCATATGGTCACAAACTGTTATAGGATCCGCGATTCTGATTAGCTTATAAATCAATGGCTATATCATTGGATTAAGATAGCCGGTATTTGTATAATAGTCAATGGCTACAGCAAAGTATTGCACAATATTATGAAACAAAAAATGTGAAGCACCTTGTATGACATGCCACCTTCACGCATGCGCAATCCATATTTGTATCATCATCTGTAAAAAAAAGTTGTGGGTGAAACAAATATGTCGGAATTTTGGGCTTGATAACTGAAATCAGTAGTAAATTCAGTAATTGTTCGTAAATTATCATTTGTGCAATTATTTAGTAATTGTGAAACCTTGACTTTTACTCTGTCAGTAATTTAAGGTAAGAAGTCATTTTAGAAATACAAATGATATTTACTTAATGATTACAAATTGCTTTTCTTGATTTTTCTGCTGAAAACTATAACCAGTATTGATTAACTGTAGATAATTATTGCAGAGCACTTTAGGGATAATCTGAGTGATTCATTACTTGTGATGCAAGTACTTTAATTCATGTGATTAGCAGAGATAACGCAATCTCACTTGTATCTTCTACCTCAATTTGCGTTAAAATAATATTCTTAGTTTGTAGAAATGACGACTTGGAATAGCGCCCCTTATCCTCCACCAGGTAAGAATCGCACTTGATAACAAGAATGTTAGTTTATAATCTTCCATTCAGATCCGTATGGTGGTCAACAAGGCTATCCACCGCAGCAACCTTACCCAGGAGCTGGCTATCCGAATGCCCCTCCGGCTTACCCGGCCGGCGGACCTGGGGGATATGCTCAACCGGGGCAGCCACCATACGGGCAACAACCTTATGGCGGACAACAACCCTATGGACAACCGGGCGGCGGAGGCTACACACAACCAGGTGAAGCAACTCGTCTCAATAATATGACCGGTTTGTTTTCTTATTTAAAGTAGTTTTTTATTCGAATACTGTGTGCGGTATTAGCTTACACCATTTGTTCGATGAGTTTATAAATACTGGAACACTTACGGCTGTTGAGGTAAACCAAATTGTGATAAACAATCCGATTGATATGCAACATGTTTTATTTCAAAAGCTGTTTTTATCAAATTGATATGGTATGGATGTTACTGTCGGTAAGCAGTTTCAATCGAGGGGTACACCAACTTTCAGAAATTTGTTGCAAATGTTTTGGAATTGTCACAAATGTTCATTTTTTGAAATGCGTAGGAGTGTTCTAAATTTTGTGGAATTATTTTGGAAATAATTAGGATATTCCATTTTACAGGGAATCTGTCCGATGGTATTCTTGCACAATTAAGGCGTTGTGCGCGGGTGCACCATCATGTTGAAACCAACAGTTTTTAAATTTTGTTTTTTTGTGTGTCGTACATCATTGTACAGAGTTATCATAAAATAAGGGATATATTTTAAATTATTATAACTTTAACAAATTAAGTTAATAATAAAAAATAAATGAAATCTAATTGGGTAAGAAATGGGATTTAGTATGCCCAAAGCCAGTTACGGCAATTGCTCAGTATGACCTTCATTTTGCTGTTTCAAGATTACCAATCTTTCCTCCAAATTGTACACAGCATTCCGTAACGTTTTCATGAAGAACCTCTGCTACTTGGACATCACCAATTCTTGGTCTTCCTGATCTTAGTAGGTCAATTACAGAGCCTGTTCTTTCAAATTTTTGTATCAAATTGCGGTACGCTTTCATTTGAATTCTACATTTACATGAGTTTTAATTTGAAACTAAAACTCCAAATTCAATGATTTCGTTTTGACACTTGTGTCAACAATTAAAATAACAATTTTGTTTTCTATAGATGCAATAAAATCCCATTCCTTAAGCAACTAGATTTCGTTTATTTTTTGTTATTAACTTCGTTTGTTAAAAAGTTATAGTAATTTTAAGTATATCCCTTATTTTATGATAACCCGATATTTGATACTTGATACTTTGCCATATGCCTGGCGTCGCCGCTTCTCCCAGGATTTAGTCAACTCTCGTGGGGATGCGTTTCTGGTAGGCACTATCAGGGGCGTTTCACCACTACTTTGTTCGTCACCGGCTTGACACCACAGTGTTGTCAAGTCTGGAGAAAGTGTCATTGACAAAGTGTTAAGGGGCATCTTAAGACCTAAAACCAAACCTTGGTATGGAAGTGTGGTCAATTTACTAGGAAAGGCATAAAATGGCATTTTAGTGGTTATATTTTTCAAAATGGTTCGAGTAACGACTCCCGTTTAAGGTCGTCCGCCATCTGACAGTGACTTTGGGAAGTATGTCAAAGTGAAGGTCGCCTGCTAGGTGGCTGTGACCTTGACAAGTAGATAAAGGTGCAAAGCATGTTTTCGAGGTTTTCAGTGACACAATTTAAGTGTAGTCATATTTCAATCCCAAGCTTACCAGAGGTCAATCACCCCATTTTTTGTGGGACCACATTTGACTTCCAAAGTTACTAAAGGTCAATAATCCCGTTTCTGCAATGCCATTTTATTTTCAAGGTCATCAAAGTTCAATGTTCAATTTTTTGCGGTTTAATATTCCATTACGCTTTTGAAAAATATCCCTTATCCGTATTCGTTTCGACATTGAAAACCAAATGAAGATCATAACAATTTGTTGACATGTCTATGAAAACCAAGCTTTAGAATAGGCCCTACATGGTTCACAAAAATCAAGTACCTATTGCCCTTCAAAATAAAATTTATCAGCACAAAAATGAGGTCATTGACCTTTGTTGACCTTGAGAATAAAATAACACTACAAAAATGGACTGATTGGCCTTGAAAATGAAATATGACGCCACAAAAAATGGAGCTATTGACCTTTAATGCCCTAGGGAGTAAAATGTGGCACACGCCAAAATATGACGGTACAAAAAGCCACGTGGCACCATGACTCACTTTTCCAAGTCGCCACCAGGTGGACGAGCGTCCTTAAAATGGTCCAGGTTTGCCATTGTATATCTACGGAGTTCCAGCTGTTGATCTCGTTTTCCTTTATTCCAGTCTTTACTGTAAAAGGAAAATATGTCGGGCAATCATTAAATATTAACGGTAGATTTGATTGTTTCTTCCTGTTTTTAATCAAAAAAACTTTAAAATTGACCTATTTCTTCCCAAACGTGATGACCTGATTTTTTTTTACTAGACACCTAGTAATGCAATATTGGCTATTGATAGACTGTCCCTATGCAATCTCGGTAGTTTAAACGTTATCTTGCATCTAAATTCAGGAAGTGGATACCGCTCGCTCGGCGGTTTTTCATTTGTGTACTCTATACAACTTATCATTTCCGTAGTACTTTAGAAATTGATAAAAATGTATGCGCCATCTGATAATGGCGAAGTAAGCGACAGATGTTAAATTTAAGCTCATAATAACAACCAATTAATTGCGGTGTTCAGGTTGTAGTGAATAAGATGTAAACACCTATGGTTCACAATTAAAAGACAGTGTTATGTTAATATTTCTATTTGCATTCGTCATTTAAATAATTTGTTGGTATGTATTAACATAACTTTATGTTCTGGGACCTCTGCTGTATTGGAGTACAATGTCCGATTTATTTTGAAAATGTTTGAATTGGAATTTGTTATCTAAACAGTAGAAATTTACCATTTAGTCTGTCTGTCTGACCGTAGGAAATTATTTCGTGACATAATGAAAAAATTTGACACATGACACTTGTACATAATTAACTTAGGTACGTCTAGTATAGAAAATTCACCCATCAACACTAATTTTATTCTTTTGTTCCCCAGATATGTATGGAACAACCTATCCGGACGATCCCGATGTCAAGGGATTTGAATTTAACGATAAAAGTATACGAAGAGGGTTTATTCGCAAAGTTTACTCCATTCTAATGGGTCAGTTGCTCATAACGGCGGGCATGATTGCCTATTTCCTTTACGATAAAAACGCGAGAGTGTTTGTCAGAAACAACTCGTGGCTAATGTTTCTCGCGCTTGCCGTCGTCTTCGTCGCAATGATTGCACTGGCGTGCTGCGGCGAGGTGCGACGTAAAGCTCCAATGAATTTCATTCTGCTCGGTCTATTTACGCTTGCCGAAGGGTTTATGTTGGCCGTCATTTCGTCGCAGTACAAGGTTGACGCCGTGTTAATGGCGGTCGGGATAACGGCGGTAATATGTCTGGCGCTTACGCTTTTTGCCTTTCAAACCAAGTGGGATTTTACGATGTGCGGTGGATTTTTGTTCATTTGTGTCATTGTTTTATTAATCTTTGGGCTTGTCGCTTCTATAATGGCTGCTACTGGCAATGGTAATCGGGTTGTTAATCTGGTTTACGCGTCACTTGGCGCTTTGCTTTTCTCAATTTATCTCATATATGATACTCAATTGATGATGGGAGGGAAGCATAAGTATTCGATATCTCCCGAAGAATACATATTTGCAGCTTTAAACCTGTACGTCGATATAATAAATATCTTTATCTACGTTCTTACAATAATTGGTGCTGCAAAAGACTAAATAATCAAAAATGTAATTGTACCAATTTCTGTTGTTTATTTTATATTTCACTATCTGGCGCATACATGTTTATATGATAGATTAGTGAAGTAAACTTTTGTTTTAAAACACCTCAACGTTTGATTTTTTTAAAGATTGTAATTTAGTTTAAGCTGGCGAGATGCACTTTAGCTTTTGTAGATTTTTACAACGTCGAATATCTTAACAATAATCCTGATGACGAGGGGCCTTCTGCCAATCGAACGAATATAAATGTTACTGAGATAGGTAGTTATTTATATTTATAAACATAATTGTATTCATTGCTTGGTGTATATTAAAGCTGTAGTAATTCTGTAAATATTACGATTTAATAAAGGTGTAATTTACTACGTGTTACTTAGGTTCCTAATCGACTGATAAATATCCCTCACAGCTTTTCGTGTATCAGTATTTTGTTTAGTTGCTATTTTATGTACATTTTTTTTTCAATAAATCACAATGCTACAGAAACCGGACTTTGATGTTTTTCAATTTACAATGCTTTTACTGTAACTATTGTTATTTATGCCAGTTACAGAAATGCTCTGTCAATCCTCTTGTTTTCAAACATTTAATGTAAATAATTACGGGCCTGTATTGCATAATGGGGTGAAGCACCATTCTGCTAAAACTACATGTCAAGATTTATGTCTTTGCCCAATAATATCAATGTCTAATTGATTTCTTAAAAAATCTTACATTATGCCATTGAAATTTTCAAAAAAATAACTATCCCCAGCAATAATGCCTTACCAGACATTAAATGGGATTTCCTCATCCAGTGTGGATTTTCCTGCGCCCAAATAGTTATTATTGTGTCTTGTTTACCTTTGGGAAATACCAGAAAAATAAAAATTTAAATGTTTGTCAATAAGAAAACCTGCCCACGATTATGGAAAGTGGTTTTGTCAGAAAAAATGTTATTTTTCAAGACCTAATTTCATTGCATTTGTGCACTATTTTCAAAATGTTGCCTTTGGTGAAGAGCCAATGTGGTATGGATGAAGAAACTTGTGCAAGTGCAATATGATTATAAACTGATTTTTTACTCATTCCCACATCACCAGCAAGCCTCCTGGAACCTACGGCTCTGTCCTCATTCCTTTGACGTCTTCTTCGAACTATGCTTTTGAGTACCATGTGACACTCCGGGTTGTTTGGATTTGAAACCTCTCTGCCCATACTTACAGCTTCTCTGTAATTTTGTCTGCGCTCCCTCAAAAATTAACTTGTCCACATGTTAAAACAGTTCCATGTTTTAAGTAATAACATTGAATAGAGAATCTGACGGCCAGGTGCACAAAAAAAGAATCCAGGATTATTGTTTAATCCGGTATTAAGACATTTGATTGGCTTTATATTGCAGTTGGCAGCCAATCAAATGTCAAAATTCTTGTTTAAACTCACATTTGGCAAATAATGTAGGATTTTGATTATAATTCGCTTTCTATAGGTTCATGGGTGACTAGATTTCACGAGGAGCCAGAGATTATTTGCTCCGTCCGTCTGTCCGCTCGTTTTGCGACGCTACTAGTTCTTTATCTTAAGAGCTATTGTTCTACTTTTTTCGCTATTTGGTTCGTTATGGTGTCGAGGCTTGCACCAAGGAAGGAATTTTTTCTGCGTTTATTGCTAAAAAAGTTATTGTAAAAAAACCAACAAACCGTTTTTACATGTTCCATAATTTTACACTTTTGCCGTTTATTAACGATTCTAGAGATCGTTTATAATTTTGTATTGCTGTCTGTCGTCTGTCTGTTGGTCTGTCCGTCTGTTCCTTTGCCTGTCTGTCCCTCTATCTGTCCGTGTGAACGATAATTTTGTTTAGAAATGTCCGATCGCTTTTACATCTCCGTTAGTTATGAACTGAATTGCATGAAATTCAATATGGGCATAGCTTAGCCATATAATACGCAATGCCAAAAGTTGAATCGAATCGATTCAAAATTCACAGTACCCTTTTCGCATCTCGACCATTTATAAACCGAATTGCAAACTTTTTTACTTATAAAAGTATTTGAATGAAATTTGATACATAGGCACTTGGAATAAAGGAAAATCAAACGCAAATTTCAAAATTTGGTTTTGCGCATGCGCAGTGCCAACTTTTTATTTATGGAAGAATTTAAACGAAATTTGATACATAGGCACTTGGGATAAAGGAAAATCAAACGCCAATTTCAAAATTTGGTTTTGCGCATGCGCAGTGCAAACTTTTTTATTTATGGAAGAATTTAAACGAAATTTGATACATAGGCACTTGGGATAAAGGAAAATCAAACGCCAATTTCAAAATTTGGTTTTGCGCATGCGCATTGCCAACTTTTTTATTTATGGAAGAATTTAAACGAAATTTGATACATAGGCACTTGGGATAAAGGAAAATCAAACGCCAATTTCAAAATTTGGTTTTGCGCATGCACAGTGCCAACTTTTTTATTTATGGAAGAATTTAAACGAAATTTGATACATAGGCACTTGGAATAAAGGAAAATCTAGCGCCAGTTTAAAAATTTTATTTTGCCCATGCGCAGTGCCAACTTTTTTTATCTATGGAAGCATTTAAGTGAAATTTGATACTTTGGCGCTTGGAACAAAGGAAAATCTAACATTAGTTTCCAAATTTAGGTTTGCGCATGCGCAGTTCCAATTTTCTTATTTAGAAAAGCATTGAAATGAAATTCTTCTTATAAACTGAAATTGAAATAGCATGTCAAAAATGGATTGCTCATGTGCAACGCTATCTTTCATATTTGTGGCCGGATTTTTATGATTTTAACAGAAGTTGCATGTTACAAATGGGAATTGAATGCAAGTGGAAATGCGGTTTATGTAAATCGTTTACGATTACTTTCTAAATTGTTTTAATTGGGTTTGGATAAGGACGCGTTGGAATTGGAATATTAATTACTATTGGAACTCGTGGAAGGTTTCGTTGGTAAACGAGTCAATTGGGAGGTTGTAACCAAGTTTTGTGTTTTAATGTACCTACCTACATTATACATATGGAACCAGGTTGAGGGAGAGGAGGGGTCTTATGTGCGCAGCTGTGAAGTGCTAGGTAGTCTGGTTACTGCGACAGCTGCAATGTCATATCTATAATTTAAGTAATGTGGAGTACTTTAATCGCCAGAGTTGAATTAGGATCGAAATATTGCTCACGAGGCTCCCGGTACATAGTTTAACTTCATTTTAGTGGATACACACGCCCTCTGCGCTAGAGCTAATATTGCTTTATATATGTATAGCGCAGATGCGGTAGTTTGAAGATATATTAAATATATCTTGGGTAGTTTATAAGATATTTCCCCCACTTTAATAAAAAGAAGTCGGACAGAGACGCGAGGGTTTCATTTCTGATTATGTATATATACAACCTCGCTAATCCGAGTTTTCTCTAATCCGAACACGCTGCAAATTTATGCCTCCATTTCGCTAATCCGAACAAATTGGGGATCTGAACAAAAGTGCGAACACGTGCACAATTCTCCTACCAAAACGTGTGATATCGTACAGTCGGTACAGTTCCGCATTTGATATTTACAATGTGTTTATTATTAGATATTTACATTTTTAGGACAGTCGTTGTATGTTTCAAAGGAGCTTATCAAGTTTTGTACGATTTGAAACTGTTTATTTCTCAATAAATGATTCAAAATATAGTTTTATTGTTAATTTTCATAATGCGAACAACCTGCAATTCCTCTTTTTCGTGAAAGATAGCTTTTGGAATTGGGGCAATGAAAAACTATTATTTAAAAAAAATGGCGGTTTAAGATAGTTTAATGCTAATTTCAAACTTGGCGCGGTTTTCTAGGGATATTTGAGACCTTAAAATTGAAAATCAATTTAATTTGTACTCATCCTCTATTGTCATTGCATTATGACCTCATACAAATTGAACGTCAAAAGAACTCTACTGTAAAGTGATGATATAAAAGAAATGGCAAAAAAGACTTACGACTTATTATTTAAATTATTACTAATTGGCGATTCCGGCGTCGGTAAAACTTGCATCTTATTCAGGTTTTCTGATGACGCCTTTACCACAACCTTTATTTCCACAATAGGTAAGATAACCTCAAGTTTATTTATATTCTCTGCGCCTAAAATCTTCCAAGAGAAATTGTTTAAAATATAAAATGGGGTTACATAATGAGTGCGTTGCAGGAATTGACTTTAAAATCAAAACCGTCGAACTTCGAGGTAAGAAAATCAAATTGCAAATATGGGATACGGCCGGTCAGGAGCGCTTTCACACAATCACCACTTCGTATTACAGAGGAGCAATGGGGATTATGTTGGTTTATGATATAAGTAACGAGAAAAGTTTCGAAAATATAGTTAAATGGTTAAGAAATATAGACGAGGTGAGTTGCGATCACCCTGTCATAATTTATACATTCAGCTTTTAGCACGCCAATCAAGATGTGGAAAAAATGATTCTGGGTAACAAGTGTGATATGGAGGACAAGAGGACTGTTAGCAAAGAACGAGGCGAAGCGGTAGGTTGTTTTCCAATTATTGCCTCTTTTTGAATTTAATTTTAGATTGCGAGAGAACACGGTATTAGATTTATGGAAACGTCAGCAAAGGCAAACATAAATATAGAAAGAGCTTTTAATGAATTGGCGGAGGCAATTTTAGATAAAACTGCGGGTAGGGAGTCGGGAGATCATATCGATAGAGTAATGGTGGACAGACGCCAACAGGCGAACACTTCAAGATCTTGCTGTAATAATTAGGTCAGTTGGTTTGTAGTCAACTGCAAAAGTAATCAAATGGGATTTTTTGCAGATTAATTTTAAGCATCATTGAATCCTCACCAAATTAAGTTTTTTTCTTTCAGTATGATACCAATGTACGTAGATTTACGCTTTCGTATGAAATTTTTATAAATACCGCCTATTGTGTTTACATTTCATTTTGCAACACGCAACCATTATGTGATCCATTAACATTTAAAGTGTAGTGTAAAAAATGCAATAATCATGTTGTTTTGTCAGTTTGAGAATGTGCATTACGTTGATTTTAAAAGGTTGAATTTTGTACACAAACCGTACCGGAACATCGAATGACTCTTTTCATTGGGGTGATTTCAGTGTTTAATAAAATATCGGCGACACCAGCAGTTTGTTTGGCTTTTTCAATAAATGTTAGATACAATTTATCACAGTTGTAGCTTGTCACCTAATTATTTGTCACCATAAACATAAATGTAACACTACCTACTTAAACTTTGTATATATTTGTATTTTGATAATTATCTCTTTATATAAATGTTTATAGGAGTTTAAGTTACATTTTTTTTCACACATGATTTAATACCAAATTTTGTGTGCATGTAAATGTATAACAATTGGAGTAACGCTTTTTAAATAAACAATGCTAAGATATTCAAATTGATAATTATTAAGTAGGTACTTCGGTGCTATGACACAGTTATAGTAAAATCTAATTTCAATACAAGTGCATTCATAAATTTCACTTAAATATAAATAATGAACGCCCTGTAAAGATTTCAGCCTTTTAGAATTGCATCAAGAGTTAAAGAGTGCACACGAGAAAGTCTTGGACGTACAGAGTTGTACACTTTCTTATGGAAACGCCCTTTATTTTGAGAGATAGAGAAAAATGGACCTAGGTACTGTCTGGAGATCAATTTCAAAAAGAAAATCACTGGCACAAACAGAATTCAGTTATCTCTAATCGTTTGGCCGCTAGGGGGCGTTTCTCAAATTTAGTTGATTTCTTTAATGCCCCATAAAATTTTACGAGATGAGCTCGTATACCTACATTATGAAATATTGCCTTAAGTTGATTGTTCGGAGATAATTGGACGTACCCAAAATTGCTTTCTTGGTTTATTTATCCGCTTCCTTCGTAATTCGATAACCTTAATGAATCAAACTTCTGGGATCTTGTGGTGCTTTGTATCCCTAGGGACTTTAAGAGTATGGAAAACGTAAAACAGCATATACTAAAGCATTTTTCTAAGACAGGAATGTAAACAAGTTGTATACGATGAAAATATTTTCCCAATCGAAATGTTAGCATAAATAACGAGTTTGACATCTTTTGGACGAAATGCTCATAATTATCGCACTTATACAAAACTCGGTTTTATTGGGAATGAGACGTACAATTCCTCATTAAAAATGTTTTCAGAGAAAATGGTGCAACCCAACACTCATTGAAAATGTGTTTTGCGTTTTGAGATCAACAGTTTGACACTGGAGAAGAAATTGACAAAGTTTCGATACAAGCAATGGGGAATATTTTCGTAGCCTCCTGTGCTTATCCAAATAAAAAGCACTTTAAAGAAACTGTATAAACTTTAACTATACCCTGTATATTCAAACAATCGAAGGTGCAAAGGTGGCAACATCGTTTTAGTCGACAAATTTACCGTAGGGAGCGCTGTTGTTGTCCCTACGAATTTGACAGATGACATGACAATTATTTAATTGTCAATTGTGATCAAATCGAAAAATTTCCAGTGTTTTCATTAAATCTGTTTATTTTTTTGTTAAAACCGGCGATATCTTTTAAAAATGACCTCTTTTTTTGGAAGTGCGCTGGGCGGCAACCCATTTTCTACAACAGTGGGAAACAAAATAGGTATACATTATTATTTTTGTTTAGATGACTGTTTGTCTACAGCAAATCGATTTTTCTGTTTAATTTTATTTTCAATATTGCTTTTTCCACGTAGTTACGTAGTACGTTAAATTAAAAAGATCGCGTCGTAAATTAGGACAATTAAGGTGTATGTAGTGAGTCATAAAACTTGTGGTCGTGCTAATAAAGTTTCTTTTTTGTCATGAAAGTTGTTGCGAATTTTTTTTATTGCAGAGCAGGCGACAGATGGCACGCTCGCCTCGGAAAATTGGGCCCTCAACATGGAAATTTGCGATTTAATAAACGAAACGGAGGACGGACCGAAAGATGCGATTAAGGCGATAAGAAAACGACTCACTCAAAATACGGGAAGAAATTATACGGTTGTCATGTACACTTTGACCGTTTTGGAAACGTGCGTAAAAAATTGCGGACGAAATTTCCATTTATTGGCATGCAACAAAGATTTCGTGCAAGAGCTGGTAAGTAAACGTAGCTGATCATTGAACAAGGATGTCATTCATGTTTAGGTGAAATTAATTGCTCCAAAAAACGATCCTCCGCAAGCCATTCAGGATAAGATATTGAACTTGATACAGTCTTGGGCTGACGCCTTTAAGCATCAACCGGAACTGTCAGGAGTCGTTTCGGTTTATCAAGATTTAATTAACAAAGGTATCGAATTTCCAGCAACCGATTTAGATGCAATGGCTCCGATTTTTACTCCACAAAGGGTAAGCATAGCAACTTGGTTATTAAGATCTTTTTTAGTGTAGTGTCCTTTTGTAAGAATTATTCAACTTAGTTGAACAATGTCAGTTTAAACTTCAATTTATTGATTGGCTAATATATTTTACAAGTTAACCAATCATGTTTCTGAAATCTGTCAGTTAAACTAATCTGAAGTTTAAACTGACATTGTACAAGCGCGCCTTAGCAGGAAGAGATTTGGTTACTTAATAAAAGACACTATAAGCCACCTCACTTCAATTTTATTCAATTTATTATTTTGAATAAATTAGAAAAAATCGGCTGTAAAATTGTCTGAAGAATCCAAAAATGTAAAAATATACAGGGTGTGTCACTTGAATTAAAAAATTTAGGGTTGTTTGCGGTCCAACCGGGAAGTGACAGGAAAGTACTATTCCAAGCATTCAGTTCGTTTTTATTCACAATATGACTCGCAGTTTTAGTAACCTTTACAGGGTGTCCCAAATTCAAGGGTAACCATTGGGCCCTCGGAAAAGATAAGAAATACGAAGTCTGTTAAATGGGGATTCAAAGTTTCGCATTTGTATCGAATCTAATACTACTTGGAAAAAGCGCCCATAGAGGGTGCTAACTTCAGTGTTTCCGTGATAGCTCAGTTTTCTTTGAAAGATTTTTCAAAAATTTCAAGTTCGTTTTTTTTTAGTCACAAAAGAGACTCGAAAAGGGGCAACTTTGCTCCCATTTAGCCTACACTGTATTTCTCAACGTTGCGGAGATTCCCACGAGTTTGAACCACCCAAAAAAACTGAGAAAAAATGTCAAAGTTTAAAAAAAATTGTCTATAATATTGTAGCTAAAATGCACCCAAACGAAGATATAAGCGAAAATCTGAAGAAAGCGCCATTTTTTTCGTTTTTTTTAATATGGCGGCGAGCGCGGAGGTCGGGGAATTATAATCACGGTCTTGTCTCCCCACTTACGCCGAGACACGCGCATATCTTCGTAAAAAATGTGCATCTTCCTGTCTGAAATTTCGTCTAACAATAAAACTTCTTATCGTAAACGACCAGATATAACTTTTTATACCTAAATCATGTAAAATTAGACCAGATGCGTTTTACTTCTAGCACCTTAGCTAAATTGAACAATTTACAAAAGTGAAAAAATTAAATTAAACAAATTTCTAAAAGGAAAAACAAATATTGAAACACAAGTTTAAACGAATGATCACCCTTTGTGTTTATTCATAAAAAAACCAACCAGATTTCATTACCAGAGTTCATCTCCCTTATAACGTTGTGAGATGCATCAACATAAGTTATTTCCTTTGCAGAGTGTGGAGGCGACCACATTACCACCGGTAGAACCCGAGCAGCCCTACTCCACAGCGCCACTAGTATCCAGTCCCACGCATGGAGCGTTATCACCCGAACAACGTTCTAAACTACAGTCGGAATTGGACGTTGTCCAATCGAACATGGTTGTTTTCGGAGAGATGTTAAACGAGATGCAGCCTGGTAACGAGCATCCAGACGAATTAGAGTTGTTGCAGGAGTTAAACTCCACATGTCACGGAATGCAGCAGCGTCTCGTCGAGTTGATAAGCAAGTTGTCCAACGACGAACTGACCGCGGACCTGTTGCGGATTAACGACGATCTGAATAATCTGTTCTTGAGGTACAGTAGATGGGAGAAAAATCGCGAGGCGGGCGGTCAGTCGGCTTCGGCCGTGTTGGCTAAGGCGATTGGACCGGGCCCGAAACCGATTCCGTCACAGGCAGATGACAGTCTTATTGATCTGGGGCCGCCGGATTTGTCCGATCATTTTGGTAACTTAAGTAAGTTCCGTTATAGCAATTTAATTTTAAATCGATAAGGGTTTACCACATAAACAGTTGATAAGGAAACGCCAGATACTGAAAAATCTAAAGGTCATGCTGATTAAAGCGTTTCAATTTTGTACTTTCTAGTGTTATTTATAAATTATTGAGCAGGGAGTAATCTGGACTTGGAAAATGAAGTAGTTTTGAGTAGACTTGTCTGAACTTCACCCTCAAGCTTCACTTTTGGTTTACATCCTACATGGTTGATGTTTTCTCTTATTTCCAAGGTTATTGACTTTGGTTTGGAATTGATCATTGTTAGTAACAGTTGACTGTAGATCATGCAACAATGAAGTTATTAAAACACACTTGGAAATTTAATGTGGTCATTGGTGACAATTACAAAAATGTTCTTAGAGTGTGATTGGTCTCGCTACAGTAACAAGTGTATGAGCGGGTACTGTACATTCATATACACATGATAAATTACATCTAATGCATAAATCCATAAGTGTAAATGGTACATGTTTATACTGCTGCTCAATAGAGGGCGCTGTTAAGTGTATCTAAATGTGATACCCATAAAATACATAAGGTTAGCAATCTGTTCTATGTGTATATCTGTGCTTTTTGAGTTAGAATCGGCTCTATATAACGTGCTCCTAGCAGAGTTTCAAACCGAGTTACTTTTCTAGTAACTTTCGAATATAGTGACTTTTTGACTTGGAATTCAGTTTGGCATGATTGCGGTGCGTTATCAAAGAATGACGCCTATTAGTGGGAGGGGCATTTAGTCCATAAGACCCCATTTCAGAAGGGCTGGTATTATGCCATCCAATTGTGGTGATTCGTATGCTGAGAACGATTTCACTGTCCAGATCACCCTTGTCACATCCAACATCTGACTGGCAACCGCCCAGTCATTCTCCGTAGGAATGAAGGGAGTTACCTCTGGCCAATTGGGATATGGCGCTGTGGTGGCTCCGGGAAAGTGGGCGTCTCTCAGTACCTCTGCTGTCTCTGAGAGGTTGGCAATGTAGGATCCATTCTCTTGTCTGAGGCTAGCTGGGTTATAATATGAACCTTTTGTGTGTTTTGTGCCAAAATCTCCCAGGATAGTACTGATGTTATTACTACTTGAGCTTTACCTTGTATTATAGTCGTGAGATCACAGCCACTTAGATGTGCCAGCAGAAGAGCCTTAAGGTTCTAGAATTTTCTTACTGTGTATGGGTTCTTTTGGTGCCCGAAGACATAGAGTAAATAATATAAAGAGGTGTCATGGGATAGGATATTGTTGCAGTAGAAAATCTTGTAAGGAAGTGTTGCTCTTGTGACTGTTCTTCAAAGCTGTTGTATCGTTGTATTACCATATAGCAGCATGTAACCTGTATTACCTATTTAAATATACTGGCAACAAGGTTGAGATTTGAATTACGTCATTACTTTGCACCAGACACAGACCATGATACTGTCAGCATTATATTTAATCACCGGAATGTGATATGCTTCCAATGCAAAGAGTCTTTTAATTCTTTCAGGCCATAGACTATTTATTTTATTATTTTAACGCCTTACCTTTACCCAATTACAAACTTTATTTGAATTTAGCTAGCAATGAAAATTAAATAGGTACAGTGAGAAAATATAACTGATTATTATATAATTTCTAACGTTTTTGTTGGATTAGCGGTACACGTAGACCGTTTTAACACTGCTTTAGCAATTTTGTGTGGAATTTACGCAAACAAGGTGCTTTTGCGCAATTCACTAATGTGGGAGTGCTGTAAGTATGGTGTATTTGTGAGAGAAAAGATCAATTCCATCCATACTACCATTGTACCTATATATAAGGATGTATATTATATACAATATTTTTTTTTCGGGGCAAAAAAAAGGCAGTGTATACCTTCCTTTTTTCCAAAAATCGATTGCACCAAAATTTCTCGGGAAAACACTGTTTCTTATTAATTTTGGGGCGTAGAATCCAAAACAATTCGTACTTTTTCGATCAGACTTCTCTTCTCAATCAAAAGTTATAGACTAGAAACCAATTTCGAAAGAAAATTCAAAGGGCTGTAACTTTTGAACTAGCAGCCCAATCTTGGAACTGTTTGAAATTATGGATTCTACAGGCCACATTCTATAAGAAAATTTTTTTCGGGGTCGATCTGAGACCATTTTTTTTTCAGGGCAAAAAAAAGGCAGTGTATAACCTTCCCTTTTTCCAAAAATCGACTGCACCAAAATTTCTCGGGAAAACACTTTTTCTTATTACTTTTGGGGCGTACAATCCAAAACAATTCGTACTTTTTCGATCAGACTTCTCAATCAAAAGTTATAGACTAGAAACCAATTTCGAAAAGAAAATTCAAAGGGCTGTAACTTTTGAACTAGTAGCCCAATCATGGAACTGTTTGAAATTGTGGATTCTAAGGCCACATTCTATAAGAAAATTTTTTTCCGGGTCGATCTGAGACAATTTTTTTTTGGGGTCTCAAAAAAAGGCAGTGTATAACCTTCCTTTTTTGCCAAAAATCGACTGCACCAAAATTTCTCGGGAAAACACTTTTTCTTATTAATTTTGGTGCGTAGAATCCAAAACAATTCGTACTTTTTCGATCAGACTTCTCAATCAAAAGTTATAGACTAGAAACGCATTCAAAAAATACTACATCAGAAATAATTCGGCACTGGGCAGTTGGCAGTTCCGCACAGAAAAATCAGGAAAATTCTCTCTTCGCTGACCTACTTCCTACTTTACGAAGATTGAATTACTTTTATTTCATACTGTCCGGTAGATGTTCGATTACACTATCATTTTGAGTCCGGTAGGTGAGTTATTACAGCATCGGAGCCGGTAAGTGTCGCTAAGCAACACTTACCGGACTGTTATTTGTATACATCAAATTTGACATCTTCACACAATTAATTGAAAACCCCAACATAAATTTGACTGTAATTCTTTATTTCAAACATTAACATTGATTGTAATGAAACAATTTGTATTGCCCTCAACACTACGCCTGGGTTATTACTGGATGTCGAGTTAGTAATGTTTGATTCCTTTTGCTGTAGAACTTCAATGAAATTTTCGCCGCCTTGTATCAGTTGTATCATACGGGCAATGTAAACTTTTCCTTCTACCGAGCCTTCGATGTATTTTTCTGCCGTCGATGAGCTTTTCCATGCTCCATGACGCTTTAACACCGATACCCAGGCAAAAAATCTCAATTCAAAAACTTACTGCGTCCAAAAAGTATGCCAACATGACTTTTTCCTCTACTTGTTTCGCCCCATGTTCGTTCCTCAATTGGCAAAACACTTAGTACTGTTTTTCATACCTTGCGGCCGACTTCTTAGGAACCAACTTTTCGGTTGCTTCATGAGATTTCGACAGGATTGTATCGGGAACAGTGGAACATCCCACAACGTTTATAACGTCAATTTTTCAGTGAAAAAAATTCAATTGTCAACAAACTACAAACTATAGCAACGGCCGTTGCCACAGAAACAAGGTAATGCGATTTTTACAATATAATAAAATTTTGTAATCTTTGAAATGAAATAATGATACAAAACAGACTTACAGTATGAAATAAAATACGTTACGATATACGTCCGGTAGTACTTGTAACAGTACTCGTTTAAGACATTCTTGACTCGGCTACTGACGTCGCCTCGTCCATAATGTCTAACTCGTACTGTTACAAGTAACCTACCGGACTTATAACGTAAATAACTATTATGGCTTGAAGATAAAGCAAAAATCTACGTAGGCCTAGATGACGATCACATTACAAGGCCATTTTCACTTTTATCTATAATTCTATAATAGAATTTGAAGTGACGTTTATGATTATGTAGATTACTTCTTATGACGTATGTGATGAAATTTTTCTGAAATACTTCTCGTCAATTTTCTTAGTGTAATTTAGTCCATGGTGCTCTACACACTCTGGATTTTGTTACATGGCAAATTTACCGACTCTATGGTGTTTCTAAGCACATAGGTGACGAAAACCTCAAAATTAAACCGAATTCTATACCAAGGCGCCACAGCATTGAAATTTCTTTTTTTTTGTAATGATAATTAAGCTACAGAACAAAGCGATACAAGCTTTATATAGGAGGTCGATGGTGTCCGTCTGTCCGTCCGTGAACACGATAGGTAACTGCCAAACGCTTGAGCAGATTTGGTTCAAACTGTGCACAGTTGGCCTATACTATATATCATGTGTAATAAACTTATTAAAAATTGGTCAAATCCAAGCACCCTGTACATGCATGTATTTCTCACTTATAATTGCACAAGAGGTTTGTATTTTACCGAGTAAATTTGGGTTGTTTAGGTAATGAAAATCTGTTGCCTAGCAATTAGACCAGAAAAACTGTCAACTAATAAAAATGCGACACCGCAGGTGGAGCATTTTTAGGTTGACAGTTTTTCGAGTCCAATTGCTAAAAGGAAACAGATTTGAATTGCCACAACCCAAATTTATTCGGTTTCAATACAAACCTCGAGTGTAATTCGGCAGGACAATTTAACGAACAAGAAATTCACCAAACTAATCAATTATTGACAGACGTCAAACTAGTCATATGGGTAAGGATAATGCGATTATTGGTTCGAAAATGAATAAGTGAAAAAACCACTAGTGCATTTGTCGCTGGAAAAGTTGCAGGTAACTTTTGCCGCTGTCAAAGTGACAATTACACTGCGGCTTATGTGATTTTTATACATGAGTTGAATTGTCATGTTCAAAAACATGCACACAATAAATATGAAATTTTTTTGCCTATTGTACACAATATACGAATTTGAATTTTCATAAAATAATTGTTACGTAAATCAGTGATGTCATTTAAAACGCTATGCCGTCTTGCGATGCAAATATAGCTAAGATAATGTTCTATAATGGGCATCATCAAACGATATGCAAAAGTTTATTATTAAATGACAAATTGTGGTAGGTCAAGGTAATTGTAATTTAGTACACTATTCTTGAATTCAGAGGGAGCGTCGGCATTTGCTTTTCGCCATCTATGTTCAGGGATAGTCTCTCACTGCCACAAATTTATACAGCATGGAACCTCTTTATATTATTTACTCTATGCCGAAGACCAGAAACCCTTGATTTAAATTTAACAACCCAGGGTTTGTGAATGAGGGCAATGAAATGCTGGTGTTGTCTTGCCGCTTTGGTTGGGGCTGTGGTCTGCCCTTCGTCGTCGGCGGTTGAATCAGTCCTCTGACCTCTCTCTCTCTCCGCCTACCCGTTTGCCTGCCTCATCAGAGGTAGTTCTAGGAGCCTACTTTTGGGCCAGGGTTGGATCGGAGGTGGATGGTTTGGAGGTGACTGTTGGAACAGTTTGACCCATTTGGGCCAGCCTGGCCTTCTTTCTCCTCTGTTGCTTGGGACCGGAGACGCGCTTGCGTGTTGTAGAGGCTCTGGGACCTGTAACATAGGATGAGGAGTATCCTGGGACGCTCCCTCAGGTTTATTATTTTGATCGGTCTCCATGTCAGAACAGATTCGTCCCTCCCCACCCACCAAGGAGTCCAACAAGGGCATGTCTATTCAGACATCAGGTCGAGCATCAGGTTATCAGTCTGCTGCCACTAATAATAATAATAATAATAATCTTATAAATAAAAAATGACAAACCAAACCCATTTTTAGACTTATCTTCCGTCTCCGCATCCGCACAACTGGCGCAAGTCGGTACCGTAACAGCCAGAAATGGTCCGAAAGGCGATGACGAATTTGACATGTTCGCGCAATCGCGAAACGCGACGTATGAGCAGAGCAAAACGGGGTAAGANGTATAACCTTCCTTTTTTACCAAAAATCGACTGCACCAACATTTCTCGGGAAAACACTTTTTCTTATTAATTTTGGTGCGTAGAATCCAAAACAATTCGTACTTTTTCGATCAGACTTCTCAATCAAGAGTTATAGACTAGAAACGCATTCAAAAAATACTACATCGGAACTGATTCGGCACTGGGCAGTCGGCAGTTCCGCACAGAAAAATCAGGAAAATTCTCTCTTCGCTGACCTACTTCCTACTTTACGAAGATTGAATTACTTTTATGGCTTGAAGATAAAGCAAAAATCTACGTAGGCGTAGATGACGATCACATTACAAGGCCATTTTCACTTTTATCTATAATTCTATAATAGAATTTGAAGTCGGACGTTTATGATTATGTAGATTACTTCTTATGACGTATGTGATGAAATTTTTCTGAAATACTTCTCGTCAATTTTCTTAGTGTAATTTAGTCCATGGTGCTCTACACACTCTGGATTTTGTTACATGGCAAATTTACCGACTCTATGGTGTTTCTAAGCACATAGGTGACGAAAACCTCAAAATTAAACCGAATTCTATACCAAGGCGCCACAGCATTGAAATTTCTTTTTTTTTGTAATGATAATTAAGCTACAGAACAAAGCGATACAAGCTTTATAAAGGAGGTCGATGGTGTCCGTCCGTGAACACGATAGGTAACTGCCAAACGCTTGGGCAGATTTGGTTCAAACTGTGCACAGAGTTGGCCTATACTTAATACTATATATCATGTGTAATAAACTTATTAAAAACGGGCCAAATCCAAGCACCCCGTACATGCATGTATTTCTCATGTTCAAAAACATGCACACAATAAATATGAAATTTTTTTGCCTATTGTACACAATATACGAATTTGAGTTTTCATAAAATAATTGTTACGTAAATCAGTGATGTCATTTAAAACGCTATGCCGTCTTGCGATGCAAATATAGCTAAGATAATGTTCTATAATGGGCATCATCAAACGATATGCAAAAGTTTATTATTAAATGACAAATTGTGGTAGGTCAAGGTAATTGTAATTTAGTACACTATTCTTGAATTCAGAGGGAGCGTCGGCATTTGCTTTTCGCCATCTATGTTCAGGGATAGTCTCTCACTGCCACAAATTTATACAGCATGGAACCTCTTTATATTATTTACTCTATGCCGAAGACCAGAAACCCTTGATTTAAATTTAACAACCCAGGGTTTGTGAATGAGGGCAATGAAATGCTGGTGTTGTCTTGCCGCTTTGGTTGGGGCTGTGGTCTGCCCTTCGTCGTCGGCGGTTGAATCAGTCCTCTGACCTCTCTCTCTCTCCGCCTACCCGTTTGCCTGCCTCATCAGAGGTAGTTCTAGGAGCCTACTTTTGGGCCAGGGTTGGATCGGAGGTGGATGGTTTGGAGGTGACTGTTGGAACAGTTTGACCCATTTGGGCCAGCCTGGCCTTCTTTCTCCTCTGTTGCTTGGGACCGGAGACGCGCTTGCGTGTTGTAGAGGCTCTGGGACCTGTAACATAGGATGAGGAGTATCCTGGGACGCTCCCTCAGGTTTATTATTTTGATCGGTCTCCATGTCAGAACAGATTCGTCCCTCCCCACCCACCAAGGAGTCCAACAAGGGCATGTCTATTCAGACATCAGGTCGAGCATCAGGTTATCAGTCTGCTGCCACTAATAATAATAATAATAATAATCTTATAAATAAAAAATGACAAACCAAACCCATTTTTAGACTTATCTTCCGTCTCCGCATCCGCACAACTGGCGCAAGTCGGTACCGTAACAGCCAGAAATGGTCCGAAAGGCGATGACGAATTTGACATGTTCGCGCAATCGCGAAACGCGACGTATGAGCAGAGCAAAACGGGGTAAGATCGCGCGACGCATTTTTCATTGTTTGTAAACGGAACATTTTAGAGGCAGTTCGTACAAGGATAATCTTAATCCCGATCAAATCTCCGGCGGTTTGAGTTCGGCGACCCAAGCTCGCCAGGTAAGTCCCTCTTTTCCTTTTTCTAGTTGTAGCATGTGTTTTTGTGCGGCAATCAGGGTTTAGTTTCCTTTATTTATATTCTACAGAACTCCAGGGACTCTGATTTTGATGAAATGGCTGCATGGCTTGGTGACACGGTACGTATTGCTACTTCTTTTCTTCCCCAGTTCTTAACCCGCTTTACGTTCATTAACCACTACTAGCGCTCGCTTTTTGTAATCCCCCTAAATCGACGACGTAAACATTTTTATTTTCCGCAACAGAATACAGCCGAAGAATCGGTGACCAGTAGCGAATTTGAGAAGTTTCTGGCGGAACGAGCGGCCGCCGCCGAGTCATTACCGAACGTAAGCGCGACCCCTAGCAGTATCAATGAATCTAATGACCAAGAAAACATTCGATCGCGATCAAAAAATAATAATAAGAAAGAGGGTTTATTAGCATTGTGAATTAATATGATATATTTTGTACATAAGAAAGTGTATACTAAGAGTTTAGTATTGTATAATTGTTATATTCTTAAAATGTTGACTCCTATAAGTATTCTTTAATGCTTATGCTAATTTCTTAATTGCTTCAACTGATATAAATGTTATCTTTTATTAGAGATAGAAATAAGACTACTATTGTAAAACTATGGATATATAACACTTTTAGAAATTTCATTGTTGGTTTTATAGTTCGTTTTAGGTTTTGGGTTAGACGTTAGGTTGTGATCTGTACAATATTTTACCGCTTGCACCATTACACTTTAGAGGTCCCGTTACAAATAGTGACAAAGAGAAATTGTTGCAAGTTACTTCACCTGGTAGACGGATAGCACAACTGACCAACATACAAATACATTTGTAGGTATTTGCACTGTACATCGAAACGCCGAATAATGAAAAACCCTAATTTAACGCACGATACAGAAATGAATTACAATATCCGAGTCTCATATTAGAAGTCTAAATGATATTTTGTTGTGATCAGAATTATACAGCGCCTTTTGTCTATTTCAAACCAAGATTCGGATTTTGCTGGCAGCTAGTAAGCCGCAACCGGTTAGTATTAATTTTCCATTCTTATTTGCCATGTAACTTTTACTTTTTAAACTGTACTTTGCGATTATTATTGGTTGTTAAGTATTAATCGAAGAATTTTTATTTTATATAAATGTTGATAAATTAGACTGTTGGATAATTCGTATAACCAGTGTTAGAATTTTAATATTTTTGTCCGTACCTAATTGTTAAATCGGTATATAATTGTTTTGTTGATGCTTAGATTATAATTTTAGAGTAAGGTAATTGTACTTATTAAAGAAAAAGACACTTTTAACAGAAAGATTTGTTTTTATTTTGGATGGTAATGATTTTTTGCTTTCTTATGTAAAACTTGTTCGCTTACCAAAGAATTATGTTACTTAGGTTTAGTAGATCCTCTGTGGTTTTTCTCAAGATATCTATAATAAATGCATTTTAGCTCACTTAACAATTATTTGTTTTTTTTAATAAATCCCTTTCCGGTCCAGATTTTAAAGTTACATTTTATTTATTTTGTTTTGTTATAGGAAACTTTTGGAGACATAAGCTGAGAATCTGTTTCAAGCGTACAGTTATTCACAAACAACATGTCCGGTCCTGTTTTCTGCAGTGTCTTGATCAGTCTCCCATTATCTGTTATAGCAATATCGCCTTGATTGCTTTATTTTTTTACGTTTGTGGTTGAAATGACACCGAACTAGCAATACTAGCGGGTGTTCCTCAAGGGCCTCTCATCGGACCACTTCTATAAAATACCAAGAGGTGGTGAAAATAAAGGCGCGATAAATGGAAGGCTGGAAAATCACTTGCGATAAACTTCTGCCGGAAGCTTCAGATCTCCTCTACACACAAAAATAAACTGTATAATTACAAAGCTGAAATTTAATGAAGGTAAAAAAATTGAACATCTAGCTGTAATTTACAAGTCGAAATCTGTAGACGATGACGGCGGCGATAGTCGACGGAATGGGATCACCAGAAGTTTTTGGTCTCTCTTGCTTATGGACAAGATGCAGTCGCTGATGGTAAGCTCCAGGTAACTCGAGTGGAGAACGGGGGTCCCAGGAATTCTTAAGGTTTCTCTGTAGTCAATCCGCCATGGAAAAATTGCTAAACTTTCTTATGAAATGCTGCTTTTGTAGTTGAAGTCTTAACAAATTCTCGATAGTGGATATTCTTTGCAATGATGAAAAGAACGGCGGTACTTAAAAAAATTGAAATATCGGTCTTAGTTTTTTAGGAAGATCGATGAATAGAAAAATCGTTTTTTGTAGATAACAGCCGTTGTAATGAGGGTAGAAAAACGTACAGCACCAGTTTGGAAATCCGCCAGTATTTCCTACGGCGGTACTTAAAGATATTATTTCTATTTATTATGATAAGGCATATCTTTTAAACAATATGTTTCGAGATCTTCAGAAAAAAATCAAAACGCTAACGTAAGGATAGGCAACTCAAATTGCACTTATAACGCCTGAGGCGACAACTCATTACTTGAAAGGGAAAACAAAAGAAACTACCTGGCATTACCCTACACATTGTTACGCCGTTCCTAATGATATGGATTAGATAAATTACTATTTATTATTTATTTATTTGAATGCTGTTGATTTGTAAATCATAATTTTTTTTCATTTTTTTTGCATCCCATCCATGCGGAGCAGTCAAGAGCCGATTCCCACAAAATGTGGTGTAAATGATTTTAACGTTTTAAATGGTCCATTTAGGTCCAAATAACGTGTATTTGAAGAGTGTACACCAATTTTTTCCGCCACAACTTTTGGCAGCCAAAAAACCTCAAAACGTTCGGACTTTTTTCAGTTTTTCGCTTAAAACTCGAAAACGGTCCATATTTTATGAATAACACTTCTTTAGTAAATTAAAGAAAACAAAATTCTGCGTCGATAAAAAAAAAACAAACAAAATCGGACCACCTTTTGCTGGTCAAAATTATCTGCATACTGTACTAAGAGTAAGTTTTCGTGGAAATTATCTATTTCGAGAAATGCGACCAAAAGCAAAAAATGCACATGGCCTTTGCTTTCCATAAAGTTGCGCCCAATAGATAACAAATGACACATAGGCATTTTTTCACTTATTAGCGGAACATAAACATAGGAAACGTCGTGGTATATTATATAAAAGAAACGCTACCGATATAAATACAATTCCCTTTTTTAGTTACATTCCTAAGCGAGATATACGACTACTAATGGCAGACACTGACAATTTTATTTAAAAAAGTGTCACTGTTTTGCTCATGTAAAGTCAAGTTAGTGAAAGTGGTGGATATAAAAAAATTCTTGCACTTTTAAAAAAATTCGACTATTTATCTTTCCGTTTGAGAATACCTTTTGATGGAGTCCCACAAACTTCACATCAACTTGGCGAATTTTTTTCAAATTTCCAATACTCGTAGCGACAGAAACCGGTAAATTTTTTACTACTACCTACTTCTTTTTCAATATGGACTGATATCAACTTTATCAACAGGAATATTTGTCCCTCAAAAAATAGGAGGATCAATTAAATTTTATTTTTACCAGTGAATTCAGGGCAAAAAAGTGAAGTCATCTTACCGCACAAAAGATGTTCGGAAAAATTCTCCATGGGTCGTGCATAGATATAAATAAGTAATACGCTAAATGTACAATTGTTATTAATTTTTGAAAAGATAAGGATTTATTTAGAATCAGTATAAATGTTATATGTATTTTTAATCATTGTAACAGAATTTTAAATGTTAGCTACCATTTTTATGAAAAACATACAATTTTTTTTGTTTACCCTTGTATATAAAGTGTTCGAAGTGCCGGTTTTTTTAGGATCCTACCATACCTAAGTGAATTCATTCATGCACATGTACCTAATAACTACCTATAAAAATCTTTATAAATCAGTAAAAATAATTAGAACAAATCACAAGAAATAAAGGGGTAATTAAAAAATGTTATAACAAACAATCCTACATAGTCCACTAATTACCTGAAAACCAGGTAATTTACAGAAGGTGTCATTATAGAAAAATGCAGTAAATACATTGAATAAGTAATTTATTCAACGTAACAGAAATAGGTATTTGTGCATCTCCAGTCAAATATTGTACAGCTTTTCGATAAACTTGCTTACATAATTATTAGTTCTTGATCATTATACATGGTCTATTGTGTTTAACAATAAATGAAGAGAATATGCAAATCTGAGAAGAATAGATAGGTACATCGTTGGTTTCACTCAAGGAGATCATGTAGCAGTGTGTATTGTTGGCTTAGACCATATAGTACATGGACTGCTAATTGTAACTAAAATATAGTCAAGGACATCGCCTGGGCATGTGAGTTTCAGGGTAAACGAGTCTGTCCGAAGTTGTCCGATTAGGCACGATTTGAGATTGTCAACCTATAAATTTACAAACGTCAATTAATTAATCGCATTGATATCCCTAAAAAAGCAAACTTATTCTTATTTGTGGACGTATAGCAAATAATGAAGAGTATTTAAAGCTTCCTGTACTACGCGGTTACTATAAAACTGCTCTTTAAGCGACCCTAGTGGTGTTTACGCGACTTTAGTTTACCCTGAGATTCACATACCCACGACTACAGTGCCCTCTATCCGTGACCATCCATTTTGTATTGAAAGCATAGGGCGAATAGCAGTCCATGTACTATATGGTCTAAGATTGTTGGTGGTCTAACAGAAAAACTTAGTTACGGAACAGCCATTCTTTTAATATGTGGCTTATCGTTGTTTGTGTGTGTAGTGACCTGTTGTTCGTAATTAAAATTTTCTCCGTGAATGAAGCAGTCACGGGGCGGCAAAACCTGCACTCAAATGAGTTCATTCAACTGTACGTTCGAAACCCCGAACGAGGGGCGAATTACATATCTCGGGGGCGAAATATTATGCAAATCAAAGCTCTTTGGTTTTGAATCTATGTGCGATAAATGAGTTGTGATTCATCAATTTCTACATATTTTGTCTTAGTTGAATTTGCCTACAAGGCCATGAATTTTCCATCTTGTCCTTAACTAAAACACTTAATTGCACCAAAGATGCATATGTACCCTCAAAGCCAACTTGAATGATCATCAATTTTGCAATTTAAATTTGTGAATGTTCGTATTTTCGCCATATCTCTGCTTAGAAAACAGTTAGCAAAATGCAGTTTTCACTGACATTCTCACTTTTTCCCCTTATTTGATAATATCATATAATAATTATATCGTTCCATTTGAAATTTTCAAAAAATAATACAAAGTTTTTGTTAACGTCACATCGCGCCCTCTACCACGCAGCACATTTACTAAAAAGACTCTATTCATGTAAAATATTGTAACGTGATTTATAAATTCGGGTTCGATTTATATCAATATTTATTAGACAAAACTAAAACGCTATAAAAACCGTACAATTTATATCGACTATTTATATTACACACTTCGCAATTTATATTTCCGCGCTCGATGTTTCATACGTACTCGATCTCGTTCGGTAGTAAAACTGACTGCGATGTTCGGTCCGCAACCATTTATACACGCAAGCAATGTAAGTCCAGAACACTCGCGTAATTACCGGATAGTCTCGAATATTCCTATACAAATCCCACTATCGCGCGCGTAGAAAATTCCAGAGCGCCAAAGGCGACGTCATGTCTGGAGCGTTTCCGTTACAATATGATTCCACAAAGAGCGCTCTTTCCAATAAGACCTATTATGTAAAAATCTGTTAATCTAATCCGAAGTTACATTTAATTCCTTAAAGAGATGTTCCCCTTCCCACACTCCTCATATTTTATGAGCTAGAGCAATATGTGCTGCATCAAAATGATGCAAAATTGCTGTGCATGCATTTTTATGCGTTTGTTGGGTATATTTTAGAAAAAGTCATTTTTCTACTTAACCATGAATCGCACGCCCTCTAGCGGCGAAGCTAGAAACTTGACAATTTCCAGAAATTTGGCCCTTTTTGTTAACAAAATTTTTTTCCCGAAGCTGAGCAATTAACGGTTCCATAAATATAGCCTGTGACCATTATTAATTGGACACCCTATACACTGAATCTATTCATTATTATATTTTTTAAATATGTAGATGTGTTCTTAATTCTCAACTGGTCTGAAAATAGGTGAGGAAAAGTTGGAGGTTGCGGGTTGACTTCCAGATATTGAAAAATAAGGGATTAAAGGGGGAGTGGTTAAAACAAAAGATAAAGGGGGTGAAGGTAGAGTGGTCATGAACACCGTAGGTTGTTACGCGAAGTTGTTAACTCGGCTTGAGTCGCCAATGAGGATACTTCAAGGCACGCCAGCGCCCCCTACGCGCGTAGTACTTTTTTCGCAATCCCCTAAATGCAATAATAAATCAAATTAGTTCTTAAGTCCTAATGTTTGTTCCGAGCCCCAGTGCCATGTAATTGGAATTTTTATTCTGTATGGTGTCTGGTTAAACAAATAAATAAAAAAAAATGTTTTGAGACGTTTTCGGTTGCCTACTATGCTGGTCATGAAAAAGTAGATTTTTGTGGGTTAAGTAAAAGATAGAATAATGCTTCATCTGAGTCTTCATTGCAGTCAAACATGTTTAAATAGTAACATAAATATTTCCATATTGTTTATTAAATTAAACCAGCTATCCATTTTATACTGTACTGGCAGTACTTACAATTATCTTTAATAACTTAAATCATCGAGAAAGGTATGATCACAATTTGTGTGTCTTTAAAATAATGTAGAAATGATAGAACTAAACAAAATATACACATTATTACTATACATAAAACTTCGTACAAATCACATTAAATTAAATCGTAAATGTCCTTTTGGTAAATTCAAAGAAAAGTTTGTACATAACGCTAATGTAAAGAGACCGTAGAATTTCTATCTAGGAACGTGAATTTAAGCACTATCGTCGCTCTCTTCCGGCAAAGGGACAAATTCCTCTTGCTGTTGTACCGAGTTGCTTTCGGACTGGTACTCCTCAACGGTGGGGGAAGTAGATGACTCGGCGTCATTGGCATTTCTACCAACCGTAGGATCAAAGGCCTCCCTTATTTGACTACTGGCCCCTTTCGGATCCAAATCGGTTGCCCAACTGAAGTGCATCAGGGCCAAGTCGGTGTTTCCCAATTTCTTGTGCACCTTACCCATTAAATAATAAACCAAAGATTCTTTGGGTACGATCTCTTTTAGCTCCTCCAGTTCCTTGAGCGCTTCGGCATGGCGCCCGAGCGCGAAATAAATGGAGCCCCGATGAAATTTGCACAGCGCATTTTTATTGTCGTTGCTTATGGCCGTATTAAACGTCTGAAGAGCTTTCTCGCTTTTCTTTAACGCGTGCTGTACCATTCCGACATGGCACATGAGAACGGAATTATGGGGGTTGATCGAGAGCGCTCTCCAATAGTTGATCTCGGCCAACTGGTAACGTTCCTGCTTCGAGTATATCGTGCCAATGCCAAACCACGCGTTGTAATGACGGTGGTTGATACGAATTGCGTTCCGAAAGCAACTCATTGCCTTGTCTAGCTCTTCGGTCATGATGTATTCGTGACCTAAGAGGGTGTAAGCATATGCACAGGAAGGGTCGACCTGCACGGCGCGTTGCAGAAACTTAATGGCGGTATCGTGTTCCTTGTGTAGTGAAAAACAGTTGCCGTTCACGCACCAAGTTATCGACGAATTCTTGTTTAGCTGGATCAGTTCTTGGGCTAAAGCCGACAGCGTGACCTCTTTCTGCAAATGCCATAAGGCCGACGAGTAAATGTCCATATAGTCTATTCGATACGGTTCCTTACTACGAATTTCGCTAAAGTAATTTATACAATTCTCATACTCCGACATCTCGAAGTACGCCAGGCCGATCATCGAGTACACCCAAGTTGTTGTGTGATGGTGAGAGGGGAGATTATTTAATTCGACTATCGCTGTCTTACAATTAAATTGTGATAAATTGAGATAGGCCTGGCCCATACTTCGTAATAGACACATCAGACCTTCGGCACTTTGTTTTATGGCAGCTTGTTGACTCGTTATTGCACTATTCTTCGTTTCAGTCGAGGTTATCGTTTCCGCTTTCTCCTTCTCGAGGCGATTTTTGGCGTTTTCTGTAAAAGTGTCCGTTTTGGTTAAATTACATTTGGCAAAACGTTGCTTTGTTTTTCTCGACGGAGACTTTGGTGTCGCAAACTTATTTCGATTCGGAGATTTGTTGTTCTCTTTAACCGAGTAGCTATGGCTGCTAAATATGCGGGAACTACGCCGTACGTTCGACTGTATGTTAGTGGCGGGAGTGGGAGTACTTGGGGAAATCGTATTACTAGACTGGCTAAAGACGGGTTTACTATTTTGCAAGTGAGGTTCCTTTCGATTAATTAAGTGTCCCATATGAGCTCTAACTTTTTTCGCTAGCGATTTGTGTTGATCGTTCACTTCGGTGAGTGTCGTTTGAGAAACTATCGGTGTCGACATAAATGTATCGGGGCTATCGAACTGCAACTGTCCAAAACTCGGCTGGGGACTAATAGATCCGGATGCCAAGCGATTTCTTAGGGGCTTTATTCGAGAAGGGGGTAATAATCCGAGTCCCGACAAACACAGTGGATTAGCTAGTGGGCTTTCGTCTGGCGAGCAAACCTTCGAATTGAGACGAGTTTGATTTAAAATAGGGAGCTGTTGTGGTGTTATAAACGATTGGGTATCCATGTTCGGTGTCGACATATTTTCTACGTTATTCATACTGAGTGAAACGTTATCTGACGATGACACTTGGAAAATACTGTTCGGATTTGGTTTTTCTCCTAAATTACACAGCTCTACAAAGCTTGACCATAAAAATGGGTTCAATTTAAGCGCCTTCCTGAAAGCTTCCGCCGCCTTCCCTCTTCTTTCAGTTTTAACCAAAATCTTCGCCAAGAGAAATAACGCAAAGGAAGCCTGTTCACCGAATTCGGTGATCAAACTATCAAAGGATCCCTCGCGCTCCAACAATGCCGCCTCTGCTTCGAAATATCTGAAACAAAACTAATGTAAATTCTGTACAACAAAAATGAATTTTAATAACGTTCAAACTACACTGTATTCATTGCTTACACCGAATATCCACCAAAAATGCCTACTTACTTTTGCATTTCGTACGCACAACAACCAAACAAATAGCGACATTGAGGAGTTGAACCGAAGCGATCCTTCAACACATAATAAGCGTGATCCATCTTCCCACTCCTATAGTAAGCGGTAGCAAGCATAAACAAACTGTCATCGGTTTTCACTAGAATCAACCGATTAAACACCTACATATTACATAATGAACCACTACCTTCAGCGTGTAATCTTTCGGATAAAAAAACGGCGTCTAAATAATCGTAATGATCTAAGCAATGCCATATTGCTGCCTGAAAGTATTATGTTTAATATACATCTTTTTTTTTAAGGTTAATTGATACCTTCACAGGTTCTTGAAGAATCATGGCTTCAATTCGGAATTATCTATTTAACCACAATAACTATAAATATATCATCAGTACAAGGTTTTGAGGTAATGTCCCAATGGGTCTTTGGCTATTTTAATATACGTTTATTTTCAAAATTTTTGACGTACGCTTGATAAAATCGCAGCCATTTTATATAAAATTGAATCTTTGACAATGTTGCCAAACTAGCTTCCACAGAGACGTCACCATTTTGAATGTACAAGGTACTAAAAAATAATGGATCAATCGATTTAAAAAAAAACAAACCGTATTCGTATACATATTGTTACATTATACAATGATTATACATTAGCATGCATTGTATTATTTTTTGTTTACTCTCTTTCACATCAGCGATAGAGGAAGCATCAATTGCTAATATTATCTCTTTATTGACCTATGATGGTGAGTATTTACCTGAGATACTATTTCTTGTTAATGTATTTCTCTTTTTAGGCACTAAGCTGTCGGCGGGATGTGTGCCGCGTTTGCTCATTCCGGACAAGCGGAACCCTGAGACCTTTTTATATGTTTGACCATTGAATAAAAACACTATAAGAAGCCTAACGCTTATGGAAGAAAGCGCGACAAATCTCACAAATCCCCTTGCACCCGCATTGGTTGTGAAACTCTCTTTGCGGTAAATAGGAGGAAAGCAAATTCTCATTCTTCTCAGCGAATCGACTCTATTGACAGTGTTCCCATTATATTCTCAGTTCAAACTCTGTCGCGCTTTATTTCCACGGGGTTAGGCTTCTTATAGTGTTTTTATTCAATGGTTTGACGCTGTTTAAGCGCAATGCGAAAGCGTTTTTGCGTCGTTTCGAGGAAACCTATGGATCCACTGGTACACACCAGAGACCAAGGAGCAGTGGAAACAGTGGATTTCACACGGCGAATCAGTTCCGAAGAAGGCGAAAACTGTCCTATCAGCCGGAAAGATGACCGTTGATCTATCTGGAGAAGGGCAAACCGGTCACAGGCCTCTACTATGCCGAATTATTGAACCGGTTCGACGCGGTGTGTCATATATTTCTTCGGTATACACACAAATTGACAAAGGAGAAAGAAAGAGGCTTTCAGAGCCAGATTTACACATACCACACATGGAAGCGATCGATAGACAATTAATTAAAGAAAATCTTAATTACTTACAGTTTTTAATAATCCTTACGAACTGTACGTCTTGAGAAATCTGTAAAATTAGTAACGAATATTTAAATTTTGTTCTAGGAATGGAAAGAAAAGCAATTTTTCACTCAAAAATGGCATAAGCCACAACGCGAATTTTCAAACAATACTGAATAATCAAAGCTGAACATATGTGACGTATTTCTACATCATTTAAATTGATATAGTATACGAAAAAGTATGAAAAAACAAATTAATATATTGTTGTCACAAGAAGTTCTAATTTAAAGACACGTTCTACCATTGAATAAATAAGTTCTGTGCTTCTACATTGCAAATGTTTCTCGAGTGAATACGCAACACACTGTACAAGGAGTATTAGTAGTGTCAACATTGTAACAAAGTTCGTGATATTTCGTGAAACGAACTGTCACTTCTGTCAAAAACCTGTCAAATTTGTTTTTTCGTTGATACCGTCTGCTCCATGCGGATTTTGTGGAAATATTTTTATCGAAAAGTGATTAATTAATTTGAAAAATGCCTCCAAAAGCAAAAGCAGCTGCGTCTAGTAAAAAAACCGAACAAAAAAAGTTTTTTCGTTGATACCGTCTGCTCCATGCGGATTTTGTGGAAATATTTTTATCGAAAAGTGATTAATTAATTTGAAAAATGCCTCCAAAAGCAAAAGCAGCTGCGTCTAGTAAAAAAACCGAACAAAAAAAGAAGGAGAAAGTGATAGAGGTCAGGAAATACAGAGCACTTATGGGTCGGCTTGCTTATGATTGCTTTTAGGACAAAACTTTCGGATTGAAAAACAAAAAGGGCGCTAAACAGCAGAAGTTTATTCAGCAAGTCGAAAAGCAGGTTAAATCTGGCGGGCAGCATCCGATTATGCTGGATGGCTCCGGCAAAAAAATAGACAAAGAGAAGAAGCTTAAAGAACAGAAGGAGCTGGCGATGCTGTTCAAACCGGTACAGTCGCAAAAGATCGAGAAAGGTGCCGATCCTAAGTCGGTCGTTTGTGCGTTTTTCAAACAAGGCCAATGCACGAAAGGCGATAAGTGTAAGTTCTCGCACGATTTGACCATTGAACGAAAGGCGGAGAAACGATCGCTTTATTTCGACATGCGAGATGATGAAGATGCCATGGATAGTTGGGATGTCACAAAACTGGCAGAAGTGGTTGAAAAGAAGCACGGCGAGACTAATAAGATACCAACGACTGATATTGTGAGTACCACGAGTCGAGGGGTTTTTGACCATTTAATTTAAAAATTTAAAAAAAGGTGGTTCACTATAATAATTTTTGAAAATTTTGGAATTTGCTTTCATGTTGTGTACCATTTCCCAGTGTGAAACACCCCTCAGCTACGACCTACTGCTTATTTTTTATTGCAAAACATTTCAGATTTGCAAGCACTTTTTGGAAGCCGTCGAAAAATCGAAGTATGGTTGGTTTTGGCAGTGCCCCTCCGGCGAAAAGTGTATTTACAGGCACGCTCTCCCTCCCGGATTCGTCCTGAAGAAAGACAAGAAGAAGGAGGACAAGGGAGACGAAATTTCCCTAGAAGATCTAATCGAGAGGGAACGAGCAGCGCTTGGTCCTAATCAAACGAAAATCACCTTGGAAACGTTCGTCGCGTGGAAAAAGCGTAAACTGTTCGAGAAGGCGGAAGCTGAGAAGAAGGCAGAGGACAAGAAACGAAGCGATTTCAAAGCCGGTAGGCAAGTGGGGCTGTCTGGTAGGGAGATGTTTAGCTTTAATCCCGATTTGGTGGCTGATGAAGACATGGAGGAGGGTGATGAGGCATTCGATTATTACGCTGTCGAGGACGAAGATGATAATGTATATAAAGAATTGGAGCTTGATATTATAGGTCTGGAAGCACAAGAGGCGGATAACTCGGGTACCATGGCGGCGGTAGATCGCCTGAAAGTTAACCTAGTAGAAACTCTACCTAACGGAATATCGATAGGTGGAGAGGTCCCAATTAATGAGAACCTATTTGTCGATGATGACCTTGAGGATTTAGACAATGAGCTTCAAAACCTAGAGATTGAAAAATGATGCACACTGTAATCATTAATTTTAATGTAAAAATATGTAACTATTAAATTAAGAATAATTTAGTATTCTTCAGTAATCTTCCACAAGTCCTCAAATACTTTGTGGTATTGCCCGATCAAGTAGGGATTATCTGTAAAGATCAGACTGTCCCAGTTGCCGGTCATTCCTTGAATTGTTAAGTTTAAAGTTCCAAAGAACATTTTACGCTTCATAAGTGAGTTTTCATCAGCATAACAAAACTTGTGGTGTATGACTTCGTCTGAAGATTTTTGTGTCTTAACGGTTAGACCTACAATAAAATTAAGTCACATTGAAATTTGGAGGACATTGCCCACCTGCAGCTTGAAGATGCCTAATTCTTGCTGCCTTATTCTCTGCCATTGTTTTATCCACTATGATACGAACTTTAACTCCTCTTTCATGAATGAGGATTAGAGCATCTTGAATTTCTTGCGAAGTTAATAAGCATATACACAAACACAACGTGTATCTTGCAGTTTTAACAAACTCAACAATTCGCTGAAAGTCAAAGTAAGCGCATGTCTGTTGGCAGGGACGGCTCTTGTAAATGTGAAGTTTGCAATTGTAATTATCGACCGAAAAATGTACAGGTTTATACCAGTAATTATCTACAACCTTTTTCTTCAATGCCTTATTAGCTTTGTATCGCATGTACCTCAAAACAAAGTATGCAGGTACACTGGAAACAATTGAAAGCACTAATAAACTGGGCGCATGAGGGCACTCGGAACGAATTTGACGAAGAATATCCATTACAGACTAAAGTTATAAACTATAGTTTAAAAAATCAAACATCATATGTAATAAACCACCTTTTTGTTTATGATCAAACGCACAGCCCATCACAAAACACGTTTTGTGCAGCCCATAAACATAAACAATGCATCGCACGTGGATAACATAACACTTGTTACAGTGGCCACCGGTGTTGCCAGATTTCAAACGCTCATTTCCGTACTTTTAAAATTGCCATAGGCGTACAATACTGCGAGGAAAAATCGATATCCAGGTATTTGTGACGAAATTGTGAATTTAAACTTGTAGTGTACTTAACCCCCAGGTGCTATTTAAGGCTATCTTACGTTAGTTGTAAACAACGCTATGAAATACTGTAAGGAAGCACCGCAAATTAAAACGCTGACATAACCAAACGTTTGTTTAATAATTATCGTTATTATTGTGAACGCTCGGAAGGTTAGTCCAAATAAATTACAATGTAAGAATAAACTTTGTAATGGTAGTACACCCTGTAAAAATAGTAAGCTGGGGAAAAAAGGCACTTGGCAAGAAAAAAACCAGCCCACAAATTAATATTAAACTGTAGTATAGTACAATTACCTAATTAGTGCATATGTTGAAAAGCTTGTTTCGACTGATTTTTACAGCTTATTTTATGTAAATTTCAGAACCGATTGATACCACTCTCCCAGAGTTGAGCATTTTGAGGTATTCAAAATGGCGTCCAAGATGGCGCCCGAAATATTGCAAATTTTATTCTGAAGCGATATTAGCTTGTTACTATTATATGTTTTTTTAGCGCAAGGAGTAGGTATGCATAAACAGTCCAATTTTAGGTACAGTTAATTTGAAAAATATTATTCCCAAACCATAGAGGAAAATTGTATTTCCTCTATGCCCAAACTAAAGCTGCAATGAACATTTTTAAGTTTTAAAGTTATAAAAATTCGATACAGATGCGAAGATCGTTTTTGGACTGTACTTTTTGACCCGATAGTCTACATAGCTGAACATGCAATAGAGACCTTTCTTATATCCTTAAAAACAAGCGTAGTAATTTTCAAAGCGATCGGACTTTGAGCAGAGTTATCGTGTACACGAACACACAGACGGACAGACAAAATTATAAACGATTTCGAGGATCGTTAATAATTGAAGGAGTATTGCTTCAAGAATACGTTCGATATTTAATATATCATAAAAGTTACCTTACTTCAAATGCCCTCTGACTTCGGCATTGAAATGGACTGTAGTTCTGAACCTATACCTATAGTTTTTTTGCTAGGAGAAGGTAATAGTTATATTTATATAAGTCAGGAAAATGACACATTACTGGCGAAAAAAATGAAGTTTAATTTCCGAGTCATTATAATTACTAATTTTGTATTAAATTTGAAGGTTTCATGACGATTTTGGGTAAAAGTTTTGATTTCTAGCGTAGTGTTTTAACCGCTGATAAGAAAACCAGCTGTCGCACATAATTGTGAGGTTTCTAATTGCTACCGTAGAGATACGTCAATTATGTTTTTGGCATCCGACAGCCCTCGGTATGGGGAAGCAGAGAAGGAATAATATTTTATAATTTCAATTTAGTTAATTAATTATTACCGATTTTAGTTTTGCAATGTTAAGCGAAGACGAGCATTAAAGCATCGAGTCATGTAATAATGGGCAGTTACTGGGCTACTGAATTTGGAAATTTTAATCCGGCTATTTAAGTGAGTATAATTAACCGTAGTTAATTAATTGTGTTGCAGCAAACTTCGTCTGATTATATTGGGTTTGGTCTCAAAGGAAGTGCGCTTAATTAACTTAGATTTCAAGATTTGTCTCCGATTTTTAGGACGCCAGGGAGCTTGGTAATTACATAAAGAAGTAGGTGAGTAGGTAAAAGGAAAAATTCAATTTTGCGTGAAGCTCATATTTTCTAAAGCGATTGATTCATTATAAAGAATTCATAGAATCGTACTACCTATAATATTTTAGCACAGCCTGAGGATGGCTGCTCGGCCGAAATTGATTACTTTAGAAAATAAAGCTTCACGCAAAATTGAATTTCTCATTTTACCTGATAACATAGAAATTAAAAAAAAATTAAATACTTTATAAAGAAAATATAGTATATTAAGTATGGAGAACGGTAAGGGATTTTTACCGTTCGAAGACAATTGTTTGGAGGAGGAGCGAAGCGACGACTCCAATTATTGTCTGAGAACGGTAACCCTTAACGTTCGACGTGCTTATAACATTTTTTGCGCGATCGAAATTAAAATTATGCAACCAATATAAATATGCACTAAGAAATTAACGAGCAGAATAAATCGAAATGATCGAAGTGGTATGGTGTACATCACTAGGTAACCAGTTTATTTGTCAAAATTGAAGTTACTAATTTCATAAAAATGTGCATGTGTCTGATGTAGTTTACTAGCTTTGCACTTCCTTTATGACTTTATGAGCGTCTTGCCATAGGAAACAACAGCACAAATTGTACGTTTAATGTAACAATAATTAAAGATTAAATGTAATGTAAGACTGTTGATTTTTAAAAAGGCGTCGGTAAGTATTTTTGCTGTTCTGTTTTTAGATCGGTAAGTAATTTTGACGTCGTCGTAATCATAGCAACTGGTAAATTCTACGTACTGTCATGGAAACACCCATGGTAAATAGTCAGAAATGACCGATCGCGCAAAAAATAAATTTAAGTATAAATTGGGTTCGTTTTCCTCGTTTCATTTTCACGTAGTTAGTAAATAAAATGCAGTTAGTCAATTTGTGCTTCCACTACCGTATGAGAAATGGGTACCGTGTCCGTATATAGCAATTACCATACAGGCCAAATGGACGTCAGAAGGTAAACCCTCCCCTTTACGATTTGACACGGCCTACAGTAATTTTGTTTTATATATTCGCCAGAGACAGCCGCCATTTGCCCTCCAGATCTCTGGAGTTGTCCATTTCTCTGTCCGGGTACCCGTGCGTTGCGAATTTCCACTCCGAAACCGCCGTCCTGGACCAGGAGCAAGGGGTTGAAACCTCCTGGTGGCGCTCGAGATTTCTGTACCGTTTGCCGACCACCACATCCAGGTTGCCGCGGACTACCGTCGCTTTCAGAATCTTTTATTCACTGATTGTTTCCGCAGATGGAAGTAAACAATGACGCACGTGTTCTCTTGAGAACCCGTAATAATTGATCGTGGCTTCTCGCTCGGTGCCTAAACGAAGATTTTTTATGAATTTTTAAACTACCCGTGTACACAAAATTTGGCGAACCATAAAAACGTACTTTTCCGCTCGGTGGCTAATGGCAGAATTCAACTTCCTAATTAATTAACTCGTTTGATTCGTTTGACATCCATCAATTACGCTACCTCTAGAGCCATTACCAAAATCCCACGCTTGCGATGAAGACACTACGTATTTTCTACACCGCCTATTTTGGTCACCTAGACCTAATTAAGATAGCATTCTCTCCTGTTATCGTCGACAGGTTGTCGCCAAGACGACAGTCATTAAACCCGTATGTAATCAAACGTTATATCAAGGAGTCGTCGAGAATAAAAAAAAATTCCTTTGAACTGCAGGTCGCAACCTTGTGAGCTCAGAAAGCCGCGTTCTGCCCCATCTATAACAGATAACAACACAATCAAACAACAAAAGGAGTAGTGAATAGCGCGGCACAATAATATTGCGAAAGCAATGTCTAACACCAGACACTGATCAGGTAAATCGTATAATAAAACTGTAATTATTACTCAATAATATTCAATAATTTTGACGACCACGAATTTCTCGTACAAACTAAATTTCTATACAACAGCAGTACAATATAATTAATTTAAAATGTAACTCAGGTAGTATGAACAAATTCTTCGGGATAAAGCAAGTAACGTAAGTAGTAATTGGAGATATCCATTTCGGATTTAACCTGTCGAGAAGGTACCTATTCTTCGTAGCGAAACAAGTAGCGTAAGTAAAATCAGATCTATCAGAGCAATTTACAAGATAATAATTTCCAAAAGGGTTTCGTTAATAGGTACTTGCGGTTGAAATTCAGTAATAATATCGAAATCTTCAAGTACAAATTTCGATGTAGGTAGTGAGGATTGTAGAATGAAGTAGAATCACCAGGTTTATGTAGGTAGAACGGGGTAGATCACATGACGTTGTCTCTTCTAATCTTGTAAGCTGGAGGGTCCAGGTAAAAATGTGATGTCGTGCACGTATTGTGTAGGTAATAGGTTAATATCCAGGTAGATACAGCGAAAAAGGTAATCCAAAAGAGAAAACAATGAGAAAACTCAGAAACTTGTTGTTGAGGAACTCTAAATGAACTTGAGGTAAAATAAAGAGAATTTTGAGAAAGAAAAAGAAATACAACTGACCGCAATTCCAAATTAAAGACGGGATAGCAACGACCTGGGGCGGCGAAACAAAGAATTGTGATAATAATAAACCACTACAGGAATAACTGGTGGATAACAAAGGATGCTAGATGGCGTAAGAATATCAAATTTAATTTCTATTTTAAATAAAACGTAAGTAACAACCTGAATAGTTCTTATTTATATGAAGGCTTTAAGCAATATATTTACACATACAGCTGACGTTCACTATACTAAAAATATTCCAATGGTGGTACATCTTCACAAGTCTCGATCTGCAACAGCAAACAATTTTGTATTGGTTCCACCTCCAGATAACAGTGTCTGCAAGTGTATTAATATACAACTTTGTGTAAACATACCACGTTAAGTGTGTACCTTTTTTCGTCCTTTACCGATTTATGAGTGGCAGTCGATTTGATATCTTCCCTGTTTTTGAAAAAACTCTCTTTGTAGTTTAGCTTTGGCATTGTAATAAGCAAATGTCCAGTGACCTGCGATCTTTGCACTTTACTCGCCTCGATCTTAATTTCCTCCGGAAGCACGTATTGGAATATCTTTCCCTTTATGGATACTCTCACATATGTCGGCTCCAAATCGACGTTAATAAAGTTGGAATCCAAATACCTGTATATGGCGACGTCCAATCTGAATTCCCGCGGGTCATCTTCAAATTTGAAGGGAAGTTTGGTTTGGTTAATGTTCAGGGGACGACCTTCCTTAGTGAATAGCCGAACAGCTTTGACCTCCTTAACGGGCTGATCCGTACAATCGCGCTTTCTCTGCCTGTTCGCTAGCTCCACTCGCGTTTCCGGAGCGTTTTCGGACTTTGTCTTCCAAAAGGTATCATCGTCCACCTCGTCCTGAGGTCGGGACAGCCTTTCTCTCTGCTCATTTCTGAAGACGTAGTAATCCGCTTGGCTTTTCAAAACTTTGCCCTCCACATGGCGCAACATTTGCGCAGCTTTAATTCGCTCGCTTCGCGTAATTTCTGCGTTATCCAACGTTTCGATTTGCGGCAACTTTGCGATGACGTAATTTCGATAGCCGGAATAATCGGAGCACGGATTCCCCGTTAAGCATAGGTATTTAAGGTGAGTGTTCGCAATTAGACTGGTTACACTTTCAATATCTCCAATAAAGTTGAGCGTCAGGTCTAATTTTTCCAATGATTCGCATCTTTCGAGATTTTCCACTCGTTCTATGTTGTTGATCGCAAGATTAAGGTAACGGAGGTTTTTAAGTTTGTTTAAATTTTCTGCAATTGTGCATGATGAATAGTTAAGACTGTTTTTACCTACCTATCTTGGAGATTAAATTCGACTGCAGCAGTAAAATTTCTAGATTTCGGCACCAGTTATTTAGGTGTTCGATTTTTTCGACATGCTCTTGGTGTAAAGACAGCTCCTCCAACGAGTTTATTATTCCTTCATTATGTTCTGATTTCTTCCTAACTAATTCTTCTGTAACTGAAGGGCAATGGGTTATCCGAAAGGAACATGGTCATCTACAAATACTTACTTCTGACCATTTTAAAATTAAAATATATTGGCCACTAGCTTATAATGTCAAATTCGCATGTGTGACAATACACATATCGATCAAACAATGGTAGGGGAAACCAAATTATACCGCTAGATTTAATATGAATTTTTTTAATGGCACGTCATTTTCAGCATATTTCAAACGTTTACCACATTTTCTTCACGCATAGGTACCCACATAGCATTCGATATCTTATGTACATACATTTTAAATCCATAAAGTACACGGAATATCCTGTCCATCTTATGTATATACTATGTATACTCATTATCGGATAGGCATTATGTATTTTATGTTCAGTATGGATATTCTATAAATATACATTTTGGATATGTATAAACATGGTATTATATGTTATGTATATGCGTTTTGGATTTGATACATGCGTGTACTGTATTACCGACGTTACAAACGTTATTATAAAAAGTAGTCGAATACTTCGAAAAGTATTCGAATACAGTAAAAAGTATTCCAATACTTGTCACTCAAATACATTAAAAATGTAAAATAGTATACTAGATAAAAGTCTTAATACTACTTCAAAAATCAAGTTATATGGGGTTAGCTTTTTTTATATTTCTATTGTTATATACAAATTTAAGGGGAGTAAAAGTAATAATTTCAAACAGTTCTAAGATTGGGCTACTAGTTCAAAAGTTACAGCCCTTTGAATTTTCTTTCGAAATTGGTTTCTAGTTTATAACTTTTGACTTGAATGAGAAGTATTTGTATCGGACACTGCCTTTTTTTGAGCTCCGAAAAAAAAATTGGTTTTCTTATAGAATGTGGCCTGTAGAATCCATAATTTCAAACAGTTCTAAGATTGGGCTACTAGTTCAAAAGTTACAGCCCTTTGAATTTTCTTTCGAAATTGGTTTCTAGTCTATAACTTTTGATTGAGAAGTCTGATCGGAAAAGTACGAATTGATTTGGATTCTACGCACCAAAATTAATAAGAAAAAGTGTTTTCCCGAGAAATTTTGGAGTAGTCGATTTTTGTTAAAAAGGGAAGGTTAAGTATTCCAATACTATGCGAAGTATTCGAATAATAAATATTTGTGAAAGTATTTGTGTTACAAATACAAATACTGCTTCCATAAAAGTATTTAATTACAAAGTATTTGAATACTTTAAACGATTTGAATACTAAAAAGTATTAACAAAATCGAATACTGCCCAGCTCTGGTATAGACGCTAGTAACCTTCCCGAATGTTAGAGGAATCTCTATAGAACATCCATTCTGTAATGTATACAACATACATAGAATATCCTATTTAACATCTTTTGCATATTACAGGAATATTCATGGTATATCCAGTTGTCAGTATACCAATATACATAGCATGTCTGATGCATATACATGCATATACGTAAGACATCCAAAACGTATATACTATGTATTATGTGAGGTCTGCCAAACTTATAACCCATGCACATACATCGGACATTATCCCACGTGGAATGTACATGGTATATGCAATGTATATAGGTTTGCTATGTGGGTAGGTACGCCATATCCTTTGTGTACATGCACAGCTCCTTTAAGCGTACCTCCATTGACACCTGATTGCCTGATTGTCTCTTTCTCTTCCCTTTTTTTCCTGTTGCTTTTCAAGCTACGACATTGTTCATTTACTTCCTTCTGTCTCTACCGTCGTTGCTCAGCATTATTCATTCAACAGCTACATCAGTCCATCTCAGAATTTGTTGCATCTTTGAAGGGAAATTTGAAAGACTGCATGTTGATTCCAGTTCATAGGACATCGCTGGTCTATGTCTCAAATGTGGTCCACCAAATCATAGACCACGTGATTGCAGAATTAACCGTAACTCCTTGAAGTGCACCTCCTGCGAAAAAGTCGGTCACGTTACAAAGGTATGCGTCACTACCCTGCTACAAAAATCGAAAACAAACATTCTGACGTCCCAACACCCTAAAGAGAAAGAGGATATGAATATGGCATCGTTCGGATCGAGGTTGTGTACGAGGTTGGACCAGGCACGGATAAGTACGCCGTCGAAGTCATAACTGCAAGGGGGGTTTCTCTCACTGTCACTCATTGGGCAACTGATCACTAATATAAATTCAAAACATATCAAATAGGCTACTATGTGCATGAGCGAGAGTAGGACAGATATCCCCCTTGTGGCCCTCTCTCTCGGATCGCGCTTGCGGACGGAGCGCGTGTTCCAGTATAGTAATTATAGTTAAGTGATAAAATTGGATTGGCAAATACTCATATTAAAATTCCACTCGTAGATATCTTGTGAACACAGTCTGGCACCCAACCGGGGGCAATGCCAATGTCAATTGTTCATATTTGAAAGTAACAATTATTGTTAATACAATATGCAAAGTTTCGAAGAAGATTCTTTGTAGATAATGTAGTTTCTTTAAGCATGACGTAATTTCATAATTCTTATACTGCAGTGAAATTCTCCACACAAAAAGTTCTATACACGTTTTCGCTGGGATCAATATTTAAAAAGATATTTGACAGGGGAAAATTAATTATAATCAATTCTATGCATAGTGAAATGTTGTGTCATTGGCGAGTGAGCCAAGCGAGCGGTATTCTCCAATCCTACTGGAACAATATCTGATGCTTGAGGGACGGATTTTGCTTGTACAATCGGTCGAAGGTTACTAGACAGCTACTGTTTTCAAATCGCCTTGGAATTGAAGACTCCAGGGAAAATTTCGAAGATAACGACACATTGGGGGTGTTATTGTGTTCTTATTTACCAGGAAACTCTTTGTTTGGAATTTTTTTAATTGGCATAAGGTTGGTTGAATACAGTCGAAACCACACAGTTAATTTTACTGATTTCTTACAGAAAAGGGAAAGTTTTCGTTTCTACACCGTATAATTAATTAAGTTCATAGTAATGCGAAAATGTTTCTTCACATGGACGATGGATACACTTTCAGTCTGTCGCCCGGAAATTGTTCACCTTACTTGATACTAGATAACGAAAGAATGTTTATGATGCGTTTATTTTTTACGGAATACGAAGTTCCGATTAAGTTTTTTGTTCGATCGCGCCACTCAAACTCGGATCTTTCTTTGATTTGAATCAACTAGGTCCTCGTACGAGAATTTTCTAATTAGTAGACGATCGAATCTAACCAAACTGCATTACGCACTTCCTAACAGCAAAATGAAACTTTTATTGCGATATTCGCGGGTGATACACCTCAACAATCAACACGTGAATGCTGAGGATCGTACTGGGTCGCTTTGAATACCAAAACGCGAATCCTGATCCCTTTTAATTACATCTTAAAATTTTGAACGCCCACAATGGTGGCTTATCACTCAAAATGGCGATCACTAAATTTTCATTTGTTAGTGTTAATTTACCACCAATCTCAAACTGCTGTTAAAGGTCCAAATCCAAAAACAACACGATCAGCAGTTTCCATGTTGCGAGTTTATCTCATGATGAATTCACTAATGTAATATATCTCCCCATTAAAAAAATCTGTACTCTCGCTATCTTCGCCTCAAACAATTAAAGAAAGAAAAACCTAAATCCCAACTGTGCAAAATGACGTGAACATTCATCTCCCTACAATCATCAAAATAATTCCTGTATCTTACATCCACTAGATTAATATTTAATAGATCTAATACTTATGAGTTTTAGAGGCAAAATTATACCCATAGCTATATCAATCAATCAAACTTTATTGACGCTAATGGGCAAAAAAGGCATTACAAAAGAGAACCTAAAATTTATACGGTTTTTATTTTATTTCGTCTAGGATCATTCTCATTCACTTCTCTTTTCTTCGCCTCTCTTCCAGCATTTCACTCCTGCTTCCCCTTGATCTTTTCACTTCTTTGCATTCTCATAGCATGTGCTATATGTGCTTTCTTTTTTCTTCTTATCTCCGCTTATCCTTCTCTCTCTCTCCCCATTTCTGCATCTCATCTTACCATTATCTTAATATGTTTTCTTCCCTTCCCTAAGTATTTCGGCTCTTATTAGTTCTCTATTGTACCTAGCTACTGTTTCCTCGTAAGCTCTCCATCTTCACTCTCCGTTGCGGTACTGTTGCACCAATATCCCATGCATCCATTCTTTTACTAATTCTCCTCCTCGAATATTACCGCCCGCCTGCGCCCAGACACTATCCCTTTCTTCTCCATTTTCGTTTTACTCCTCTAATATATAATTTGGTGCCCTTTTGTTTAGTCGCATTATCCTCTACTTATTAACGATCCTCGAGACCGTTTATAATTTTGTATTGCTGTCTGTTTGTCCGTTCGTCTGTCCGTCCGTCCGTCTGTCCGTGTGCACGATAACGTTGTGTAGAAACGTCCGATCGCTTTGCAAATTGATACACATGTTCTTCAGGATATATGAAAGGTCGCTATTGTTTTTTGGCTACGTAGACTAACGGGCCAAAAAGTAACCGCCCAAAAACTGCCCAAACCTCCAAAAAGGGTTTCTCTTTTATAACTCTTGTTACAAAGAACATATGAATGTCCGGTTTTCTGTGTTAGTAAATATTTCTTAAACTTCAGGCAACTATGCAGATGTAAAAAAAATATTGCGCATGCGTATTACAAATGTTATATTTGTGCAATCCCAATTTTTTATTTGTTACGATATTTAATGGAAATGTGGTATGTAGGCATCTCGAATAAAAGGAAAACTTGTGCCGAATCAAAAAATTTGTTTTGCGCATGCAAACTAATGCCGATTCAAAAGTTCGTTTTACAAGCCATGCTGATCTGGTGGGACAGAATCAACCCCTTAAGGTGTATTGTAAAAATGATGTATGTGTGAAGATCTCGAGGATCGTTCGGCATTCAGTTGTATCAAATTTTTGTATAATATTCCGTCAAGTTCATCTCATTAATTCCTCCACCTTCGTTTCGCACATAAGCTTCCTTGTTCTAAAGTCATTTTTGAACCTCGCCTATCTCCTATTCCCCAGGCCTGTGTCATCGTTATTTCCTCTTTTTTTCTTAGGTCTATTTTCTATTTACATCCTCTGCCTCATTGGTACTGGGTACTGTCAATATTAATTCCTTCTCTACTCTTCCTTCCCTCCATACCCATTTTATCTCTCCTTTCCTTCCACCCTTTTTCCCAAATTTTGAATTCTTCGACTTTCCGACATTTAACTCCTTCCTGCTGTTTTGACCACTTTAACAACTTGTCTAGGTCCCCGTCAGGTGTCATTCACGTCTTCTTTACGCCATTTCCACACCTGTATTCAAATTATTTGCATTTTGCGACGTCTCCTTCAATCTATTCTTGCGCTTCTTGTATATCCCATTCATCCATCCCTCTTTCCTTCACATCCGATCTACGCCCTCGTCGCGTATCCTTTACGGTCAGTTTACAATTTCCTTTAAGTCTGTAACTACCTCCTTCACATCATCAGGTCTTCTTTAAGAATTATTCACGCTTACTTAACAAATTTACCTTTGAACTTCCGGTGACAACCTGTTGAGCTCAAGAGGACGCGAAACTGCAAATCTGTAAACAGACAGACACACAAACAAAAAAATAAGAGGGGTAATGATTCGCGTTGCACAATATATCGTATAAGAAATGGTTAACGTCCGACACGAGAGGTTATTCTTATACGTAGAATTGCAATCAGTACTCAAAAGAATCAAAAATTCAAATGACTTTACAGCAAAACAAAATTTGGTTCGGCTAAGGGTTGGTCTTTACAATCGGTATGACATATCAAAAAGTGCCATAAACTTTAAGATAGAAGTAGAACATAAACAATAATTGTGGTCGTAATTGATGGTAATTTAATAAAATGATCTGAAAATATTACAAATAGGCCGCTGTGATATCTAAATGTTTAAATTTAAATAACTTTTTCAGTAAAACGGATCAATTCGTAGTCAGGGAAATTATTAAAATCAAAACAAGCTTCTGCAGAAAACGACGGTTGTTAAATGGCTATCAAATAAATGTAGTAATTATAATTCGATTGTATCGAAAACCAGTAGGTATGTAATTAAACGTTATATTAAGGAGTTGTTAGAAAATAAAAAAAAACATTATTTTGAACTCTGGTTGTAACGGCCTTTTGAGATCAGAAGGGTGACTTCTGCCTTATCTGTAACAGATAAAAACACAAACAAAAAACGAGAGGGATAGTGAATAGCGCGGTACATAAATATTGCGGTAGCATTGTCTAACATCAAACTCAAATCAAAATAATTCGCCCTGCCCACTATACGTCCATTTTATTTCTAGTTTTATTTTGCTACACTTTATTACTGATTTTGACTCTCCGACGTTTGCTATATTTATTGAAACAGATTTTGAAAAGGAAACTCGACGAATACCACTATCAACAACATAAATCATTATCTGTTCTTCTTCTGTCACCTAAAATGTATCTTTTTATCACTTACAATTAACGATGTTTCTTCGTTATTATTTTACATGACATCTCTGTAGCACTAACTCTTAAATTCTTGTAAATCTTGCGGATCGACTGAACTGATCTGTATGAGTACTATCATTCTATACAGCTTTTGTGATGTTTATTTCTAAACCATAGCAGCAAAGCGTAATCATCACTTTATTTCATCTTTTTGTTTTATAGCATAATGGTGATCAGCCATGGTCTCCTGGTTGATATTTACAGGAAATCTAAATCGGCCTCTTCAACTGCAAGAGTAATTTATTGTCTTTTACTGACTAGCCAAAAATCTTCCATATAAATACTTCCAGTTTTATATTGAGCATGGGGTGATTATTATATTGGAACACTCTCAAGAACAGTACCTAGATTGGAAATGTCAGTAGAGCAGAATGTCTCCTTCGTCGCTAGAGTACGTTGAACTAAGTCAAATAAAGTACGTATTAAGGTAGGTATATTTTGCTGTATAGAAGTGAAAGGACAACCGGTGTGATAAGTTCATTTGCATTTCTCAAGTAACTACACATTTAACATACACAATTTACGCTAACAAATTATTTATACGATTTCGGAACTCATCTAACCCTTTCTTATTCGCGTGGTACCAGGATAACGTTGAGCAGCGACGAATCCACCCCTTAATGTTCAAGTACTTTTCGTCAATTGCTACCAAACAATCTAAAGTTGTTATTGTAGGCAGCAAACTTAAATCGGCCAACGTTAGAAAATCTCCAGCGACCCAATTCTTCCCCTCTAAGAAAGTTTCCAAAAAATCGTAAACGGTAACAACCTCATCGATGGAGGACTGCGGAATGGTTTTTGCTTTCTCGAAGAGAATAGGCATCTGAAATGGTTTCAACTTGGGAAAATTACCGGTTACGAAAACTTACAACTATGCGTATGAAAGCAGGAAACGCCAAACCGGAATCGAAGTGTTGCTTTTGGTGGATAACCGCACGGGTGAATGGATCTTCCGGGTACAAGGATCTGTCTTTGCTGTACTTGGTAACTAAATAGATCATTATTGCGTGGCTGTCCCAAATAATTTTGCCGTCATCGTCCAGCGTGGGTACAGTGTGTTGTGGATTTAGCTAAGAATTAACCGCGAGTGATAGGCAACTACGAATCGTGGCCATACCTTAACAAATTCCGGTCGTAATTGATCTTCATTCATCAAGCTCATGTGGATGCGTTCTAACTGCAAACCCAAAATTTCGGCTGTCAAGTAAACAGCCCGTACTGGAGGACTCGTGTCTAATGAGTACAATTTGAGCACCATTATCTGCTCTGCATGTATCACACTTGCACATACTTTCACTTACTGAAAGGGTGTCATGTATCCATTTCGTTTTAGAACAAACGAGGTGGGACCGAGCGCTTCAAATGGCGATCGTTTACTTCATTTTCCTTTACGACTCATTTACACCTGCTTCATCGACGCCTTTCTCGTTTGCTGTTTGCAGTTTTAAATTTCTCTAATTCGTGTTACACTTAAGTATAGGAAAATTTACATAATGTAACGCATCATACGATAGCGATAAGCGAGTGATAAGACGAACGTACTTAGAGAAGCGGGCGATGTTGCCGCAATTACTGTTTACGGTTGTAGAGGAATGATATACGGGAAGATTATTAACTCACAGCGGGTTGGGTCGCGGCATTTGCTTTTGGTTCCATTTCGGTTTTTTATTCGGTGATTTTAATAGAGATCGTCGCATTCCAAGACTACTGGAGAATATAAAACCGACTGTACCAATTTTCACCGAAGAATAATTATAAAGCGTCTGTGGGTCCGAATTGTCGTAGGGCCTAGTTCAACTTGCGTATAACATTGTGCGACCAGTCGGAAGAAATAAACTGATATTGCGTTTTATGGAATATATTTACAATATACAAGGTGTTAATTAAGTAAACTTTAAGAGCGAAACTAGACGGTCGTTTTTTCCGCGCGGAATCAAAGCAGCGTAATTTCCGTTACCATTGCAACTACACGGTAGCGTCTTTTACAATTTATCGGTGCCAAATAAACGCTAGTAACAGTTATTTTGCAGCGGAAAAACGCGTGTATCTCATACCAGCATGTCCAGTTTCGCACTAAAGGGCGAATCTTTGATTAATTTTAAGATAAAAAGTTCATATGAACATGGGTCTGCAATGGCTTGGTTTCTGAGATACAGGGCGTCCAAAAAAACTATTTTATTTGGTTTTGGGCTATATTTTTGTTAAGTATCATGGCAATTGGACGAAATTCCGGATACCGGGTATATTGATATTACTTAGCAAAAATATAAGCAAAAAACCACATAAAATAGACCGATGTTCATATGAACTTCTTATCTACGTTCTTACCGGTTGCCCGTTTTGACCAATGAGGGTGCAACATGTTTGAGTTTGCTGCCGGATGTCCATGCGGCGCGTCGCCACATTACGTAAAGAGCGATTTTTAAATTACGAAGATATAAAGCTCAACTAAAAAGGCAAATTCACCAAACGTTCAATGACCTCATTCGTTGGGAAGAAATGGTGGCATAAACAAACTCTCCTTCGTAAAACGGTCTTCGTTGAAAATCAGAAACGCTTATCCTATTTACAGTGACATTTTGCTCACGAAAAAAACTCCAATAATACGCATCAAAATTGGCGTGTACAGGGTAGTCGGCATTTAGCTTTTTTATTCTTGTGTAACTAGAGTTATTTGTTCGAGAATTTTACGCAGAGGTCCAGGTAAATAAGCTTCATTATTCTGAATATTTCCAAAGAACAAGAGACAATCACTAGAGCAAGTGACAAAAGGGTTCAACTGTATCAGCCCAAAAACGATCCAGTTTTCAATTTTTCTTGGAGGGGGAAGCCTTTTTCGAGAGGGGGCCGTACCATTCGTAACCTAAAGAAAAACATCGATTCCAGGGGATACCTATCAGTTGTATTGGTGAGTTATTTGTAAGGGGGATTCCAGTAAATTTTTGTTTGAAATTGAATCGATGGACATTATTTACCTGGAACAGATTTGTATTGAGTTGTATTATTAAATTTAGACCCATACAAAGGAATTGGTTGTTTTTTCAGTATTTAAAAGGATTTTATATTTCAAAATTCGTTTGTTTGAAAATCTTTGTTCTTAATTGAGAGATCATTAACGGAAGTTAATATGAAGTCTCACTATAATTACAAGCAATACTACATCTTTTATAGTATTTTGTAATCACTTACACTAGGTTGTAATTAGCCCTTGTACTTGAGGAAATCAATTATATCGGTCTATTGATAATAATATCAATGATTTGGAGGAATTATAGGATATCGTTAGCGTGTCTACTAATAAGATTGTGGATGGGATGCAATAATTATAATTTGGTAATGTGCAATGCTGCGTAGAGGATATAATTCCTTTTCCCTCAACGAATTTCTCATTTGGAATACATTCGTGGGTGAAATAAAAATTAATTGTTACAATAGAATTTTTGCCAGTGTCGTAGAAGTTCAATTTTAGTTAATGCAAGTGGAGTCTTCAACCCTCATAAAGGTAATTAAGCCGTTACAAGTGACGCACGAACGTGGGGCTCGAATTAACCCCCTGTAAGGGTCTTGTGTTACAAAATTATAGTAAAAAATCGAGTTGCGTACGCGAGTTGCATTTAAACGGATTTTTTTTTAGTTTGCGCGCACGCGGTAGGGTAATGGACCGTTTGCAGATTTAGTAAATACTAAATACACAAGAGAGTGATCGCAGAAGTTAGGATTGAAGTTTTCCGCTTCCAGTGGCGGAGTAAAAAAATTTAAAAAATGGGGTTCCAGAATTTTTAAAAAAGCGTTAAAACTTTTTTTGAATATATAGGAAGGTAGGTTTTTGCAAATCGTATATGGAATTACGGTTCGGATTAAAGCTGACCAAGATAAGTTAAGAGAAGAAGAAATATTCAACTTAAAAACCAAAATGAATGTGAAATAAGAACTATTTAAGAGAGAGCGATAAACGAATATAAAAAAAGGCTTTTTTAGTCCTAGTGTAAATATTTCCGAAGTTTTTTTCCGAAAAACTGCTAATCCCTAACGAAATTGTGTATATATAATTAAAATAAATGCAATATAATTAGAATTATCTGTAGTTGACAAATAAGATTGTTTTTATAAAAACACGTACAGATAACCAGACGTAGTACAAATAGAGCATGATAATAAATCCTACCCAAAAATAAATAGCTTTTAGGAAAGCCAAAGGTCATTCTGGTTACATCATGTCGAAATGTTTTTAATGAACGGTGGTACAGTCATATTTGTCGTAGACGTTGTGTTGTCAATTCGTATTTCAATATGAGCTTGATATTATACAAAAGTAATATAAGTCCACCGGTGAGAACCGTCCAAATGGCATGTAAAGCACTAAATATTGAAGTAGAGGAAGTTGAAGTGAATCTGCTTGACAGAAACTACATGAAGAATGAGTTCATAAAGGTACCTACTATCAGATTTGCCTAGGATTTTTGCACTTGATTAATTTAGATCAACCCAGAACGCACCATTCCGACTCTTGTGCATAACGGTAACGTGATATGGGATAGTCACGCAATTATCGCCTATCTAGCAATACTGTCTGGCAAGGAAGAAGAGTTTTACCCGACCGAGCCCTTAAAACGTGCACGCATTAATCAGAGGTTGCACTTTGAGTCCTGCAATATATTTGGATTGTTTCGTCTGATGGCGGTAAGCTTATAAGTACTTGCTTTTTTTTTTATTTCAGTCAAGTAATGCCCAAAAAGAGGAATGTAGATTGTGCAAATTTGAAGTATGAGATGGTTGGGAAGTAAGCAAGTACCCACCCAACGTCCTGAGATAAGCAATAGATAAAAAGGTTTGGTTTTTCACTTAAAAGGTATCTCGAAAACAGCGTGTCCTAGAAAAATTTTTATAGTTACTGTATGCTGACAAAATTTTCTTTTAATATTTATAGAGTTTTTCAAGATGTTTGGTACAATTTTGCCCTTTTCAGAAAATTACAGTAGAGCTATATTTTTCATCATTTCTGTACTGAACACTTGTTCAGTGGGTCTTCCTAGTTGTGGTGTATACTTACGTAACGTCATTTCATGTATATTATGTTGCACTTAAACGGGGGGAGGGGGGTGGGATTTTGTCTGGAAAAGAAGCTTTTTATGGTATCCAAAATTATAAAAAGTTCGCTACCCATCTATGTACTTTAAATTTGTGGTCAGTGGCGTACCGCTGCATGGTTATATCCAAAAAAAGTGTACTATTTAATATGTAATGGAAACCAGTAGTTGCCATTAAAAAAATGCCCCTTTTGTAGAACTATCTGACAATTTTTATTTTAAAGGTTTTGTACGGTCAATTTTTAGCGCGAGATTGGTTACTTTGGTGGCAAAGGCGTGTCCGATTTCAACATTTCCGAATCCAACGAATCATACGAACGGTTAAACCTGTTTTTAGAGAAAACCAAGTGGGTTGCCGGCGACGAGATCACCTTAGCTGATTTTAGCTTGATTCCTTCAGTTACCACCATGGATGTTGTCGTACCGATAGATCCAAAGTATACGAACATTCATAAATGGATTGAGCGGGCTTCCAAGGAATGGCCTTACTATAACATTAACCAAAGAGGGTTGGATGAGTTTAAAGTCGTGTTCAATAGCATCCGTGGGCAAGATTGACCGTTTCTTTTTGGTTATGAGGTTCAAACTTTTTAAATATTTTTTACATTTATAATAAAAGATTGAATTGACTGATGATTTAATTGTAACTTACCATAATGAAAATCCTTTATCCTCAGGTAGGTATATTTGTGAGGATGACCTGTGCCCTAAATTTCTACACATCCAAGTTTGTTATTATCAAATATTGTATAAGTTGGTCGCTCTAAAAGCAATGTACGAAAAAATGAATGTTCCGGGTACCCAATTCAAAGGTGCCTCCCAATGGGCAGTTATCTTAATTTCCGAACTGAAAATCCTTTAGAGTCGCAGCTTTCATCACATCACTCAATTAATTCAATTAAGGGATAGAATAATAATGGACAGATTAATTAAACGCGCTGGGTTATTTTTTGCTACAAAATAATTCAGCTGCGCCGCCGTTAAGGCAGTTGAAAAAGCTTGGAAGCCGACCTCTCTCATTATAGACCTCTTTTATTACAGACGTCTTGAGACCCGAAGGTCACATAGGTTCACCGGCATCTTGGTTAGCGTCGAGTTGTTAGCGGAGGGCTGCACCCTGACGGGAATTGTTCTTAGATAAAGACATCATTTAAATATGCTAACACTAGAACAGGGACGAGTTAAGCCCAGTTTTGGAAATGCCGAAGCAAGAGTTTCTGCTTTAAAACCCATGTCAGTTGGTCAGGTTGGAACTTCAAGCAGCATTAACGGGTGCCTGCCTAGGTAACCATCTAATGAAGAATTTAAACCTGGACTAATTCAAAAACAGTTCTCCATTGGACTCGATTAGAGCTGGGCGTTTTAAAGAATCCTTTGTCTTTGCGAAATTCCAGAATTGACTGGAAGTGTGTTGGATCTTCAGCCAATTCTACAGGTGAAGCCAACAAATATGTTATGAACTCATCAGAATCAGGAGATTCCAGGTGGATATATGGGCTAAAATTTTTCTTATTAAATCCCTAAGAATGGCAAAGAGAAACCGAAAATGATTTGAAAACTGATTCGAACATTTTAAAAATGAAAAGATTCGATTATACTTGCATCAACTTTGCAGTAGAAGATTTGATCGCTGATAATCCTAATCCTGAAAGATTTTCAAAATTGATGAGACTTATTAGAGCTACAGCCTACATCATCCCAGTAGAAACATGAAGAACATCAAGAAATCCACAGTGGCAATGGATTGAACTTTAGCAGGACTGAAAAGGAAATTTCACATCTTGACAATTTATCCTGCAAGAGATGTCAAGGATGGTAAGGGAAATGTATACCGACGAGCACTATCCAAGCCCATTGTGCTTGATCTTCCTTAGTAATTGGTGGAAGAGAGGCAATTACTAGGGCGGAGAAATGTTTCAGTAGGTTCTAAAATAATCAAAAAGTTAACAACAAATGTAAAAATGAAAGCGGTTCCAGTAAATCGTTGAAGAAATAAAGAAAAAAACCTAAAAAGGCAACAGTTCAACAATTTAATTAGTAATTTAAGATTTTCAAAATACTGAACGATCGTGTCCGAAAGTATGAATTCGTTACAATCGGTCTGGTGCCATACGTTGCTATTTTAATATTTGGCGTGATAAAGGTGAAAATACGCGTTCCCGGTTCAATAGGCTTGGTATTATCAGAGAATGCGCTTCTTATCTCAAGGTAATTGAATCTAACAGTGCTACAAAAGTAAGAAGAATAACCAATCGGCGATGAAAGTGTTTTGTTTAATTTTACTCGTAACTACTAATGCAATTAACGCGAACTACTTAGGGGGAAGGTTTGAAGCGCTATCCTCCCCGAAAGTGTATGCAAAAGTCCTTCAACAGTACCTATCCAAAGAAAATCCGTTAACATCGAAGTGTAAGGAGGATCTGCTGGATTTGGTGAAGGGCCTTCAGGGAGACCAGAAATGGGCAATACATAGTAAGTCTTTATTAGTGTTAGGTGAAAATTAACACGTTTTGTAGTGTACGATGCTGGCGCAAAGCTTCAATCTGGTATTTTGGATGGAAATTTTTTCGCATTGGGCTCATTCGATCAATGCATAAACGTTCGTAAGGAGAATAGCAGCTTGGAAGGAAAATATTGTCCGGGATTATTTACCACTCCTATTGACTATGTAAGTATTTAAACATAATATGCAAAATACATCGGCTTCTGGTGATATAACTATCCACTATCCAATAGATTCTTCTACATAACTTTTCGTGACACTGGAAGATTTCCATCCTCTGTGTTTGGCAGGAAACTGTCAATTGTGTTTTGCCTACCACTTGGTGGAAGCACCTTCCATTCCCTTTTTTGAGCCCCGAAAAAAAATTGTCTCAGATCGACCCGGAAAAAAATTTTCTTATAGAATGTGGCCTGTAAAATCCATAATTTCAAACAGTTCCAAGATTGGGCTACTAGTTCAAAAGTTACAGCCCTTTGAATTTTCTTTCGAAATTTTTTTCTAGTCTATAACTTTTGATTGAGAAGTCTGATCGAAAAAGTACAAATTGATTTGGATTCTACGCACCCAAATTAATAAGAAAAAGTGTTTTCCCGAGAAATTTTGGTGTAGTCGATTTTTGGTAAAAAAAGGAATGTTAATACACTGCCTTTTTTTGAGCCCCGAAAAAAAAATTGTCTCAGATCGACCCGGGAAAAAATTTTCTTATAGAATGTGGCCTGTAGAATCCATAATTTCAAACAGTTCCAAGATTGGGCTACTAGTTCAAAAGTTACAGCCCTTTGAATTTTCTTTCGAAATTGGTTTCTAGCAGGGTTTCTAGTCTATAACTTTTGATTGAGAGGTCTGATCGAAAAAGTACGAATTGATTTGGATTCTAAGCACCAAAATTAATAAGAAAAAGTGTTTTCCCAAGAAATTTTGGTGTAGTTGATTTTTGGTATAAAAGGAAGGTTATTTATTACTGCCCCTTTTTGAGCCCCGAAGAAAAAATTGTCTCAGATCGACCCGGAAAAAAATTTAAGTTTTGAGATACAGGGTGTTAAAGTTTTGAAAAATCAATTTTTTCTTCTCATTTTCATACCACTTTAAATATTTTTATGAAATTTGGTGTACTGCATTTTTTGACCTATAAACATTTTGTCTTTATAGCAGTGGCGTCCGTACTGCACTCAGATTAGATATTTTTTAAGGAAAAGTGGTAGACCACTGCTTTTTCTTAACATAAAAATTATATTTGGATTCAATGTAGTACAAATTTGATATCTTGACTTTTTTTCGTACGACCCACCGTTTACGTATAAAAAAACGAAATGCATTAATTTGTACGCTGTTTTGAAATTAGGAAGTAACAAGAATTAAAAACGATCTAGAATGTAATAAGCAGATTTTGTTTTGTTTTGCAAATGAAACACTTTTGATAGTTGCCGTACGCCAAATTTCATAAAAATATTTAAAGTGGTATGAAAATGCAGACAATAAAAACTGATTGTTTGTTAAAACTTTAACACCCTGTATCTTAAAACTTAAGATGTTTTGGACATACGTTCATAGGGAGCTTTTTTTCTTAAACGTGGACCCCTTTTAATTTTAGCATGTTATTAAGAAACACCCTGTATATAGATAAAAACAAGGCGCTGTCGAAATTGAAAACTCAATCAAAAAGTACACTGACACATATAGGGGGACGCGAACCCGCATGTTGTATATAAAGCGAAGTACAATACACTACACACAAACAACTGTGTAAACTCTGTAATTGGGCGCAATCCTGTTGAGGGCCCAGAACAAGAGAGGAATAATAAATAAGAAAAAATAAACTAAGTAATGCGTATACAGGGTATCCATTTTTGGAGTGCTACTATAGGGATCTCGCTTACCTTAAGAGATAGAAAGTTGCTTAAATGAGGGCAAAGTTTCGAACTTTCGTATTGAATAAAAATTTGAAAAGAAATTCAAAATATCACAAAAATTCGAAAGTTTCTGATCGTTTTGAATTTTTCCATGATATTTCCTAGATATTTCTAACCAAAACATTATTGAGATAATTTTTTATGGAGAATTTCAATATGGCAAAAGACGAAAACTGATAACGTCAAAATCCAAAATGGCGTTCTTAAATAAATTAAGTTGCCACGTACTTCTCCGTTATTTTGAAAATTATTAGAATCGGAATGCCACAAAAAGTGTCTAATGTTTTTCTTAGAAACGTACAGCTAGTACGATTAGTTCATCACGAAAAAATTATGGAAATTTTCGTTTTTTTTAAAGATATTTGCAAAACTAGTGAAGATTTTTTAAATTTTTTTTCAAATTATGGATTAGCACGAAATTCTTTTCTTTGCTCTCAAGAATGTTGAAGCATTAAACTGTTGTCATTGTATCGAATCCAAGTCTTATCAACAGTAGTAGTAAAAATTTGTTTTTTATTATACCTGAATCACAATCGCCGTTTAAAACACTCAAATGCGTGCGAAAAAAGGCCTTTAAAACACACGTGCTTTAAAGTTGCTAGGTAATGATACTTCAAGTATGACTTTTGAAACTGTCATCTGGGGTTGAAATAAAAAATCCTCTTAGGTCGCTTTCTGTAAATGCAGAACATTGCTTTGGCTTGTACCTACCTATCCTTTGGTTGAAGCTTCCACAAACGCGCTCAATTTAGGGTATGCTTCCAAATCTGTTCCACTTTTTAGTCGCAGCAATGTTTGAAGTTTTGAATGAATGCACCAAAAGATAGAAGATTTAAATTCCTTTGACATTTCCTTCATATTTATTCACTAAGACGATGATTTTTATAAGCAAACGTCAAGTGATATTTCCATGGCAATCGTGAAATTACGAACACCAAGCCCACTTAATTAGATATGTATTCGAGTATAACGTCAATATGATTTCATTGTATTTCCTATTTTTAAATTATACTGCAGGTATAATAAAAAATACTATAAGATACACGTGTATAATTGGTATTTAAAGCACTTGCAACGTTAAAGGCACTCCGCTTTGCGTCGTGCCCTTAAACTCGTTGCGCGTGCTTTAAAGACTTGATTATACACTTGTATCTTAATATACTATTTCTTTACGGTTAGAACAGCTTATAGTGGTGAAGAGTAAATACTAAACGTGGATTAGCGAGTATAGTTGTTGAAATTAATCCAATGACCTTTTAGATAAGACAAGTAGCGGATCTACCACCAGACATCAAGGTACCAGAGGATATTGGTTTATCAGTTTGCCTTCCCAATTCGTGTACCGCTAGTGACATTGAAAGCACAGAAAGTGGACTTGGATTTAACTTAAAAATCGACGAAGAATTGTGCCAGACGAAAGCAACCCAAGCCAAAGTGACTACAGGAGGCTACATAACATTGTAAGCACCACCAAATCGTTGACCTCAACTCAAATACTTTGCTTTAGGGGTTTCTTTGGCATAATACTAATACTGATGGTTGCCTCAACCGTATACGATCTTATCTGCAAGGGTAAGTCGCGAGTGCTGAAATTAGTTCAACAAACAAATTTTAGAAACTGCACACTGGGCGTTAAAATCGTTTTCCGTGCGATCAAATGGAAAGATAATTTTTTCGACTGCCGCACCCAATCGTAACCAGATCACGTGTTTCCATGGTCTGCGACTATTTGCCATGATCGAGGCGATGACAAACCACGTGTACTTTTTTCGGTTTCAGTATCCCTCCATGAACATGTTTTACTATTACTATGTACTGCAGTTAGCTATTAGAAAAGATGTTAACGTTCTTTTTTAGTGGAAACGCGAAGCCGTAAATGTGGCCTTAGCCATACCGAATTGGTCCGTTGATCTTTTTCTGTTTATAGGCGGCTGTTTGGTGTCGTACATATTTTTGCTGAAATCCGCCAAAGGCGTTAAGTTTAATATTATTTTTCATTACATCGGACGATACTTCAGGTGCGGTTTGTAAATCCGATGGTAGGTAGGTACTTGAATGTGAGAACTGTTTTAGACTTACTCCTCCAATGATACCTGTACTATTGTTTACTCTAACATGGTTTAAGTATGTTGGTTCCGGCCCACTATGGAATAACATGGATACCTTGGTTGGACAGTGCCAAACGCAGTGGTGGTCTTATTTACTCCACATTCAAAATTTCATGCCTTCTGTGGTAAGCATATTGTTTACATTTGTTTATAGTTTCTGGAAAAAGGGTGACCTGAGTAGAAAGAAATCCTGTGGATTGTATTTTCATATCGAGATAACGGAATAATTTTTCGGGTACCATTTTTTAGGTTTTACCATTGAATAAAGTGCTTATTCAATGGTTTTGTTTTACTATGGTTACAATTGTGGTAACAATTGTTGTCATAGTAACACCGGTTTTTGGCCATATCTGAGTGTATTTGAATCTTACTAATGCTAGAGCTACTGAAGTGGTTCATTTATACCGTGAGGATTCACTAAACTTTAATTAACAGGAAAAGTTACTCCTGAAAACCCTATTTGCTGCTAAAGACTGTAGACTCCTCTGGCGTTGTTTGCACTAACTTTAGTAAAAGTTCAGTGTCTTTTCTTTAAACAATCACCGTCCAAGAAATGATGTACCAACCTTCTTGGCATCTTATTAAAAAAATTCAATATTTATTGCTATTTTTAGTTACACTTGCCATAGTTCTATAGTGCTAGAGATGTTATAAAAAAGTTCACTATAGGATTACCATAGAAAATCAGGATCATAGAAAATTGCCCGAAATTTAAATCTTTAAAAGTACACTTTTTCAATTAAAGTTCTTTTAAAGTTTTTAATTTACCATAGATTAGAGAAATGAAACGCTGTGCCAACTTCGATTTGCACTCCTCCCCTTCTCCGAAAACCAAAAGCTTCCTTACTAGATTATTTATATCGCTAGGATATCCACATTAATAGACAAATTTTAATAAATGCTCTTTTTATTTACTCTCACTGTTTAACTCATTTTTTTGTGGCCAAATCAATTAATATACAGGGTGTTTTTGCCGAATTGAAAAATTAGTCAAGAGTAAAGTGTCTTTATTTTAGCATATATAACAACAAGTTAAAAAGTAATCGTAAACGATTTACATAAAGCGCATTTCCACTTGCATTCATTTCCCATTTGTAAGATGCAACTTCTGTTAAAATCGTAAAAAATCCGGCCACAAATATGAAAGATAGCGTTGCACATGGGCAATCCATTGTTGACGTGCTACTTCAATTTCAGTTTATGAGAAGAATTTCATTTCAATGCTTTTCTAAATAAGAAAGTTGGAACTGCGCATGCGCAAACCTAAATTTTAAAACTAATGTTAGATTTTCCTTTGTTCCAAGCGCCTAAGTATCAAATTTCACTTACCATAGATAAAAAAGTTGGCACTGCGCATGCGCAAAATAAAATTTTGAAACTGGCGCTAGATTTTCCTTTATTCCAAGTGCCTATGTATCAAATTTCACTTTAAATTCTTCCATAAATAAAAAAGTTGGCACTGCGCATGCGCAAAACCAAATTTTGAAATTGGCGTTTGATTTTCCTTTATCCCAAGTGCCTATGTATCAAATTTCGTTTAAATTCTTCCATAAATAAAAAAGTTGGCACTGCGCATGCGCAAAACCAAATTTTGAAATTGGCGTTTGATTTTCCTTTATCCCAAGTGCCTATGTATCAAATTTCGTTTAAATTCTTCCATAAATAAAAAAGTTGGCACTGCGCATGCGCAAAACCAAATTTTGAAATTGGCGTTTGATTTTCCTTTATCCCAAGTGCCTATGTATCAAATTTCGTTTAAATTCTTCCATAAATAAAAAAAGTTGGCACTGCGCATGCGCAAAACCAAATTTTGAAATTGGCGTTTGATTTTCCTTTATCCCAAGTGCCTATGTATCAAATTTCGTTTAAATTCTTCCATAAATAAAAAAGTTGGCACTGCGCATGCGCAAAACCAAATTTTGAAATTGGCGTTTGATTTTCCTTTATTCCAAGTGCCTATGTATCAAATTTCATTCAAATACTTTTATAAGTAAAAAAGTTTGCAATTCGGTTTATAAATGGTCGAGATGCGAAAAGGGCACTGTGAATTTTGTATCGATTCGATCCAACTTTTGGCATTGCGTATTATATGGCTAAATCTATGCCCATATTGAATTTCATGCAATTCAGTTCATAACTAACGGAGATGTAAAAGCGATCGAACATTTCTAAACAAAGTTATCGTTCACACGGACAGATAGATGGACAGACAGACAAAGGAACAGACGGAGAGACCAACCGGCAGGCGACAGATAGCAATGCAAAATTATAAACGATCTCTAGGATCGTTAATAAACGGCAAAAGTGTAAAATTATGGAACATGTAAAAAACGGTTTTTTTGTTTTTTTTTACAATAACTTTTTTTGTAAGCGGTACAGAAAAAATTCCTTCCTTGGTACAAGACTCGACACCATAACGAACCAAATAGCGAAAAAGTAGAACAATAGCTCTTAAGATAAAAAACTAGTAGCGTCGCAAAGTTAGCGGACGGACGGACGGACGGACGGACGGACGGACAAAGTGGCCACAATAGCGCATTTTTTTTAATTTTTGTGGAAATGCGCTAAAACTGTATTAAAAAAGTTGGTTAGAATTAAAAAGTTTGCTGGCTATGGTTTTGAATTACACGTTGGAAATTAGTCGTATTCTGTTACTTCTGCGACAAATTTAAATAGAGCTAAATAAAAAATAAGCTGACATCGCAAAATCCGAAAGTCTATATCCGCAAACAGGTTGAACCACTAAGAATTAATAAAATATAATATAATAGTAAGATAAGCTGTTCGCTGGACAATAGTACGGTCCATAAAAAGGTAGCGTCTTGTTAGTCGAGTCGGTCAGAAGTCGGTCTAAATAAATTCATAACGATCTAATGATCATGTTAGAAAGTTGTAAAAAAGCGCGTTTGCTATTCAAGTTGTAAAAAGAACGGTGCATAGAAGTCGTTTTCCGTGGAAAATTAAAAAAGTGTCACCATCGAATTTGTTTAAAAAAGCGGACAAGTCCCGTTCATAATTTATTTTGATTGGGCGTATAAGTTTGGAAGTTAATGAGCGCTAGTTCACCAGAATAGAGTTTTTTAGCGCATTTTTTAAAAATTAAAAAAAATGTGCTATTGTTTGCGTTTTGTCCATCCGTCCGTCCGGACTCACTTCTACCGTTTTGAACTACTTCTAGGGGAATGGTCCTAGAGTCCTGGAATGTTTTGTAATAGGTAGCCTATACCTTGAAGGTGTGCCAGACGGCCATCAAATTTCGCTGTCTAAAAGGCCCCCCCCCCCTCACGAATTATTTCCTGAGATGCTGTTTTTGAAAGTAAAACGTGCATAACTTTTACGCACGACAACCAATTGGTCTCAGGTTTTGCATACGCGTGCCTATGGTGGTGCCAAGTTATTAGAAAATGGGGTGGGGGGGTGTAAACACATTTTCTACCCTTTATGGTACTCTAATGAAAGGTCTCAACGAAAGGAATTAATTTATACTAACCATAGTCTTCCTCCTCAATCCCTTGTCGTGATCGGTTATAATTCCTTGTATCTTAAGAGTGAATTGTCAAAGGAAAGCACCTACAAAGGGCGATTGGGACGTTTGGAAGAAATATAACCATTAGGCATTTAAATAAAATTTGATACATAGCCACTTTGAATCAAACCAAATTTAACGCCAGTTTCAAAATTTTGTTTTGCGCATGCGCAGTGCCAACTTTCTTATTTATGGAGGGATTTGAATGAAATTTGATACATAGCCACTTGGAATAAAAGCAAATGTAGCGCCATTTTCCAAATTTGGTTTTGTGTAGGATGTGCAGTGCCAACTTTCGTATTTATGGCAGAAGTTTTGCAGGGGTGTTTAAAAAATGCGATTTATCTGCACAAGGGTAAATTATGCACAATTTGTTCTTATTTTACAATGTACGCCATGGGGTATTTGTGTACTTTACTGTATGAGTCCAAAAAGCTTACCCATTCATTAGAAAGAGATGGTTCGCCATTATAAACCATCGTGTTAGCAAGCAAATTCTTTGGAAGGCTTTTTTACCCCGTATTTGTGCAACTTAATAAAGTAAAAAGTAGGTGAAATTATTTCATTGGGTGGACGGGATTACAACGAAGAACAAGTGTGAGTGCGTAAGAAAAACGCAATTTTGGACCAGCAAATAAATCAACATTGGGAGCAAACCTGTATAATTGCCCATTCAATATTCAATTTCCACACAGAGAGTTGTTTTGGGAGATTTTCCATACCGGCAGGTTTAAGTATGTAGTTCTTTAGAAACCATTTGATATCAACCCTAAATTGACGAGAAAAAATTAGCAGGATGAGTTTCGGAGCGTCAATATCCAAGAAGAATTGTAAATAAGGGTTAGATGTATTTAGTTAGTTCGCCATGCTTAATAAATAACTTTGAGATCCATTGTCAAAGATAAATATTAATTTGTTGCATATTTAGAAGTAAAAAGGTCAAATCTTAAAGGATTAAAATCAGCTTAATGTATTTTCAATGTTTTCGCAATAGAAAGAAATCACTGAATTTGGCAATTATAAAAGAAAAATCTCTCACGTAAGCAAGGAAAGTTATAAAGAAGGTAAAGTTTTGGTAAAAAATAATATGGGCTAGTCGACGGCATTTGAGTAATTTGTGCTTTAGGCAGGTGTAATTAAAATGAGCAACAAACCCTAAACTTTCAAAATTGAGGTGCAAATTTTAAATGTTCAAAAATGTGTGCTTTGGATCTAACCGTTTCATAGTTAAAAATTTTTTTAAAAATTATTTTTTTTTTCGTGCTGATGCCCTACTAAGGATAGGTACTCTTAGTATTTATGTATGGGCCAAGTATAGAACAGTTATTTATTTATTTATGTTCTGTGTAGTGAGTTGTAAACTTGCAATAAAGTCATATTATTATTTTTTTTTCCGCCGTAGTGTGCTATCAAATAACTATGTACTGTTACAGTGTATTGTCCCAACTTGGTACATCAGCATTGACTTCCAATTCTATTTGCTCTCGCCAATTTTACTAATACCTTTAGGACGTTGGCCAAAGTTTACTTTGACGGTGGCAGCGTGTTTGGCCACTTTATCTGTGTTAAGTACGTTTTTGATTGCTTGGCTGATGAAATTACCCGGCGCATACTTAACTCCGTAAGTACCACTCACAGAGAAATGATGAGTGTCACGCTAAGTTACAGAGATAAAAATTTTCTGTACTATTATTACTATTTCCTGCCTTCGAAGGCGTTGCCGTGGTTAGTTGGGTTTATATTTGGATATATCATTTTTGCAAAAATAAGGGAACAGAACGAGGTACGGACATGTAAGGTAAGTAAGTTGCGTGAGTGAATTCGTACCTACTAATCTTATGTTCCTATGCAGGGGTTCTCAAGATTCGTATTGGGTGCTGCTATAGTAGTAATTTTGATATGCCGATTTGTAGTGTATCTTATAACGGTTACACCTTACAATCAGATATCGAATTCATTTTGTTTGGCTGTAACACAGCTAGGAATTATACCAATAGGATACATTGTATACTGCTGCCATCTTGGGTATGGAGGTAAGCCTTAGCAATCAATTTTCGATATTTCAGAATTACAAAATGAACAATTTCAGGTGTCATCAACCGCTTCCTATCAAACCCACTATTTGAAGTAGTGGCCAAGTTATCGTACAACATGTACCTGGTACACCACTTGGTAGTAGAGTACAACATAGCCTCTATACGTGTTTCTCCGTTTTTGAGTAACTACACTTTCTTGGTAATCTTCAATTTTTATAATAAACGCCTTAATATAACAAACGTTTTAGTTTCACGATCTGCCTGGTGTCGTGTTCCTGTCATTTTTGTTGGCAATTGTACTCTCTTTGGGCGTTGAATTACCAGTCGAGCATTTCGTGGGCGCTCTATTGAATCGCAGGAAGAAAAATGCTTAATTGTTGATAAAAAAAAAGTATTTTAACACATTGACTCTTATTAAATTAGGTTAAATTAAATAATAATATAAGAATAAGTTGGGATTAAAATGAATGTATTGGGTTGTTTTTAGGTCTCATTTATAATAGACTCTGACATTGGCAGGAATGTTTAATAATTGTGAACGTTTATTATCGTTCTCATTTTTTGAGTACCTATAGACCGTCATATAACGGCAGATTTTTGCTGTGATTAGTAATCGTCTGTCACTCTTTAGATAAGTTAGAATTAGCGTGTAAACGTCTGTATCATACGTCTGCTGAGCGGTTTTTATGTATTTTTTTAAATTTTGACACCACAACAATTAACTAAAGTTTATTAATAAACATCTGCCATCAATTTTAAAATAATATTGGAGAGAAACATTAATCGGGCGCTTTGACAGGCGTTTTTCGTTGTCTGAGCGCTTGGTTATCATATATTGTATTATGTAATTTTTCAAAAATCGTTAAAAAAATTTTGATTGGCAAAGGTTGTCAATATGAAATATCAAATGCATTAATTAAATTAATTAAATGTGTTAATGGCATACGATTATTAATAAACTTTTTTGTTGTGTTGTAAAATTTTGCAAAATTACTCACTCAGTTACTTACCGCTCAACATACGTTTACACGCTAGTTCTAACCTATGTAAAGAGAACTTTACGGCAACAGACGTTTTTAAGAGTCGCAATGCAACAGGTGATTGTCATGAGAAATAGAGTGAGTATTCTGAAGTGGAAGTAAAAATAGATTCTATATTGGTAGAGAGTAGATATAAGAACGGAGAAACTGAGAAAAGAAACGGATAAGGAAAAAACAACATGGTTTGAAAAGGAGTGTAGGGAAATTATGTAGACATGATTTCATACATAATAAAGCGAAGAAAAATACACTAGATAGGGAGAAAAAGGTGGAACTATGACAGGGATAGAAATAGAAATTATGGATGGCAAGTTGGTGACAAGAAAGCGAAGTATTGGGAAGATGGAGGAATTCTATCAAGCGAAGACCGAACGCATGGGGAAGGTTTTGAGTTATTAATTCCACCCTAATTTCTTCGAAGAGCAAACCGACACAGCTGACAGTGGAAAGCGTACAGGAAGAATGACAAAATCGGAGAAGGCATTCGATCAACGGAAGTAATGGCAGCCGTAAGAGAAATGAAAGATGGGAAGGTAGCAGGAGCAGATAATGTTCCCATAGATTTATTCAAATGTCGGCAAGAAAAAGGAATCAAAGAAATTATATGTCTTTGCAATAAAATCCTGTGGCCAGAAGACTTTCTCTGTTCAGAAATGGTGAATCTACCTAAAAAACAAAGTACAAAAAAATGTTCAGAATATAGAATAGCCTAGTAGCGCCCACAGCAAAGATCTTAATGAGAATTTGGTGGTGGTAAGCGTGTTCGTTTCTATTTACATATGTTCTTGCTGCAGCGTCAAAAATCAAAGGACGTTTCGGTTTTTTCGGGTTCACCGCTAAATAAAATTCCTTGTTCCTTTCTATCTTCATTTCATCAGAAGATATCTTTTTTAATTACCCAAAATCGTCCTGAAACCTTCATTTTCATGTCTACTTTCGGTCAGGAAATTTTAGTTTCCATGACAGAAGCAGAGCAGACTACGTTTCCTGCCGCTTGTCACTTTACTGGCCGCATTTGTCACTTTACCGGCCGCACCGTCATTTTACCAGTCGCATCTGTGACATTGCTAAATGTCAATAATGACTCCTGTCATTACTGACAGATTGACATTAATCAAAAGTTCTATATAAAAATTGAAATGTTATATTAAATACGATTTTGGGTAAAATTTAATACAAAACTCGGCACTAAAATGATACTACTAGACTCGGAAATTAAAGTACTCGCACCCAAAGAGGCCTTGTCCTTCAATATTTCCTCGCCAGTAATGTATCATTTTCCTGACTTTTATGTAAATAACTATTACTGCAATATTGTCTCCCAAAGTGTTCGTTTTTATCCATCTTCCTTTCCAGATACATTAGCCTCTTCCTAGTATAATTCCTGTGAAATCTGGTAGCTTCTTATTTTCATCTTTCCACAACAACGCGATCTCCCACCTTTTTATTCTCTTTGCTGTGTTTTCCATCACTTTTATCCTCCGACGTTATCTTTATAGATTTTTCTATATTTTCCAAAGTTTTTCTTCACTAGCTCATATAAGATTCATAGATCTTCTGTTTTTACTTCCAACATTTTCTCTGTTTGCATCAATTCATTAGTTTCCATCATTTTTCCAACCAAGAGGGTTCTTTGTTATAACGGGAGCTCCATGTGGACCATTCAGTCTACTGGTGGAACATTAGATGCGCATGTGGCTGCCCTATCAACATGGAATCTTCACATCCTACTAAAGACGCTTATTTACAGAAATCCCATCGTTTGGATTTTCCGCTTCTGAAACTTATTCGTGGTAGTTGTTCTTCTAATTTATCCATTGTCAGCACTTCGTCCAGTTGATAGTGACACTCTTTGTGATTCGGTTGTACCATTATCATTATGTCTTTACCCCCCTCTCCACTATTCCGTTTTCAGTGCCTTTATATCTATAAATAACTTTTTTCCTGAAATTTGCTCACAGTCCTGGTATCTACGAATGGGTATCCTGATGAGGTGCAAAGGGCAGTGAGGATTTTTATCTTCTCCCCTTTTGTAAAACAATTCCAATCCTAATAATAATAATAATAATAATAAGGCTCACAACATACTAAAATATCTCCACCAAAAACCCAAGCAACTTCACAAATACAACCTCAAGAACAAAGAAACATCATAAATACAAGTAACGCAACATGCACTACAAAGACAGGTCCACCCAATAAGTTACACGCCCTAGCACAATTAAAAAACACATAACTCCTTCTTCACCGAAGCACACCACGTTATCACAACCCACTCGTATTCAACCCAAACGCAAAAACCTATACAGCACTACTAGCTCACAAATACTGTAATATCTCCATCAATAACCCAAGCAACCTCACAAATACAACCTCAAGAACAAAGAAACACCATAAACACAAGTAACGCAAACATGTACTACAAAGACAGGTCCATCCAATAAAGTACACGCCCTAGCACAGTTAAAAAACACAATACTCCTTCTTCTCAGAAACAACCCACTCGTATACAACCGAAACGCAAAAACCTTAACACAGGCTCACAAAATACTGCAATATCTCCACCAAAAACCCAAGCAACCTCACAAATACGACCTCAGGAACAAAGAAACACCATAAATACAATTAAAAAACACAAAACTCCTTCTTCACAGAAACACACCACGTTATCACAACCAACTCGTATTCAACCCAAACGCAAAGCCAAAGAAACACTTACACAATAAACTCCATTTAATAAAATTACAGGAATTATTATAATGATTTTTTTGTTTTGTTTTCCTCTTTCCTGATAGCGTTGGCTATTGTGCCCATCAATAGGTATGTTGGTAAGTACGAATTACATTATCCCTAGATGTCCAATGTACGTGTGTGATATTATTATTATTATTATTATTTTTTTTTTAAGGACCCTACATAACTTCACCAGACACAGACACAGACACTAATCGTTACTTGATTTTAATCCGTGCGATTAGTTAACCAGGCTAGACCTGAGTTCTCACAAGAAACACCGACCATAATAACTAATAAATAACGCAACATACACTACAAAGACAGGTCCACCCAATAAAATTACACGCCCTAGCACAGTTAAAAAACACATAACTCCTTCTTCACAGAAACACACCACGTTATCACAACCCACTCGTATTCAACCCAAACGCAAAAACCTAAACAGCACTACTAGCTCACAAAATACAGTAATACCTCCACCAATAACCCAAGAAATAACACAAATACAACCTCAAGAACAAAGAAACACCATAAATACAAGTAAGGCAACATGTACCACAAAGACAGGTCCACCCAATAAAGTTACACGTCCTAGCACAGTAAAAAAACACAAAACTCCATCCTCACCGAAGAACACCACGTTATCACAACCCACTCGTATTCAACCCAAACGCAAAGCCAAAGAAACACTTACACAATAAACTCCATTTAATAAAATTACAGGAATTATGATAATGATTTTTGTTTTGTTTTGTTTTCCTCTTTCCTGATAGCGTTGGCTTATTGTACCCATCAATATGTATGTTGGTAAGTATGAATTACATACTATCCCTAGATTTTTAATGTACGTGTGTAATTTTTTTTTTTTTAGGACCCTACATAACTTCACCAGACACAGACACAGACACTGATCGTTACTTGATTTTAATCCGTGCGATTAGTTAACCAGGCTAGACCTGAGTTCTCACAAGAAACACCGACCATAATAATAATAACTTTATTCCCTATAAAGACAAATATAACGCACAGGATCGAATAACCTGGTATAATATTTTACCACGTTTCCATCCGCTTAGACGGTAGGTTCTTGTTTCTATTCCTGATGTCTTCGTGTAATAACTTATGATGTCTCCTTGTACATCCATTCTTTCCACATCTGTCTTTCCTGCGTTTCCTTACATTATGACCAGAATTAGAACATAGATAGCAAAGGCGACTTTCGCGTACAAATTCTTGTTTTTCTTACACAGATTTCGTTTTGAATTTCTTGCATACATAAATCTTGTGTCTTTCGCCACACTCTGGGCATTTCTGCAAATATTTCCATTCCCAATTAACTCTTTGGACTTGTATTCCATCTAATTTACATTGGGACGGGCATCTTTTTTTCAATACCAATCATCGTTTACGAGCTTTCTTTTGCAAGTGACTTCAGAAATTTAGATATATACCGCTTCATAGCGAACATAAACAAAAAATTAAGGGGCGAGACCTAAATTTCGAGTACGTCGTGGGAGAAACGTTAAGCGCAATTAGTATTTGTAAATTGCAGGTTACTCGCAATTTTAATTTGATGGCCGTTGCTTTTATTAATATATCCAATCAAATGAGTTCAGATGTGTATTTATTAGAATTCGACCAAACCCGAGATTTTAAATTTCCGGTTTTGAGAGGAAGGCCAGACTTTCTCAAGGTAAGGGGTATAAAATCATCTTTCTTACTGAGCTAGCCGTGGGTGTGGGTAAAATAATTGTCATAAGATTTTTTTGCCAATGTGGTAGAGGTTCAATTTATTTAATGCAAGTGGGGTCTTCAACCCTTGTGAATTTAATGTCGTTACCCGCTCGAGAACAGTTTTCTTTCTCTCACGCCATTTTGTTAAATGGTCGAGTTCTCCGCCCGTAGGGCACAATGATTTATAACGGGACTAATAGAATAAAATCTTTATGTTTATGATATAGCTGCGTTTACGATAACTTTTTTACTAATTTTGCTCCTTCCGTTATTACAATTTTTAGCGATCGACCTATATATACGCTAGGGCGAGTGATGGTCATCTTCATTACCTTTTCCTCGTATCGAGCTTAAAATCCGAAGCGGCCCCAACGAATTTGGACGGTTACCTCTTATTCCTATCTAATATTGCTCGTTTGCACCAATGATACGGCTCGCATCCAATTTTGACGACTCGCTTGTATTATCGCAAAACCGACGCTTTTTTTATTCATTCTTACACTTTTCTCACTATTCTGTTGCTGTGGAACCCTAATTCCAAACCATTTGACTTGGTTCTGATTTCTGTGTTTCAACAATTCCTGTGTCTCTACTTTCTCAGTGTTTCAGTTCTTTGCGATTTGATTGAATACTCGATTTTGCTACTTTGAAATTGAGAGGGAATTTTGAGGCTAAAGACAGATACCTTTCAGAATTTAATATTGGTAAAAAATCAACAATTCAACCACACTTGATAAACGAATATGAAATAAAATTACAGTTATTGTAATTCCCGATTGCTTAATCCCAGTTTGATATTTGCTGAACGAAGCGCTTGAAGTGATCGAACTGCTTTTCGTCCTCGAAAAAGTAGGGCAAACCGCGAACCCGTCTCAGCCAATCAACAACCTTTGGAAAAACCCCAGGTTTGATAGGATGAATATGGTTCAGTGCTGTGGTCGTAGTCGCACAGCTGATATCGGCGAGGGTTGGAATTCTTCCGGCCAGCCACTTATTTCCGTCCAAAAACCGTTCTAAGGTCCCATACACTTCGTCGATAGTCGCTACTTTTTCCTTTGGAATTTGCTTGTACTCCTTCCGTATAAATCCCGCCTAAAAATGAGCGTGAAGTCCCATGGTAAGATAACTACGGTATGCGTTACTATGGCGTTTTTAAAGGTGGGGTATAAAACCCCTGCGTCAAAGTACAGTTTCTGATCAACCTGCGCTCGTAGTTGAGCATCCTTTGGGTAAAGTAAGTCATTTTTTGCGTATTTTGTAACAAGGTAAGCGGCGATTGCGTGACTGTCGCATATTATTTTTCCCTTGTCGTTCAAAACTGGAACGGTATGCGCAGGGTTTATCTGAAAGCAAGCGACAATTAAAGAAAGCTTATGGAAAACCTTACCTTTAGGAATTCGGGAGATTTTAACTCTTGATTGGTTGTAAAGACGTGAGCTTCTACATTTAAACCAACCGCTTTGGCTGTTATTAGTACCGTACGTGCCGGTGGACTTCCATTGAAAATGTACAGTTTTGGAGTCATGTTTTAAACGCTACTTCGTGTAAAGGACTGCAATCACATCGTATTTGTCTGATTAGGTTTCAGGTATCGCCTGCATTATTGATTGTTTTACGCAATCACTTGTAATTTGCACTATCAACTATCGGGTAATGACCTGCAATTGTTGGTAAATTGACAAATAGTGATATACTAAATGACTACCACCACTATGTACACTCTAATCTTCTGTTGTGCAATGCCAATAACAATGACAAATCAAAAATATTGTTTTAAAATAGAGATTTGAAGTAGCAGGCAGTAATTAAGGAGGTTCAACAGCATACAACAGATTGAAGAAATCTGGTTTTTAGCTGAAATGGTTTTTCATTGCGTCATCAAAAAACACCCAAGGCCCAAGTTTTTGTTCAAAGGAGTCATGTTTTCGTCTCAGTAATGACTTCACTAGCAGAATCAGTGCTGAGAAATACATAAATGTATTGTAACTTAAATCTAATTACGTATTTAATTTATTTACAGTTAACTAACAATTAGGTACCTAAATTGTAATTTGTAACAGTCATTGATATTTATCATTTATGATTTATAACATTACACAAGCGCGTCGTTAGAACTGAAACTGAAATACGCTGCAATTTGCTTATATAGTAAACGAAAATTGTTCTAGAATGTTCTTAGAACGCTTCGAAATGTTCTAGAATAAACACGTCATTTTTCCCGGATTCCAGGATTGCGTCATATCCGCCTTCGTTCGTTATCGCCGATGATTAATCTTTCATGGTGCCTCGATTTCTATTGGGATTACTGGAATATTCGCTTAAACATGTTGCCTCTCGGACAACATGGACGACCGTTGTAGCGGAGACATAATCCCAGGCAACTCTTGTTCTATAACGCGAACTTAATGGATTTTGTCATGGATGACGCCCAATTTTTGTCGCGGGTTCTCCACGTACTCGTTCCCCATAGTTTCTTCCTGGCCTCGTCTTGTGCATACGGCAACCGGAGTTTCCTACAAAATAACACGGAAGTTTGGCTCTGTCATGTATAGTTTCCTGCCCCCCAAAGAACGGTTCGCCATAAGGAACAAATGCAGATATCATGCTGATGGTCGGACACAACTTTTGACAAGTACTTCCAAAGTATGCATGGTTTGGAATAGCACCGATTCGAAATTTCGTTTCTGGTCAGAGTGTAGTTCCAAGTCGAGGAACTTCTGGATTTGACATTTGAAAATTTTAATCCGACTAATTAATAGAGTATAATTAACCGTAGTTAATTAATTCTGTTGCAGCAAAGTTAGCAGCGCGCTGAATTAACTTAAATTTCAAGATTAGTCCTCGATTTTTAGGACGTCAGGGAGCCTGGTAATTAAATAACGAAGTTATCAACTAAGTATGCCGGCGACTGGCAAATCCGAGTTCCACTTTTTTCGGTTACATAATAATCCAGTTAAATTGTATTTTTACCAGGAAAGTTGTGGGGTAGTTTTGATTTCTTTGATTCTATATGTTTTTTGGGGTGCTGAATCCGAATCTGAGGTTTGCCAACAAAATTTCATGACGCAACATTGAAAAAAATACAAAAGAAGTTGAAATAGTTATTTATATAACAAGAGCGCGAAGTTCAATTTCGCGCATTGAGACTGAAGGTATTTTGACGAGGCGAAGCCGAGTTAAAATATCAGTCAAATGCGCGAAATAACTTCGCGCTAGCGTTATATACAATATTTTTTCTACAATTGAACCGATTGTTAATTAAATTTGCTGTTTAAGTTCAACTTTGTCACGTGCGCGAAATACTTTTTTTCACTGTTGACGATTTCGCGCACGTTGTCAAGAGCAACCTCACTTATTAATTAACCGTTTAAAAATCTAGTACTTCGCGTTTCGAAATCCGTCAGAAAATGACAGGTTTTTATGACAGTTGTAGAAAAAAGTTATTTATATAACAAGAGCGCGAAGTTCAATTTCGCGCATTGAGACTGAAGGTATTTTGACGAGGCGAAGCCGAGTTAAAATATCAGTCAAATGCGCGAAATAACTAGCTAGCGTTATATACAATATTTTTTCTACAACTGAACCGATTATTAATTAAATTGCTGTTTAAGTTCAACTTTGTCCCGTGCGCGAAATACTTTTTTTCACTGTTGACGATTTCGCGCACGTTGTCAAGAGCAACCTTGCTTATTAATTAACCGATTAAAAATCTAGTACTTCGCGTTTCGAAATCCGTCAGAAAATGACAGGTTTTTTTGAAAGTTGTAGAAAAAAGATATTTTTTTGGCAGTTTTGTGCTTACAACTTGAAAACGATCAACTTTTCAAAAATAACCTTCCTATTCAAAATAAAAGTACATAAAATTTCCTACAGCCCCCACTATTTAGTTTTTTCCTCGATGAACCATTCGGGCTCGAGCGCCAGTTGAAAATTGGCGTATTTCGGCTGTCTCCACAAAACATAGTTTTTTCGCACTAAATCCCTAAATTAATATTAAGCGTTGTCAATAAGTGAATTCCTTGCATTTACCTACTATTATTTCAATTTTATATGTAAGGGTAGTTTTTTCTCATTTTCATAACGTTCAAGGTGTTTACGGTAGTCCAGAATTGTATAAAAAGTTAATTTCTAACGAACAACAGTATATCATATTATTATATTATTTATAATATATGTATAATACTTATACTGTGCTATCTAAAACTATTCCCACTCTCTTCCGGACCAGATAAAGAAATCACAAAACCCTACCGTAGCATGTTTGGATTATTATTGTTGAATTTGGGAAAGTGGCGCTGTGGTCATTATTAATTCAAAAAATTCAAATGGCAAAAGGGGTACCTATATTGATTTCCTATTCAACGGCATTATCTCTCTTGCTCCGGTGTTCTGAAGAATCACGTACTCCTCGGAGTGGGGTAACGCAGTTACTCCAGCTTAAATTTGTCTGCTAAGAACTGAACCCGATTTATTTCTTTTCTGTTTACATGTTAACCAGCTACAAAAAGCGAGTTCATGATTTTGGACTGTCCGTCCGTCCATCTGTGTAACTTTGTGAGGGTGTGTATGTATGTGTATGGGAGGAGGGCCTCGAGACTGCAAACGTAGGTACACGGGGACGTAATGGCCCTTGGCTCATCTGTGAAGGAGTGGGAGAGTTTTATACCAGACGGAACAGTTATAAAATTTTTTGACGAGCCCAGTAGACAATGAAAAGTACGGATTTGTATTTGCACAGAGTAAGAATAAAATAATAATAAAAGATGAGTATTTGCGGATACAGCCGAAATACGCCAATTTTCAACTGGCGCTCGAGCCCGAACGGTTCATCGAGGAAAAAAACTAAATAGTGGGGTCTGTAGGAAATTTTAAGTACTTTTATTTTGAATAGGAAGGTTATTTTCGAAAAGTTGATCGTTTTCAAGTTGTAAGCACAAAACTGCCAAAAAAATATCTTTTTCAACTTCTTTTGTATTTTTTTCAATGTTGCGTCATGAAATTTTGTTGGCAAACCTCAGATTCGGATTCAGCACCCCAAAAAACATATAGAATCAAAGAAATCAAAACTACCCCACAACTTTCCCGCTAGATGCCCGTTTGAGCACAAATGGCCTGTATTATAAGGCATGATTTAGAGGGGATCTTTTGGATTTTTCGCTTTGTTCGCGTGCGTTTTAGCCCGTTTTAGGTTCTATTAATTTTACGAGACCGTACCGTTTAATTTAAGGGTAAGCGTTTGGTGCACTGTTCGTTATTTTGGGGTTTGTTTTCTTGTAGCTAATAGATACCGTTAATTAATTTGTGTTTCCGTTCCAATTTGGAAACTTGCGACCGTCCCGTGTGCCGTAATTCGGCCAATAACCGTCGCGGATTTCCCGCAAGATCCCTGGAGTATTTGTCTTCTCCGGTTGAGTTCCCGTGGTTTCTGAGACCGTTCCGCAAACCTCCCCTTGACCGGGATCGAGTGTTGAAACCTCCTAGTGACGGCCGAGAGAACCGTACTATCCCAACGAGACTACTCCATCGTCCTGCCGACTACGTATTTATACTGTGCTAGCGCCAAATAGTGAGTAGGTCCCTTTGGGAAAATTTGTAAGTTCTCGTTTTTATATAGAAAATCTCTTCAAGTCAGTATAAGTTGTATGCGGTTTTTGTAACTAGCCTCCTAAATGAGAGACTGTCATTTTAATCTCTTGTGCTTTCCACTATTTTGTAAATATCAAAAATGTCGAGGCAGTTTGCTATTTACAAGTACGTAAAACTGAAGACAATTTAATTTATATTCTGACTATTTAACCTATATTTTGTGAAATTTTTGAAGTAATGTGTGACCTAGTTTCTACATTTTCCTAGTTTGGAGGCTATTAATAATTGCATTCATTCAATAGTGACCGCCATTTACTAAATTAATCATCTCCTTTTTATGAATTCTCTTCGCTCTACATGAAGTTCGAACCGATTTAAGTTAACCGTATCCGTAATATCGTTATTTTCTAATTAACCTTCTTATTAATTAGAGGTATGTTAATATTTATTATCGAAGGGTTGTTACATGTGCTTTATTTCAGGGTTTTATTTTCAAGTTGTAATTGCAAGTTATGAGAATTCTCCATTTAACCGTTAATTGCGCGTTAGGAACACCAGTTTCTTATCAAGGCACCAGATATACCGGACAGCGGTCATTTCGTTGTGGAAGTTACGTAAATGCATGGGCAACATTTAACTAAATTCAGTACTTGCGACGTAGATAAGGTAGAGGTGTGATTGCGATCACATGCACTGCTACTTTCACTGGTAAGAAAAAACAATTTCAAATGCGAATATCTCCGAAACTAATCAATAGAATTTAAAAAGCAAAGCAGATTAGTAATCACGATTAAATTGGCTTTCAAATAATGTGCCATTTGTCATAGGATTCCATTTAAAATTTTAGGGGTTAAGCTCCCTACGTAGAGGGGTGAAGACTTGGGTTCGTGATTTGTATTCCAAAAGTTGTCCCCTTCGAATACAAAATTGACGTGTTCGAGGATTTTTCGAAATTTCTAAATTTAATACCCTAAAAGCCCTCTGTATACTTCTCGTTGAGCCACTCTGTATAATTGGATCTTCCATGTCCTGTTCTTATAGATACGATTTAATTTGACCCACATTTTTCTTGGGAGATCAAGCCCTGCAACTTCATTGGATGGTTCTTTGATTAAATTTCGATTAAAAATTGTGTTATTATGCTGTATCCAAAAAATTTTCCAACGTTTTTTAATGGAATATACATTTGAATGTATATGGTCTTCTTTCCATAACGGATTTTGTGATTTTAATCGATAAAAAGGTAAATTATTTAGATCTAAATTTATGGGGAAATCAGCGTTATTTTTATATTTGTCCCCCAATTTTTTTAAAAACAATTCTCGTCTGATATTGGGTGGAGCAATGTTTGAGAGAACATGTAACCAAGATATAGGAGTAGATTTAAATGTGCCGGTAATTATTCTCATTGTTGTATTCAGTTGTGTATCAATCCTTGAGACATGGTCACTATTTTTCCATACTGGGCAACAATACTCTGCAATTGAATAAACAATAGCTAAAGCAGATCTTCTTAAGGTTCTAGCATTTGCACCCCAATCTGTGCCGGCTAATTTTGACAAAATATTATTTCTAGTTTGTAACTTCTGACTAAGTTTCTCAATGTGTAATTTATACGTTAGTGAAGTGTCCAGTTTTACTGCCAGGTAAATTGGTTGAAAATTGTGTTTTAAATTAACATTATTTAATAAAATATTAAATTTATAGTTTTTCTGGTGATTGTTTAAATGAAAATAGGTAACAGGAAAAACTTCAGTTTTTGAGGAACTGGGAAGTAATCTCCATTTCATGAATTATTGGCTAAGAGTTGTTAAGTCTTCCGTTAATTTTGTTTCAATTATTTTAAAGTCATTATGTTGAAAAGTAATCGCTAAATCATCCGCATAAATGAATTTTCTTGAAATGGTTGTTGGAATATTATGTACGAGTATGTAAAGATTAAATAATAATGGAGATAATACGTTTGTATAAGATTTCTGTGGATAATACTGACCCTTGAGGAAGTCCGTTGTTGAGTAAACGGATTTTGCTACTGTTTTCTTCGACAAAAACTCTAACTTGCGGTTTGATAGCATTTTTAGCGCATTTCCACAAAAATAAAAAAAAAATGCGCTATTGTGGCCACTTTGTCCGTCCGTCCGTCCGTCCGTCCGTCCGTCCGCTAACTTTGCGACGCTACTAGTTCTTTATCTTAAGAGCCATTGTTCTACTTTTTTCGCTATTTGGTTCGTTATGGTGTCGAGTCTTGTACCAAGGAAGGAATTTTTTCTGTACCGCTTACAAAAAAAGTTATTGTAAAAAAAACAAAAAACCGTTTTTCACATGTTCCATAATTTTTCACTTTCGCCGTTTATTAACGATCCTAGAGATCGTTTATAATTTTGCATTGCTATCTGTCGCCTGCCGGTTGGTCTCTCCGTCTGTTCCTTTGTCTGTCTGTCCATCTATCTGTCCGTGTGAACCATAACTTTGTTTAGAAATGTTCGATCGCTTTTACATCTCCGTTAGTTATGAACTGAATTGCATGAAATTCAATATGGGGATAGATTTAGCCATATAATACGCAATGCCAAAAGTTGGATCGAATCGATTCAAAATTCACAGTGCCCTTTTCGCATGTCGACCATTTATAAACCGAATTGCAAACTTTTTTACTTATAAAAGTATTTGAATGAAATTTGATACATAGGCACTTGGAATAAAGGAAAATCAAACGCCAATTTCAAATTTTGGTTTTGCGCATGCGCAGTGCCAACTTTTTTATTTATGGAAGAATTTAAACGAAATTTGATACATAGGCACTTGGGATAAAGGAAAATCAAACGCCAGGTTCAAAATTTGGCTTTGCGCATGCGCAGTGCCAACTTTTTTTATTTATGGAAGAAATTAAATGAAATGTGATACATAGGCACTTGGAAAAAAGGAAAATCTAGCGCTAGTTTCAAAATTTTATTTTGCGAATGCGCAGTGCCAACTTTCTTATTTAGAAAAGCATTGAAATGAAATTCTTCGCATAAACTGAAATTGAAGTAGCACGTCAACAATGGATTGCCCATGTGCAACGCTATCTTTCATATTTGTGGGCGGATTTTTACGATTTTAACAAAAGTTGCATCTTACAAATAGGAAATGAATGCAAGTGGAAATGCGCTTTATGTAAATCGTTTACGATTACTTTTTAACTTGTTTTAATTATGCTAACAATTTTACTACATTTTAGTACATCATATAGTTTTGATATTAAACCGTCTTTCCATACCGTACCAAAACTATATATAATTAGTTAGAATAACGTACTTACACTGGAATTAAAATAGGTTAGTAATTAATTCGATAACTCCTCGTCAAGGATTATGTTGGAAAATTATTGTGAATTTTGTAAATTATTGTGGTCGATCATTATTGAATTAGGGGATTTATTAGTTTGGGATGCATTGAGGTTTAAGTTTAATTTTAACGTAATAGTTTTAAAATATGGGGATGTTTTAGTATTGGAAGGGGAAATTTTACTTACTCAGTTTATTGAAGTGATATGGATTATGAGTACACGTCATATATGATTTAAAGGAGTTAATTTCGGACCTTTAATTATTTTTTGTGTTGAGAAGGCTTCTCTTACATGCCTAGGTACTTTTATCTCTGCAGGCCACAGAGACTTATGGTTGTTTTTGTAAATTGTGTTTGTAGATTTTGGATAATCCTGATTGCAGTAACACGGTTCAAATTAGGTATTTGTTACTTTGAATGATAAATATTGTGTTATTACGAAACACAACAAAAGTGTAACATAAGAATAACAAACGGGGTGGTTTTTTTGCGCATCGTATGCTCAGAAGTCCATCTTTTAAACAAATTGGCATTCACGGTACAAATTAAATGATTACAGGTACGCTCCTAAAAATTCCATTTTATTTGTGGTATCAGTTGCTATCCAGCAATTGAGCTTTAAGTTACATATGCGTTAAACTTGAGACTTGCTGTACGGTACCTAACATGAATGCTTTAACTGAAGGCTAGTAAAGATGATTTGGAGCTCTGTAATTGGAGAAGCTTCAATTTGCCATAAAGATTTTGGTGTATCGAACCTCCTTTCTGCTGCTCTTGACGAGACGGTCCACAAAATGTTGAACTGGCAGTTCAATAGCCAAGGTGAGCACTATTGCTGCAATGGTCGACAGAGCTAGGACGCCTGGTAGATCGTTAACCTGAAAGGTGAAATTAACTTTCGCATAATGTTGCAATTGTTACTTACCAATGATGAGTAGTTGCTTATGTAAACCGGAACTCTTACGGTGCAGATGTTGTATTCTACTATAAGGTAGTGGACCAGATATATATTGAATGACAGTCTTGCAACCACCTCAAAGACTGGGTTGGATAAAAATGTGTTGACGATGCCTAAAACCAACGATTTCGTCATTATCCGTTATTGGATCCCAAGCGTTACCTCCATATCCCATATGACAGCAACAGATAAGGTATCCCACTGCTACCAATAATGCTGGCCGTATCAGAGCCAAACAGAACGAGTTTTCGAAACGATTGTAAGGTGCGATGTCTATATGATAAGTTCCAAAAAGGCAGATTAGCATTACAATTATAGCACCCAACAACAATGCTACTATTAATCTCTGTAACACAATAAAACGTTCCACAGTTAGTTTGAAGTTGCTCCACTTACTTTTGGTACTTTGGTTGGTTCCCTCTTTGTCTCTAGCATGTACAAAATGTAACCGTATATAAAACCAATGAGCCAGGAGGATGCTCGCGTAGGTAGAAAGAAGTAAAAATAATCATCGTAGTTAGAGTCACTGAAATTTGGAATTTATCATTGTAAAGCATCTACACCACAGGGTGTATTGAAGGTGAGGAACAAAAGGAGAATCAGTTTAACTAAACGGGGTGATTTTTCAGGTATACATGACCGTTCTGCAACAACCAGTTTAACATTGAAGAAATCGTCCTTTGCCAAACAATCCATCTACCCATATAAAAATAAAAATATAACACTTACTGAGTGTAGAAAGAAGCACCCATCTTATACACCCAAGCTAGCACGAACAGTGTAATAATAGACATCAGCGTTAGAAAGATGGTGAATATGAAAGTTTGCCTTGGCCAGTGCTTTAGTGGTATTAGCAAAATGGGAGAAAAGATGAACATTTGGAAATCGACGGAGAGGTACCAAGTTGGTGGAATGCACTGAAAGTGAGCTGTCAGCACGTCTGATGGCTGTGTGTATACTCACCAAAGTTGGCGTAAAATTTTGAACGTAGAGCAAGTAAGACCACCAATTTGTTCGGCATGGCTCTACGATTTCATCAGCTAGATTCCACAATGGGCCAGAACCGATATATTGGAACCAGGTCAACATAAACAAGAGCACTGTCAAGTTGCACGGTGTGAGTCTACAACAAAGCGACTCGATGCAAGTTCAAATCCATTACTCGTATCTACCGTAGATATCTTCCGACGTAGTGCGTGACGATGTTAAATTGGTGACCTTTTGCAGTGTTGTATAAATAAGTGTACGACAACAGGAATCCGCTAATCAAAAGAAAAACATCAACCACCATGTCCGGATTGACCAATGGCGTATTTATAAATTGATTTTTCCACTAAAATAAACTTTAAAATTATGCAGTATTGCCAAGGCACACGGTAATACGTAGGTCATGTAATACGCATTCATGATAATTTTTTTTCGGTAGCGGTAAAAATAAACATGAGTCACGATGGCCCCTGTCATTGCGAGTACCCTCAGTCCACTCAGACATGAAATTTTCGTTGGGCTAGGTCGACTAATAGTAAAAATTCTTTTACTGTTGGAACGTACTGAAAATGCTTTCAATGCCCAGTGCTGTTCACCTAAACAGAGGTTATCTTCGGACGCAAACCGTGGAAGTACTTACCTTCATAGGTCACTTCATATATGGTTGACGCAATCACAAGGAACAGGATCACAGCCGCAAGCGCCCTGTGCAAAGTTGTCAATTACATTATTTTCCAAATCATTGAAAGAACGTCAATCACTACCAGTGTCCGTAATATCGGAATATCTCTCCAGTACACATTTTTGAATATTTAAAGAATTGTGGATTTAATGTTCCAGGAGAATATGTGACAAAAAATTCCCAAAGCAGCACGCTTAGTCGAAGTTTAATTAAAAACTAATTTGGTTTGTAACAAACGTCAATAAAATACATGCAATACACAGGTTTTAATTTGCCCAGAAATGGTATCTTTAAGAACATACAATCCAAATTTTTCTTAATAATTTTTATGCTTCAATCAGTTACAAGTTCGACGTTTTCCAACCCTTAATTACTTAAATAAAATAACGGTAGCTCTCGGCAATTGGTCCGGAAAAATTAAACAATAGATTGGAACTTTCCGTCGCCAAACTTCTTCGTTGAATCAATGCCTTCAGGGTCGTTTTTTTCCGGGCGTTATCCTTTTGTGTTTATAGAATGCTAGCAACCAAAATTTTCATTAGCGCGACAGTTTGTGGTTAACGGGGTTTCCAACGGCGAAATTTTTTTTGCTACGCCAAAGGAGAGACTTGCACAAAACCCTATTTTTATTACTGTTTTTTGAACTTTAGGCATATGAAGCAATTTTTTAAATTGTCTAAGTTTTAACGGCACAGGTCACCCCTTTTGTTACGTTCGCAATTAAGTAACAATACCAGAGGTTAACAGTGCAGTGTAAAATACTACACTGGTACGTTTAATTGACTTCTCCTCGACCATTCAAGTGTGTTATCGTCCTTTATACAATAACCCTTTTCTATATGGGGGATAAAAACTGACACATTAGAATTAATTCGTTTTAGGGTGTTAGTTCACGGAATTCACTTGAAGATTTGCATTTTGAGAAAAAAGTACCCGCAATCACAACCTGATTTTATGTTGTCCGAAAGTCGGCAACCCTCACCCTCACCAAAGCCGTCAAAACTATTAATCTAAACCGCGCAGGGGATGCTCGAATGGTCCAGAACCTTTTTTTCCATATTGCGAGCCTCACAGTTAACACTACCGTAACTCAGAACCGAATCAATCCGAGAACAAATTTTCATTCGGACCACACACTGCTTGCTCTGGTAAACCAGATCTCAATGTCTTAAAAAATCCCCCGAATAACCCCTACGCATTCTTACTTAATTAGTTAACGCCCTTTTCAAAATGGCACCTAGTGATTAATAGAACCATTTTTTCTCAAGAGTAATTTTGATTGGTGGTATCTCCCGTGACGTGCTTTAGCTTTTTTGCTGAATTCTATTCACATAATGATCTCAAAGCGCCGCAGATGTATGTCAGCAATCTTTGCAACAGAAGCCCTACCGAGTAAAGATGGTCTGTTGTTTACAACCGACTCAGGTGAACCTAAGACTCCCGAAAGTAATCAAGAAACACCACTCTATAGCATTTAAATACGCAGAACAAAATTTGATTGCCTAACTTGCGCAATTAAATCTATAAACCTTCCTATAAATCTAGATTTACTAAAATACTAAAAAAAATACTAAAAATCTCCGAAGCTGTAGTGTTGCCGGCTCTAAAACGTCGTGACGGAAAATGTCTAAGAATATGTGTACCAAATTTGGTTCCAATCGGTTTAGCCGTTTAGCCGGAAATGAGAGTACAGACCCTAACCTATAAGGGAAATTTTGGACATTTCAGTAGTAAATAAACCAAATTCCAAATAAATTATGAGAAACCTAAAGCACGGTTTGTTCCGGATTCAAATTCGTCAACCATAATTCGAGATGAACTTTCAACGAGTAAATAAGTTTTACCTGGCGATGCAAAAGATGCAATTGTATTGTATAAGGCGTGCCATCATCCAATTTTCCAAATTGTTGCTACCTTTCCAAAGAAGAAAATCAACTGCCAACTGAAAAACATCGATAAAGGTAAGTTATTTTGCATTGTGTAACCGTAGGGGTTTATTTTTTTTGGGGTTTTTGTATAAATAATTTATGTTTAGTCATTTCAACATTCCTGAAGAAGTCGACCCACCGGAGTTTAGCCCGTGAACAAATATGTGTATCTTTTATGATTGATAAGTGAACCCTAACCAAAGATATTGGTAATTTCTAATTAATTGTGAAATTCTTTAGCATCCAGGGGCGTATGGCTGTTTCCATTTGTACCAATTATAGTATACAGTTCTAGATAGGTTCCACAGACCGACAGCCCCCCCCCCCACCTCCTTTACTAACGTGAGGGGGGTAAAAATAATTACTCTTAAGTTCCAGACTAATTTTGGTAAAAGTTTCGTTTATTCATTTATAAAGAAAGCTCCTAGAGGGAAATGTTAACCTTAATACTTATGTCAGTCCTGGTGGTGATTGGCGTTCCTCGCAATACCGACTTGTTTCGGTTCTTCAATACTTACAAGGTTACGTATCCCCCAGTCGTAATTTGCGCTTGAGTCGCTTTCGTTTGGCACATGTTTTCGTTTAGGCTAAAATTGAGTCCTATCCCAATTGCTGTATTTTCAATGTCACTTGCGGTACAAGAATTTGGAAAGCAGACCGAAAAATTCATCTGCGTTGGGACAGTTATTTGAGATGTTGAACGTCTCCACCTTTTTACCTGAAAATTTATTATTAAATGGAAACGGTTTATTCACATGACTGTGGTTCCAGAAACTGCATTTGGGACAAACAAATTGCTACGTTAGAAGCACATTCCAGTGCGTTTACTACCCTCGGGACTGAACTGAATCGTGGTATTGTTTTGTGTGGATAGTCTATGGTCTGCTACATGCCGACGAAATATAGGAGGAAGTTTCAGAAATAACACAAAGGTCGCACTGTTTTTTCATGTTTCATTTGGATGACTTTTCGATTTTTGACGATTCAGACTTGTGGTAGTGCGTGTGGTGGGGCAGAAAGACACATGAAAACTATTCTCAAATCTTCCTCGTTGGTTACAAGTTTCGGAAAAAAAACGTGTACCTACTGCATTTAATTTCCCAAATTGTAAGGCATAATAACGAAACAACAATATTATTCTGAAATAGCTAGGTACTTACAGAAGACTTAGGAAGGTCAAGACCAAGCAATCCTAAGCAATATTTCCCCGATATGCTCGCGTTGTCCATACGAAGCTCTTCAACAGCCATACATTCATCAAAGAAGCCCATAGACACAAAGTTGCCGCTCAACACTCCAGCCGGAAGCTTTCCGGCGGCATCGTACACTGAAACAGCCTTTAATTGCGACTCATTAAATTGTAAACTTACTATCTAACGCCCAATCGGCATCCTCTTTCAAATTCAACGCGAAATCTGCCAGTTGATCGTAACATTTAGGCGTCAGTCTAACGGTTTCTTGAGATAAATACCGTAGAATGTATTTGGAATACAACTTTGGTGACGAAAGTGCTTCGAATCGTTCACCTAAATAATTTCCCATGGCGATTTTCAGTCCCAAAAGGAAAATTAACCCAAAATTCTTCATTATGAGTTATCATCTCTGAAATAAAGTACAAAATGCGAACACGTCTCTCCTTAATTGGTAATGCTGTTCATTAACGAATTTTTAATATACTATCGTTTAGACAAAATGTGGTCAGACACACGTTTCCGGATCAATAATTTGAAATTTGCAACTTAATTATTAAAAAAAAAAAGAATGTAAATCGGCGTAGAATATTACACATGAAATTACTATTGTATTCAATTAATCTTCAGTGACTAAAACTAAATGTGTGAAATAATCACAGAAATTAAAAAAAAAATTAGTTACCTATCAGATTGTACTTGTAGCGTTAGTTTGCTAAGCCGAAACCCTTGGCTAATAATCACTTCGAACTCCATGTTATGGCAACACGGTTGTACTATTAATTTTCCTATAAATCTACAGACTAAATAAATAAATAAATAAATTAATAAACTAATAAATAAATAAATAAATAAATGAGTTACAGTCGCAGTCGGTTTAAACATACCTACATTCAGACGTGATGAGCGAAGGATACGCTTTTTTAAATAGTAGTTTTTCGAATTTATACTGCATACGAAGATTTACACGTGTACCGCTTTATAGCGAACAGAAACAAAATTACGTCTGGAAATAAAAGGAGATAACAACGCGTGTACTTTCGAAATAAGCGAGGAGAGAGACAGTGTGTGCGGAGATTTCTAGGCAGACGGGGTTAAACTTTAACAGAGTAAGCACGTATTCCTTCAGTGCGAAAAAGGTGGTTATTCCGCGTATTGGCCAAAATGTAATGGTTAAAATTCAAAGCCCGCCAGGCAGACGAGCTAATTTGGTTAGTGGCTAATTACTACCTTAGTTGTGTTAAACTTGTGTTTGGAGAAAATTTAAAAGAGTTGCAGAAAAGTGTTACCTGTTTTTATTTTGAGTGGGAATTTCCAACCAGGAACGTCACTGCTATTTATTTTTATCAATTGTGAAATTAGGAACGCGTCCTTGTTGTAAATTGGTGGCAAAATACGAGTTACCTACAGGCTCAATTTGATTATAAAATTTTGAAGTTGACTTAATATGTATTAAGACCATTACGAATGTAAAAAATTTACGCGAGGGAACATTTTCGGAATTGGAGACGGAATTAAATGTAGTACCTACTACAATCTTCAATAAATAAATAAATCATAGTAAAATGTGACATAGAACTAGACGTGGGTCAACTAATAATTTTTGATAAAGAATTGGTGATTTTACTCAGAAATTCAACATTTTGATTTCGAAGAAGAAAAGGTCAACCCCTTTTAGTGCAAAAGTTTGTTGCACATTGCCATCTTATTTCCCAGTGTCTCTCCGAGAGATCATGACATTCTTTCCTTTGCGGATAATATTTATTCCTGTTTCAAATTTGCTTGGATCACACTTTTTCAAATTATATAACTCCACTCCACCCCGTTATTGTTGGCATTTTATAATCATAATCAGATGTTGGACCCCATATGAAACGTAGGATCCGGTTCCGCACTACTTAGGTAGAATTATTTTTTAAGGGTCCGGACCGGTTCTGGTTCTGTGATTTTAGTAGTTACCGTTTCCGGTTCCGGTTCCAGTTTTTCTCGGAACATAAATAAATAAAATTATTACAAAAACTACTTTCCTTTTCTTCAGCAGTAGTTTCAACTATTGCTTTCCTCGCACACTCGTCAAACTGTTTTTGATTCACTTTCGTTATTAGTAACGTTAAAGTATTTTATGTTCTGAATAAAGGTGAGAATTTTTGACTTTTGAAATTTAGTGCAAATTTTACAACTCTGAACGTAATTCACAAATCATTGGCTAATAAAATGAACTGTATGTTTTTTTATTTATTTTATTAAAAAAGCGCAACGTGTTCACTATATCTGCATGAAAGAGAGAACTGGAAAATACCGTTTCCGTGGCACTAATAATAAAGGTAGGTACCGGTATCGGTTTCGGTTATCAGAACTTCTCAAATAACGGTTCCGGCTACAAATGAGGGGCTTATAGATGCAATCAGCTGCGGTTCCGGTATCGAGCCTTTTCGGTTCCGGTTCCAACCTCTGATCCCGTTACACAATTACCTATAATATAAATTCTCATTTTATTTTATAAATGTTGTGTTGATCATATCTTTGTCAGTTTTCGAGACAGAACCACCCTGAATGATTATTTTATTCTTTTTAACAGCCTTAATTCACAATCTGCTAATAAATCCCTTATTTTCCTAGACTTAAGACTTACTAGATCCAACTCACTCCCAGAAAACCTTCCACCACTGGCCATATTACCCCCTTCTATTTCTTCCATTCACTAATACACAAGTTCTCCTCTATTATGGCAATACCTCTTTAGAATTGAAAGCCATTCATAAATTCCTCAGTTTCCTCTGAACGAAATCTTGATAAGAACCTCCCTCTGCTGGATTAATTAATTAATTCACTAATTCTCTCCTTTTCTCATAATTATAAATTGCTAATTATTCTTCGATACTTGTACAACTCAAGGCTAGGTAAGTAGTTATACTTTAGATTTTACGCGGTCTCCTCTTCGACCATCGCAAGGTACCTACATTGTTTGACTCCAAATAAAAATTAGAGTACGCCTGAAAGTTTGTTGTTGAACTAATCGTGCCTTCTAAAACTAATAAAATCTGTGGGTTGGACATGCTTCTTTATCAACGATCTACTAGCGAGTTCATAATTTTTCGATGCCTGTCCGTCTGTCCGTTAGCACGATATCTAGAAAACGAATCGTACCGATTACGATGAAATTTGGCAGGTGGATTCTTTATCAAACTTGTACATCGGAGTTTGTGAATTGGCAATGTAGGCCCAAAAATAAGGAAGGCCCCTTTGACATCTCCGTTAGTTATGAACCGAATTGCATTAAATTCAAAATGAACATAGCTTTAGCCATATAATACGCAATGCAGATGGTTTTTCCGATCGCGAAGCAGCACCTGTCTATTAGGGTACTAGACAATAATCTAGTAAGTATACTAATTTTTTAATTTTTTAGGAGTCAGAGGGGGCAAGATTGGTTCTGTTAGTACTCGTAAATTAACGATTATAATAGAAAACATAGGGGGGGCAATAATATTTTTGATCTGACTGACGTCTTCAATGGTACAAAGTCTGCGTTGTCTTTCGTTAGGTTAAATTTGTGGAAATTATGCAATGAGTGTTTAATTAAGTACGTTAGCAACCGTCAACAGTATGATAAAATTATCAAATGGGATATTTTTACTTGGTTTTGGCCTTTACTCTACTAAAGGTTACATATTATTTAACTAATGCAATTTAAACAGTCTCAGATACAAGTGTCATCGTAACGTTCCCAAGATGGTCTTAACATTGTACAAAATGGACATGAGCTCCTGTTGCCGAGCCGTCTTGCTAACAATCAAAGCGTTAGATCTACCAGTGGAGTACGTAGAAGTGAATTTATTAAAGAGAGAAGCAAGCGCGCCACATATTGCAAAGGTATACCTATGCAAAAGTCTACCAAGAGTTTTGGCAATTGAGTTTTAGCTTAATCCACGCTGTAAAATTCCTATATTGGAGGACAACGGCGCTGTTATATGGGATAGCCATGCGATTAACGCTTATCTCGTGCAAACGTACGGGAAGGACTGTAAACTGTATCCCAGCGATGCAGCCGGTCAAGCTAATGTGCAGGGATGGCTGTATTTTGACACCGAAATCTTCGCAAAACTGAACGATTTAATGGTAAGTAATTGGTGATAATAGAAGTTGTACGAGTTCTCTGTTAGGTTCAGGTGAGCACTACGCGAACCATTTCCGAACAAACGTACGAAGAGGTACGCAACATTTACCATGTGCTGAATAACTATTTGAAGGAAAAGAAATGGATAACTGGCGACAACGTAACCATAGCCGATTTTAGTTTGCTCTCTACAATTGAATCATTTAATTGCTGCTTGGAGGTGGATCCGAACAAGTATGCCAATGTAGCTAGATGGCTTGGGGAAGCTCAAAAGCTTCCGTTCTATGAAGTTACTACTAAAAAAGGAATAGAAGATTTGGCAGGGTTTTTAAAGTTCCTGTTGAGCGCGAAGAAATAAAACAATGAACTGGTTGTTTTTTGTTATCAGCAACTGTCAATATTATCTCGGGCACTGACCTACCTTACAAGCCGTATCGAACCATAAACACTTAAAAAAGGTCCGCTTACGTAATTCTGCAGACAAATAAAGTGAGAAAAGGGCTTCGCGTCTATAACAAATCGTGTAGGAAATAGATCGAATCGATTCTATTGGCTTGGCTTTAAATGTTGAAATTTTCGAATTCTTTAAAATGCGTCTTTCTCCAACATCTTCCCACCCTCAATCCTCCATAAATCAGGGAGAGGAATGATCCTCTCTGACACCACTTCAACAGCATGCATACGAAAACGTGTCATAACACCTGGTATTTGTTTCAAAAAATTTGGTCCTTTTTCTAGACAATAATTTAGTGATGGATTACCTTTTACTTTTGAATTGGCCTCGAAAACAAGACGTATCGGGGTGGTTGTCCCCTCCAATTTTACCACCGATCTATGAGGAAAATAGTGTGCTAAATTGTTTTCTTCTTCAGGTACTTCTCTACATTTCCATCATTCAACCAAGATTTGAATCATACTTTTGTTTGTTTCTTCAATACGTTAGTACAGTATATTAAGTGTTTTTCAGCTACAAATCTGTTGGTGAGTAGTGGAAGATGATCACCAAGCCACGGTTCTTTCCTAATAGTTTCCATAAAATGAGCAGCCTTTTCTAGATCTCTTGTTTTCGCTTCCACAGGTCCTTTTATTCCAAGAGATTCTAGGTTCAAGAGATCAGTGATCGCCACATCAGGTACATGATTGATGAATATGTTTGAATCCGTATTTTTCCCATCAACACCCATTCGAGTTTTGTCTCCATTGCCACAAGACTATTTCGAAGTTCATATTTTCGTCCCATGTACACGTTTCCACGTCACCTCCGATGAGTACTTCTATTTCTCCATGATAACTTCCTGTGTCCGTGACAATTTTGCAGTTTTTGAACTCATGGGCCATGATGATATTAATACTTGGATCTGAGACGTCAAAATCAAAGTACAATTTTTTGCCTTGCATCAGAAATTTTAATCTTTTATTATACTCCTCCAAATAATGGTGTATGGTATATTCTTCGCCAATTACAACCATTCCAATTTCTTTACCTAGCTTCTCCACTATCTGAAACCTTTGAGATCCAGAATCTAATAGGTAATACTTCTGTTGTGTTCCTCTCACATTAACTTTTATCTGTATCACCTGAAGTAATATATCAGACGTTATTAATTGAGATGGTAAATGGAAGTTACCTTTCCTTTAATTTTGACATTACTATCTTCGTTTGTCTTTTGTGATTGATGAAAATATTAACGGGACCTGATTCCCTGGACATAGAAGTACCCAATAACGTCATCCACAAACTGCATAATTTACTGTAGCTTTACATCTGTTACATCTATGCCCAGTTTTGCAACACAGAAACAACAACGATTTTTCAAAAGTTTCTTTATGTAAGTAAGTTCACTGAGATACGTTCCGGTTCCATCACAAAAACAACGTGACTTATCAGTACTAAGGGAGCCAGCTGTTGTGGGGATATTTTTCTTGTCTTGTTAAATTCATAACTGTTTCTTTTATCTGCTTTTTGATCTGAGCCAGTAAAAAACGTCCAGTGATAATCGCAGTCTTTTTTTTCCATGGACTTCTTTTATAGAAACTCTATTAGTTGTTCTAGATTATTTTTACTTGTTGTGTTGACGCCAGTTGAACGGTTACGTTGCCATGCATTTTCGGGAAGTCTACGGATACAAAATCACTTCACAGTTATCCGTAGTCACACGAGACTGGAGAAATGTAGATCATCTTTCTTCATTGCATTCTCCAAGATAAGTTTTATAAGGTTTCTTACATACACTTCCATCCTTCATACACTGAATTTTAGGTACTGGAACTTGAGAGTTGTACCCATCATCTTGTCAGTATGGATGTTTTCAAATTGTGCCCAAAACTGTAACCATTCACGTGCTTCCCCTCCAAACTTGGGTAGCTCTAACTTCGGTAAATGATGGTGAGGTTTGAATGCAACAGCCGCTTTCCGCTTGCCGCAAAAGCTGCGGTCAGAAAAGGGGGATCATTTCGTATTTGGGATTCGGCGAGGTATTTCAGTAAAAATCTGGTAGGAGAGCAGGCTTCCAAGAGAATCTGTAGGTTCAATCAATGCTGTGATGCAATAATGGCGTATTGATTTCTTACTCGAACCTTTAGTCCAAACCTATGTATCGGAATTGCGATGATTTATAGCTCTAAAAAAACGAAATTCTTCGCCAAGCTGTCAAAGCGAATAACTTTAATGTGTACCTATGTGTATTTGTATTTTGGGTAAAAATGCATTGTTACTGAAAAGTTTGAAGCGGAAGCCATATAACCTCAGTGTGTGGGAGAATCGTTAGCCTTGCCCCCATTTTTCCAGGAATTTATTGTCGCGTGTACTTTATTTATTCAGTGGGAGCTGTCCTTTCGAAGAAGCAAATAATAAGTGATCGTACAAGAGGACTTCGTCGGGTAGTGAGAACTGGCTGAACCGTGAACAGTGCGAAGCGTTCCTGTATTAATACGTGTGGTGTTCGTACTAAAATAAATTGTTACCACGCAAGCATTGGGGTCCAAGGTGCAAAACATTGCGTTGCGCTATTTTTTTTGGAGTGGCTAGTTACGTTGATAAACCAAGTAATTAATTAAAGTGCATGTAATTTATTTATACGAGATACTCATAGCATTATAAGTAAAACGCCCACCGGTAAGATGGTTAAAGCTTTGTTGGCTGTCAAAATCCTAAGTTATAAGGGTGATTTGGAAGTAAATACAAAATCAAAATTTTTATGTGACATTTCAGGAAACTAGAAGAAGGAGAATTCGTCAATAAATCAAAAAATTATAGTAAAATTCCATATAAAGCTAGCCGGAGGTCAAATAGTGATTTTACTAAAGATTCGAGAATTTATTTAGAAATTCAAACTTTAAAGAATAAAAACAAGTTCAACGCCTTCGCATTTCAAAATGGAAATTCTTACTAGGCGGATGCTGAGCTTAGAAGTATACAATTAACTACTTATTTATGCGGAATCAAAAAATTACATTTACTAGACAATGTCCCAAGGCCATAGTCCGAATTAATTACTACACCAGAGATCCTCTTTGCACAAGGAATCCTCAAAAATCCTAGAGAATCCCCCTTAAGAAGAACTGTATTAGTAGAATAGAGTAGAAATTGGTATTGTCAAGAGTATTTGAACGCTTTGGTGAACGATGATTCTTTCCGAGATCGTTACAGGGGATGACATGTGGATGTTTTACTGGAAGCCTCCTACACAACAGTGAATATTTCAGGATTCTCCACACCGAAAAGAGGCAAACACACAGTCTTTGTCTCGAAAATTGATGGCCACCATTTTTTTAGGACAGTATCAACAAAAGGAACCACAATTCATTGTGAGGTTTCTGAACAACATTTTGCTTGATTCTCCTGAAACAACGATTTTTCATTTCTCTAACCTTTGCATCCTAATCTGATATTGCAAATCGCAAACAAACCGCATATTTTTTCTTAAATGAGTATTTCCTACATCTACCACCTGGTCTAGGAATTATTATTATACTAATATAACGATATATTTTCATAATAAACCGCATACGGTTATTAGTTATAATGACGATGTTTCTCTTAATTTTAATTCTAGCATTTAAAACCGTTCATGGAAGCTACTTGGGAGAAAAATTCGCTGTTCTTTCATCACCAACTCTACTTTCGAAAGCCATTGAACGGTATTTGTCCCAAAATCCTACGCTGACATACGACTGTCAGGTTCAATTGGTACACTTCGTAACGAGTCTTCAAAAAGAATGGCGTTGGGCATTAGATAGTAAGTCTTTCTTTACTTTAGTATTTAATTTACCACGTTTTCAGTGTATGACGCTAACGGAAAGCTTCCACCTGGAATATTTAGGGGCAATTTCGCCCAACTAGGTTCGTTTGATCAATGCATCGCAATTGAGAACGTTGGCAGTGGCAATAAAAGTTTGGCGGGAAAGTATTGCCTTGGTTCTCTTTCTATACCTAATGAATATGTGAGTATTGTCGAAAAATATTATATCAGTTATAAGCATCATTACGATATGAAATTGATTTATTAGAACTATAATCACTAAGTAGGTATATGGGTCATAACGCAATGCAACCAATCAACGGTTAGACAGCTTTAGAAAACCTAGTAAACCAAATCCTCTACTCTAATAGAAGTCATGACTTTATCAAACATTCTAGCGATATACTAATCTATAGTTACTTATTTCCAGGGGCGGACTGGGTAACTGCGGGCCAGGTGGAATTGCATAGGTTACGGACCATTAAAGTATTAGTGTAGTAAGGAATGTGGGGGGGGGGGGGGGGGGGTTAGCTCTGAGGTGCCCATACAGTTTTTTTTTAATTGCAGCTGATAATTAAAAGTAACAAAATATACAATCCACACGAGGTGCGTCGCCTATCATTTTATTTCAGCACTTTCATGCTACGACAAAAAATGATAAATTCATTGTAAAACACTTCAATTAAAACAGAATTTTTTAACAACCTAACCTCAACCCCAATTAGAGAAACGTGTTAATAACTTATTAATAGTGCAAGAAACTAAATACAGCACATACTTATAAATTTCCAACGGGCCATTATGACGTACAGGCCAGGTGGCAATCGCCCCCCGCCCCCCCGGGCCAGTGCGCCCCTGGTTATACACTGCCTTTTTTTGAGCCCCGAAAAAAAAATTGTCTCAGATCGACCCGGAAAAAAAATTTTCTTATAGAATGGGCCTGTAGAATCCATAATTTCAAACAGTTCCAAGATTGGGCTACTAGTTCAAAAGTTACAGCCCTTTGAATTTTTTTTCGAAATTGGTTTCTAGTCTATAACTTTTGATTGAGAAGTCTGATCGAAAAAGTACGAATTGTTTTGGATTCTACGCACCAAAATTAATAAGAAAAAGTGTTTTCCCGAGAAATTTTGGTGCAGTCGATTTTTGGTAAAAAAGGAAGGTTATACACTGCCTTTTTTTGAGGCCCGAAAAAAAATTGTCTCAGATCGACCCGGAAAAAAAATTTTCTTATGAATGTGGCCTGTAGAATCCATAATTTCAAACAGTTCCAAGATTGGGCTACTAGTTCAAAAGTTACAGCCCTTTGAATTTTCTTTCGAAATTGGTTTCTAGTCTATAACTTTTGATTGAGAAGTCTTATCGAAAAAGTACGAATTGTTTTGGATTCTACGCACCAAAATTAATAAGAAAAAGTGTTTTCCCGAGAAATTTTGGTGCAGTCGATTTTTGGTAAAAAAGGATGGTAATACACTGCCGTTTTTTGAGGCCCGAAAAAAAAATTGTCTCAGATCGACCCGGAAAAAAAATTTTCTTATAGAATGTGGCCTGTAAAATCCATAATTTCAATCAGTTTGAAGATGGGGCTACTACTTCAAAAGTTACAGCCCTTTGATTTTCTTTCGAAATTGGTTTCTAGTCTATAACTTTTGATTCAGAAGTCTGATCGAAAAAGTACGAATGGTTTTGGATTCTACGCACCAAAATTAATAAGAAAAAGTGTTTTCCCGAGAAATTTTGGTGCAGTCGATTTTTGGTAAAAAAGGAAGGTTAAGTATTCAAATACTGTGCGAAGTATTCGAATACTTCTCAAAGTATTCAAATACCTTGCGAAGTATTCGAATACTAAATATTTGTGAAAGTATTTGAGTTACAAATACAAATACTGCTTCCATAAAAGTATTTAATTACAAAGTATTTGAATAGTTTAAAGGATTTGAATACTAAAAAGTATTTACAAAAACGAATACTGCCCAGCTCTGTATTTAAATTATATCAAAAAAGATGGCTAATTTGTATCTATATATTTCAGACTAAAATATTATATAAAGGGTGTCGCAATAAGAGCGACGGTTTTTAGTTTTTCCAAAATACGCAATTTTTTGATGTGATGAAGATCTTTTTATTGCATTATAAGGTAGACATGTTTGATGTTTCGAATGAGTATGAGCAGAAACCTTCGTTCCTTTATAAAATGTTTGGGCTCTCCCATGAGCCACCTTTTAGATTATTTGATAACCAGTTTGGATATAATTTGATCTGATCTCGGTTCTCAAATTCTTTAATTTTATTCCTAGTTATCGATTCATTGGTGTTTTCCAAGTTTTTTCTTTTCATTACAGGGTGTTCCAATTTCACGTCTCACCGCGAAGACCTCGGTTACAAGTTCGTTAAATTGAAACAATGATCCTAACGATTTCGCATATTAAAAAAAGACCGTTTAGATTTCAATATTACTATATATAATTTTTTTAAATTTTGAAATACAACTGAATGTTGCAATTTTGAAATTTTCTTTTTACACCAACAATGGTAGAATTGGAAGCCATGACATTAGTAAAACACTTTTTAATTGACTGATTATGATTTTAACTAGATATCACAACGAAAAACAGAAACGGATTAAATTAAAAAAGAGAACTCCTACACTGGCACCGCTCTACAAAATACTCTAGACGCAAATTCTCCCGTAAATCAAGAGAACGCGACCTCTGACCTTTTCAAAAGTAATATCAACGAACTTATATTTCTAAAACAGGTTAACGCACTGTGCGTTTAATGTACCTAATTAATCAATAATTTGCTGACGACTCCACCACATTCTGTCTTATCCCTAGCTGAAAAGAGGAAAATTTCTGAACCTGGTTGTACATCTAACGTTACAAATATTAATTAGCAATTTAATTAGCAACATGCGCAAAAATTAAGGGATGAAAACAAATACATAATATATATTTTTTTTCACTACTAGCGTCTGATGACATGATTATTAACCTTTTTTCCACTTGTAAAGTAGGCTTTCTCGGCATTTGTTCAAAGTGGTTAATAATTTTTTATTATTAACTAGTAGTTAATAATGAGAACTGTCACGCTGTCACTTTTAGAAAACACAACCCGAAATTTCGCTCAATGAACGTTTAGACAAGTTCTCTAAAACGAATAATTGCAACCATTCGCAATTTCCAGAGAAATTACATACCTAAAATTATCACATTTTGAAAAAATTCGAACGAAATTACTCTTTGAAAAATCTCAATGACAGAACAAAATACGGCCTGTTTGACTTGTACTTCCACGTACTTGATTGACATGTTAAATTAAGAAACAAAAAATTCTGTCCAACCGTTAACTCTCTTATCAATATAATATGTTAATTTAGAGGATTTCAAGTGCTAGTAGTGAAAAAAATAGTATATATACCACGGTAGAGAAGTCTATTACTTCGCACCTTACACCCCTCGGCGCAAGCGCCTCGAGATGTAATCTTGGTGCTCAGGCAATAATAGTGGACTTCTCTACCTTGATATATAATGTACTATTTTTAAAGCATGTCTGGAAGTTTAGTGTTCTATCTTAACGATCGAACTTCTTCACTAACGGAAAAATGTTGGTTGGATTTGGATAGCTCATGATAATGCAGTTATAGTTGCTCTTCGCTAAGAAATGGAAATAAACTAAACTATAAAATCAATTGAATAAAGATTGTGCTAATATTCAACCCAATGGATCTCTAATTGGTATGGATCTGTCGAAACGCTATACATTTACTAAAATATTCGTATTCTGGTCTGCTTATGCCCAATTGGTTCTTCCCTTTTGGCATGTAAAAGCAAGAAGCTTTTATAAGTTCGCTTAGGTTTGGCGTTTGGTAGAAACTGCATTCCCAAACTGCATGTAGGATAATTGCACTTAATTTGAATGGAATTCACAAACGCAATAGATATTTTGACCCATTTTGGCCACGTATACCAAATGTAACGGTATCGAAATCGCATTACGTTTCAGAAACCACTACTGAACACAGAAGAAGCACGTAGAAAAGCGATGTACCAAGTTCTAGCAAAAGAGCAACAGTACACCGCCTCCCTACAGTTTGCAATTACCAGATTCGTCTCCGCTCTCGCTGAACGAAAAGACCTAATATCGCCGTTAGACCACCGACTCCTTTTTCAAAATTCGGAAGAGGTATCTGCCAACAATCTGAGTCAAGTTAAAATTGAAATTTCAGGTGCATCGTATCAGTGAGGAAATACTAGAGTGTCTAGTGCCGGAAGATGGCGAACCCCAGATACACCTTTTACTAAAAGTCTACCATTCGAAGCTATCGGATATTATAACGTCATACAAACGCTACTGTTCCGGTATTAAAAAGGCGGATTGCATTTTAGTAAACAAAACTCGAAATTCCAATTCGGACTTCGTACGATTTTTACAAACGCCTGCGGTACCGCGAAGAAGACCCGACATTACTTCCTTTATACATAAACCCCTAGAACATTATCGCGAGATTTTAAAGTTGTTCAACGTCATTTTAAGTCAGACCAAAGCGAACCATGACGAGTATGCTCTCATTAGTAAAATTGTTCAGGATTTGCAGGTGACAACTTAGAATTGTTGGTGGTGATGAGACTGTGGTGAGTTCTTTTAGATAGCCTATAGGGAGATGACGGCCGAGGCGGGACTGATGGAGCCGGTTGGGGAAGGTAGACCTCTACTATCCGTTCAAGATTTAGAAAATCGCCTTGTGTTCACCAAGTGCAAAGTAGGTTCGTACCACAAGAAAAACTGACTAACTCCTCTTTGCAGCCTTTCGTTTTAAGTAAACCGGGTAGGCAATGGATTTTTGGCGGTGATCTGGGTAGAGTAGAAGGAAGGAGCGTCAGACAGTATTGGACGTTGCTATTTAGCGATTTAATTTTGTTCGCCAAAGTGTCGAGGGATAGGGTTTTGTTTATAATTGAAGATCCGCTTCCATTGGTGCATATAACTGATTTACTCTTTAACGTTAGGAAAAAAGGTGAGTGAGCTATGGTAAGCCCGGTATAGTGCGGGAATCTGACCCTTTTTTAGCGAACGAATTTAGGTTAATAGTACACCCGGGTGGAACTGCGGCGAAAAGTCCGACGATACATTGCGGCCCGGATTTAACACGAACGCCGCGGAAAAGTTCGAATAAAAGGTGTATCGTACTAAGGGCCCCCA